ATATGGAAATCCTGTGATATATGTAACTGAGAATGGTAAGGTTTCCATACCTCCTAAAATGAATGTGATGCAACATAGAATTTTCTAACATATATATCTTTATGCCCCTTTGTTCTACATAATTAACTTGTATGTTTGCCTGTGACTATTGAGCAGTGAACCGATTTACATTCTGAGGGTTTACATTATTTCACTCTTCACTTCAGGAATGAGAGCTACAGCTCACAACTGATGCATTACTAGGTCTATATAGATTATAGAGATAGCACATGAGACATGAAAAACCAAAGCTGGAGAACCCTATAAATATGGTCTGGAAGCAAATTTCTTGATACAGTCTTTGGCCATTCCTTGTTTTAATTTCTGGAGCGGTCAGAATATGCAAAGTAGTAAAAGTAAAACATTATTGGAAATCTGGAGTGAATTAAATTTGTCAATCCTGTATGTGAAATGTCCCGGTATGATGTTTGTTACGCTAGTACTGTACCTGATGATAAAGGTTTTTGCGAGCACACTTCAAATTGTTGTCACATTTGATATTTGCTTCCTTTACCATAGTTTCTCTCATGTAGGCATGGATGAGGAAGATGATCAATCGGCAACGCTTGACCAAGTCTTGAATGATACGACGAGGGTTGGTTACTTCAAAGGATACCTCGCGTCAGTTGCACAAGCAATCAAGTTAGTTGATTTTGCTTGCTGTTTACCACGCGTCTAAGTGTTTTCTGCTAAAAATCAACTAATGCAACTAACTGTATGATGCAGGGATGGTGCTGATGTTCGTGGGTACTTCGCATGGTCGTTCCTGGACAACTTCGAGTGGGCTATGGGATACACCAAGAGGTTTGGCATTGTTTATGTTGATTACAAAAATGGGCTTTCCCGGCATCCCAAAGCATCGGCCCGGTGGTTCTCGCGCTTCTTAAAGGGCGATGACGCTGAGAACAAAGCTGACATGAACTAGGCCATCCTGAAGAAAGTAAAGGAACATTACACAGTAATCGTTTCTGCTGTTGTTGTATCTTATATTGATATATGTAGTGTATCTATTCATCATCATAATAGTGTATCTTATATTGATATACATCTCAGATGTGCTATTTAGTTTGTCATTGATCAAATTCAGAGGTTTGCCCATACCAATAAAATCTGAATCAATGCCAAACACTCATGTTTACAGCCCTCACGCTTATAATCTCCATGCTTCTTTGCTGCTGCTGTTGTATCAGTCTTTGGTTGTCCTTCAGTAGGCCCCAGTAAGCAATTACCAGTGTAGTAAAACTGTAAAAGTTTGTGTTTAACATTCTAGTCTCTGAATATCCCTTTATCTTTAAATGATGGTGGGCCGAGGTCTTCTCTGTTAGGTCACTGATGATGGACTGATGGTTGGTGAAGGACAAAGTGACCTGCCATTATTGCCCCCCATGGAACCTGTATAGAAGCTATTGGCCCCTTCACTTTCTTTTCTGTTCAGGGGCCTATCTGTTGTAGGATTTGCCTCTTTATTCTGTCAACAAGAATCTACGGATACTCATCAAGAGCATGGCCCCTTTGCAAAATTGCAATGGTTCTCTCGTCACTTTATATGGAGCTTCATGCCGTTGCATTGCTGCTTTGGATTTTGATGATGGTAGCGTCAGGAGCAGGAATCAGGCCGTTGCAAGGGCCTAGCTGTTCAGAGCTTTCAGATGTACTCTGATGCTGGCACTCTTAGAATTGTTGGTTATACTCTTTCTGTTTCTGTAGAGGGGTTGCTACAGGGATGGACTCTACCTGTTGAGCCACTCTGGTTTTTAACCAAATAAAGTATAAATACACAACACTGGCTACGAAGTACTCTCTCTGTTCTGAAATTTCTGATGGTTAGCTCATATTTGAACTAACCAATGTAAAAGGCAGTATGAATTTTAGTTCATTTGGTTGAACTAGAGTAGGCCTGACAAGAATCCATGAAGGTTAAGCCACCGCAGCCATCCCTATTTGATATTTTTCTAAACATTTTTTTTCTTCTGCTCTCATTTCCTTGCCTCTTTCTTTTGTGCTTAGATGTCAATTGTGTGAAACTAGTCAATGATCTGATCCATCAGTGACAGTGTGACACTCGGCCTGCAATAACTAATTCATTTAGGGCCTCTTGTCAACTGGTTAGGTCCAGTGATCACCTCCATTTGCAGGCCCAAGATGTCCTCTTCTTTTTTATTACTCTCTTGCATCTTGTTTTTGGCTTCCTTTGCTCTGGTTCATGCACAAACCTGAACCTTTCTCAGAGCATCTCAGAGAAATAGCTCGATCTGGTATATATTCTGATCTGAAGAAGAACGGGAGCCCGTTCAGGAGACACGCCTCCCTTTAAAGATTACGTAAACAAGGCATCACACCTTGCAACTTTCTTCTTTGCGAAAAGTGAGAACCATGGTGCATGAAAAAGCTTTGATTCGTGGGCAATTCCTCCTCACGTGACAGGCCAAAGCATTTTTTTTCTTCTTTGCAATTTTGCATTGCATGGTAGTACAATGGAGGAACATTTTCAAGTACGTAATTATTCTGATTAGACGATAAAGATGCCACCTTTTCTTGTGTTAGCATCCCTGATTTTATCAGGAATGCCATGTGGTGCAGAAGCTGCCTTGCTTTCTACTTGTGAAAAGCAAAGTAGTAGTAGCTAGATCAAGTAGAGGTAGATTCAGGCTGAAGGATCAATTGCCTCTTTTGAAGGAGCTCTGCTTGGACTGAAGCAGCAAAAAATAAGTTAATTAGCAGCCTTTGTTTTCTGTTCAAGTACCTGACATCTTTGTAACCTGTCAGGCTCATATCCCCGATTAAGAAGTTTCTGAAGAAAAAAAATAAACATATTACTGGATGTTACTACTCTAGTTGATTTCTGATTTATGGTTTGTGCACACATCATTCACAACCGGTGAAGAGCTCACAGCAAAAAGCCTTCAGAGTTCAGAGTGCTTAACTTTCATGGACAGTGCAATCACAGCACATTCATAAGACATCATTGATATTGTTACTAACAGTAGTTTGCACATGCAACTCATGAGACTGATGTAGCGGAGGAATATTTAAAAGGTTTAGCGTCATTGCAAGAATTGAGTAGCACATCTCCAAATCATACTAGTACTCAGTACCTGTCATTCATCCTCTTTTGCTTGTTCAGTTGTTCTCTCCTTCCAAAATTCAGAATCTTTTCTACCCCAGTAGATTGCCATGGCCGGGTCCTCTCTACCTTCCAACTCCCAACTGCTACCACTAATCTAAGACCTAGTATCACCTCCAAGATTCATAAAACAGATCGGTTTTCGTGAAACCGCTAATGGATGGTTTGTGGAAACCAATCTTAGCTGGTTTTCGTATGGCATTACCAAAAGTTGTTGGTTTTTGCTAGTTTTTATCGGTTTTCAGTAAATGGTGAGAAGCGTGTTTATTTTCAAAAAGGAAATGCAAACCCTGATCACCTCTGACTATTTCTTGCTTCCTCTCCTTAGCATGCTCATAGTTCTTTAATCATAGTCTCTGACGAACATATGCATCTCATTTGCAGCCAAATTGATCCATGTGTGTGTGTTTGGAGGCCAAAACAAAGAGCTTTTTTCTTGGCTTTGGGGTCCAATGATTTGAGTCCATTAGAGAAGAGAATCCACAAGGTGTAGGAGACAAAGTGAGCCATGTGGGGTTTGCAAAATGGCAAGGAAAGAGTTTGGTAGGAAAGGGGGCGCCATGCCACAACGTTTTGTGGGCATGGCTACAAGGCATGGTTGTCACCCTCACATGGGGATGGGGACCTAACGAAAGCTGCCACCCAAACCACCGTCTCTGAGAGTCTGAGGGTGTGTTTAGTTTATACTAAAATTGGAAGTTTGGTTGAAATTAGAACGATGTGATGGAAAAGTTAGAAGTTTATGTATGTAGAAAAGTTTTGATGTGATGGAAAAGTTTAAGGTTTGAAGAAAAAGTTGAGAACTAAACGAGGCCTGAGTCTCTCTCTCTCCCCGGAGTACTACTTCTACTATGCATGCCATGAAGCCATGGGAATTCTAGCTCACATGGAAAATGAAATGTTCAGTTAGTTAAGCTACAGGCATTATGTATGTTTAAATGCTCAAAATGGGAAGTTGATTGAACCATTACTTGCTGGTTTTTTTTTTTTACAATTTGGTCATTTTTTGAAACATATTTGGTAAATAGACTTTTTAAAAAAAATTATTGTAAAATAGACCCATAATTTGGCGCCAAGGCTATTGGACCGAAGTGGAATGTTTCCGCGCCAAAGATCCTGGCGATGAAACTCGAGGGTCAGTGCTAGTTTGTTTGGCGCCGACCCTTTGTCACCTATGAACAACTTTCCTCTCTTCTCCACATCCTCTCCGAGCCCTATTATTTGATTTGGTGTCAAATTTCATGGAAAATTGATGAATCAATGTATCTTGATTTACTTTCCTTAATTTGTTATTAGGTTGTCAAATTTGTGGGGAAATTTGATAAATCATGATTTATTTGCCTTTTTATATTTTTAACATCAAAGACTTGAATATGGTGATGATGGTGCGGGAGATCTGTTGCATGGAGACTGGCCCAAATCCTCAGCGTCAACGAGAATGGCATTGAGACGTCCATCATCGAGCCGAGGACTCTGGCATTGAGTTCTAGGTCTATTTTTGTGATAATTTTTTTGGGGAGTCTACATGTGAAATAAGTTTTTTGAAACGGGTTAGAATGTAAGAAAATCCAGCCATTACTTGAGCCTTCCATGGCTTCAGAATGTCAGCCTCTGAGTTGAGCGTCAGTGAAATTTCTGAACTGAACAGAGTATGAAGTAATTGAGAGGTTCTTTTACTGTAAAATGATGAAATTGTCAGGTAAAGTCTATGGTTGTATGTATGTGGTATGGACCATTTGTGCAGGAAAGATGGTGACAAAACACAATCGATTCTTTCTTCTTGGCACCACCAGCAGTCCAGCACTAGGATTCAATGTATTTTGTTTTCTGTTCCAAGTACATCTGAGTTCAGCTTACCTTTGAATTCTGCAGACTGGCCATACTTGAAATTGTTAGTACATTGTACAGGCTGTTTCACTACCTCGTGTCATGTACAGACTGAAGATGACAAACACATGAACTGCTTATTTCCTCCTCTGATCTAGATTTTATCTCCTCTTATATATAGAAATAAATATTTGCAAAAAAACTTCTTACATTCTATAATCTACAGGTACAAAAGGTTCAAAAAAAAATTTGACACCCCGTCGCCGTTGGTCTCCCTCTGCCCTATGGAGGTTTCCCACAGTACTCTGCGAAAAATTTCTATTGGCAGACTACTGGTGATCAAGGTGATGATGCTGAAGTGGCTGAACTTTCATCATCTGAGATTCCAGCTCTCAAAGCATGAATCCTGGGGAACAACTGTGGCATCATTGGGTTGACGGGTACTGGGAAATGGCGCACCGAGCTAGCGATCGTGCGGTCATTGATCCTGCCAACTTCCTTGCAGACTTGATCAAGAACTGAGAGGAAATCCCTGACCACCATGAAGATCCTGAAAGGGTGAGCTTCCTCTTTCGCAGAGTCACCATGGAAGTACTCGGTGATCTCCTTCACAAGTGATAGCGCAACGCTCTCCTGAGCCTGAACCCTGATGATGTCGTCATCAGCCCTCTTCAAGAACTTCTGCATTGAATCATGGAACCTCCATGCATCTTCCCTGGACTTGACTTCTTCATTCAACCGCAACACCTCAGTGATCTTCTCTATTCCTCCAGCAAGTTTCGAGACATAGCTGCTTAGCACGTCGGAGTCCATGGCAGCTGCCTTCTTGACATTGCTGAGCTCGTTTCCGAGGCCAGCCACTACCTGGAGGCCAAGCTTTTTGCACTCGAGCTCGTCCCGTAAAGGGTTTGCCTGAGTTCGTGGAGTTGATTGGTTGCTAGCAGAGAGGTGGGAGCCCTCCGTTCGGATAATCTCCTGCACGACAAAATGCAAAAGTGTAGTCTTGCCATCAGTGCCTTTGACATCAACCAATTTGAGTAGAGTATCAAGCTTGAACGCGTGTGCATCGCCGCGATTTGTTCCAACATTCATCCTGTTGCCAGTCTTCAGGACAGCTTCAAGTAGCTTCAGAAACAGCCTGCTGTTTCTAAGCTCGTCACAAGCAGTCTGTTAAGAAAAGTTTCATGTACTTAGTTATAGGTAAGATGTCAATATAATAATAAGTATGAAAGGAAACTCGGAAACGATAATTCTCACCTCAAGGGTCTCAAAGGACTTCTTCAGGTAATTAACCTCTGATTCAAAGTTAGCAATGTAAAGCATTGCGTCTACTCTTTTGAAAGCAAATGGGATATCAAGGACTGCCTTAAGGAATTTCTCAGCAGGACCAAGCTTAATAGGAGATGTCTCCTCTTTGAATTCTCTCAATTTGATCTCCTCTTCCTTGGTAGGAGCCATCTTTAGCAAGGTCTCCAACAATTCTGCTCCAAAGTTCTCTGTGTTACCTGCTCAGTGAATTGGTACCACGTTAGTAAGGATAATACTATAGGAAGGATCAATCTCATTGACTTGACTAGAAACTTGGTGCAATAATGCAACTATCTTGCAATTATTTGCACCCAAGTCAAGACTATGTGCAGAGAAGTAGTAATACTATATCAAGCAACTACGGTAGTAATACTAGTAGATCGAAAGACTGGTTTTCACATCAGAACAATGGTATCTCTAACCATCTTCACCGCAGGTATAACTCTATGCACCTAATTCAGTCATCCAGAAGCAATTACTAGTCAGTTTCAGCTTAAAAACGGCTAAATTCAGCAACGACCACCAACGGGTGTATGCTGGCATTCACTTCTTCAGACAATGTATTTAAAGCCCAACCAAATTCTACGGACAAACATCTCGATTCACAAGCTCCATGTGTGTTCAACCAAGAACCACGAGAAAAATGAATCCAATTAGTTAGAAGGTATCATCAATTCAGATACTGCTGCAAACATCTCAAAAAAATCCCCAACTCAATGCAGTATGCAGTTCATCAGAAACTGGCAAAATTGTGATGAGTAAGTTAAGAGAAAGATCATGTTCTTCACCTTCGCAGAGCGCGTCGCAGACCTGCTCCTTGGATACATTCAGAGCTCGCAGCAAGATGGCGATGTTCTGCGACTTCTTTGGATCAAGCACCTTGTTGTCCGTCTTGGGCGTCGGCAGCACCGGCCTCCTCGTTGCTGGCTCCTTCGGTGGCGCCGAGTTCGCCGGATTGCAGATGAACAATGTCTCGATCATCTCCTCATTCACCCTGCAAAGAATTCACCACAAAATGATTTAGACAAAAAGAAAAACAGATCAAGAACTGAATAAGGTTGTGAATTTGGGTGGAGTTCTCACTGGAACGAGCTGGATTTGAGCTGATCCCACACCATGACGCGGTCGGAGCTTGCCCGGACCTTGTCCCAGTGCAGCGGCTTCAGCTTCGGCCGCGGCGTCGTCTCCTCCGACTTGTCGCCGCCGCCGCCGGCCGCGGCGGCGGCGGCGTGGTCCGCATTGTCCGCGAGGCGGCCGGGGAACGCGTCGGTGGGTAGACCGCTCTTGAAGCTGGCGGCCTGCGGCGGCGGCGACAGCGCCGGGGACCGGGTTTCTTTGGACGTTCCGGTGCCAGGCTTCCGCACGCGGCTCTCCCAGTAGCCCACCGGCGGCGGAGGCGGCGGCGGCGGCGGCGGTGGTGGTCCGTGGGTGTGTGTCGGTGGGGGTGGTGGTTGTACGAATGGGTTTCTTGGGATGGTGGTGTCGGTGGTGGTGGTGGATCTGAGCGCCGACGTGTTCTCGATGAGTGGGGAGGAGGGCGGTGATGGCGACGGCGGTTTCCGGCGAGGCGGAGGCGGCGGTGGCAGCGTCGGCGCGAAGGGAGGTGGTGGTGGAGGCGCCGGTGGTTGGCCGAAGGTGCGCACGCTATCGGATCTTGACTTGACGGAGCGGCGGCCCGACTGGCCGGGGCTGGAGAAGAGAGGCGGCGAGGCGGGCGCCGGGGACATCGTCGCGCCGGGCGAGGACGGGTACGACGGCGTGCTCACGATCGAGCCGGGCGAGGGGCTCTTGGAGCGGTCGCGCGCGGCCACAGCGGCTTCGACCGCGGCGGCGAGCGTTCTGTGCGAGGTCGACATCTTGGATGATCCTTGCGGCGAGTAGAATTCCTCGTCGCCGGACGACGGCGACGCGAACCCGCCGACGCCGCTGCCGGGGCTCCTCGCGCCCATCGGCCCGCATTGCCGCGCCAGCAGCGGCGGCAGCGGGCGGAGCTCCGGCGATCCGCCGGTGCTCCGGGACGCCTCGTCGCCCGACGACGTCGTCTCGCTGCTCTTCTCGTCCATCCGCCCGATGCCGGCGTTCCCCACGTAGCGGTAATCCATCGCCGCGGCCGGCGGCGCGGCGGCGCCGCCGCTCCCGCCGAACTCGTCGCGCGCGAAGAGGCTCGCCCTCTCCGGGTGCAAGAACTTGGCGTCCCCGCCACCGACGCACCCGCCGCCTCCTCCTCCCCCGCGCGCCGCATTCCCACGCCGGTGCGTGAAGAAGAACGCGATGGACAGCCCGAGCACGGCCACCGTGAGCAGCGGCAGCACAATCGCCGGGACAAGCTTCGACGCGCTGCTCTTCGACTTCCTCGCCCCACCACCACCACCACCACCTCCATCCGGAGCGGCCGTCGCCGCCGCGCCACCGGCGCCGGTGTTGGGCAGCACGAGGGCGGGGTACGTCGGCTGCTCCTGCCCCGCCGTCGCCGGCGGCGGCGGCGGCACCGGCAGCGCCGGGAAGAACGGCGGAGCGGGGCCGGGCGGCGCCGGCGTCGGCGGCGACGACGACTGATCCGGGAAGAACGGCTGGTGCAGCTGCCTCCTCGCCACCGCAACCTCCAAACCATCACTCCCGCCATTGACACCACACACAACAATCCCAACCACCACCAACTCCAAGAATCGCCGGAGAGACGGCATTGCCACACACACCGCCACCGCCGAAGCAGCAGCAGCAGCTAGCAAGAACAAGCTAGGTCAGTGACGCCACAGATCTCGCGAGGAGAGAGAAAGAAGAGAGAGAGAGGAGGAGAGGAGGAAGAAGAGGAGTGGACGTCGTCGTGGTGGATACAGCTTACATGGAGGAGGAGTATTTTGGCTGCTTTTTGATGATTTTTTTTTTGCTTTTTTTGTTTCTTTTTCTAATTGTGATTAGGCAATTAGCTAAGTAAGGGTCACTATGAGGGTAGGTGATTAGTGAAGGGTGAAGATATTAATTAGGGAGAGGGAGAGAGGTGGTGGTTGATGGCTTGCTTGGTTTTGTTCTCATTCTTTGTCCGTTTTTTGGGCTGTTTAATAATGTGGAGATGAAGAGGGTAGTTGGAGAAGAGTGCAAGACAAGTGAGAGAGCATAGGCAAAGTGTGGAAGGAGAAGCACAAGCACGAGCAGAATGCTACTAGTAACTCAACTGTATTTTGTACTCTGAAAAGAACTGTTTTTTTATATATATAATTTAGAGTGGGGACTGAATGATCAGTGGTATATATATTAAGGAGTGTAAAAAATTGAGCTCGTTTTTGGTTCAGATGTCTCCAAATGTTAGGTGTTCTTTCGGTTTGTTGGCTAGAAGCGTGCTTGCGTTCTGAGTTAGCAACTGAATATATATACAAATATGCAATCACACGTAGGAATATACTCATATAAATGATGTATAGGTTGTTAATTAATTGGTACTTTCAGTTTCAGATCGTCGCCGCAAATTGATGTGCGATGGAAGCGAGTATAATTAGTCGGTGAGGATGATGAGCTCATCTGATTTCCAGCTAGGGTACGAAGAAACAGCCGGCTAGAAATCAGGGCAGACACATGAGACGTGTTGGTATCCAGTAAGTAGCGAGCTGATCGATCGAGCAAGCATGCATGCATGCAAACGAAAGCCGAAAGCTTTGACTGTGGCTGGATCCATCGAGTTCGTGAGGAAACACTCAAACAAACCGGATGGTCCTTTTTTTTGTTACTGGATGATATGATACAATGGTCCAGTCACATACACTACTCCACGAGCTATAGCCACTCCTCTTCATCTAATTACTCAAGATTTTACCCCCTCCATTTACATTGTACGGTCCTTGCTGGTCCACTTGTTATTAGTCGTCGTGGTACTGTAGTACTCGTAGTAAATTTTGGGTAAATTTAATCAGCGACTGCAGTGTGTGAGTGAGATGTTACTGGCAATGAAAACCTCGGCAGTCAGCCATCACAAGCGGCACAGAAGGGATCCGTTGGCAGTCCAACGTCCCAGAGCCCCCCAACGTGGGACGCGTGAGAAAAAAAGGCCGGAGCCGCGTGCGTCTGCGTGTGAATCTCACGTACTCCATCAACCCATGCCCTGCGTCTGCGTGCGTCCGCCTGCCAATGCCAAAAAGCCCGGACGCGTCGGCGTCGCGGTCTGTACAGTAGATAGAGTACGTACTCTCCCGTGGATTTCACAAACCATCCAGGCGATCCGATCCCCATGTACGCGATTCTTCCACCTTCACTCGAGGTAGTATATGGCGTAAACGCCGCCGCCGTGCGTGCGTGGCCCGCGCCGGCGATCGATCTATTATGGATGCGTGCATTGAATTGCCGTGCCCGTGCATACCAGGCTACCGTGCAGGACCGGAGGAGGCAGGTCGGGGCGCCGTTAAATAAACCTAGGCTGTGTTTGCAAGACTCCCGTCTCGTTTTCCACGCGCACGTTTTTCAAACCGTTAAACGGTACGTTTTTTTAAAGTTTCTATACGAAAGTTGTTTAAAAATTCATATTGATCCACTTTTAGAAAAAAAAAATAGCTAGTACTTATTTAATCGCGCGCTAATGGACTACTCCATTTTCCGTGCGCATTTCTATCCTCCTCAAGCGAACACAACCCTAGGACGAGTCGTGTTTATTAGTTAGATTCGTAGTAGTAGAATTATCATGTCTGATATGAAGTTAATTTATTTTAATATGGAAAAGTACTCTTTTAATTGCATTGTGAATGAGTGAATGACCAAGGCAGTAGTGTAGCTATGCACAGTAGCACGTACAGAAATTCTGATGTTACTTAGTACTCCTAATCAATCGGGACATTTGCAAATTTACTATCATTTATTTTTAATTTTGTAAGGATGTCATTTGAATGACAGTTCTAGTAGTACTTTTATAATTTTCTAGTGGCAGTCTTACAATAACGATTCAAAGCAGTGATAAATTTGTAATTGCCTCTAATCAAGTTCATCAGGCTGCCTTGGTCTGCTTAATCTGATGGAAATATGGGGCTCGATGATGGTGGTCGCATCATATCGCCGGAGAAATAGACGAGAGATATGATGGTGCATCTATAATAACGATGGAGCGCGACACGGCCGTGCGTCGACCTCGCCGCACGAGCACATCTATGGCGTACGTACGCTTGGGACACTTGACCTACCTGACGGACCAGCTAGCTAGAGCAATATATATAAACTCTATTAGCTTGATGATACTTGCATACATGTAGCTAGCGAAGATAGCCACTCTTACCGGCTAAAGCATGATAACTCTTGACACTGACACGCACACATAATACTGCTAGTAGTATATGTGACTTTCGTCTCTCACTTTATCAGGCCACGAGATGAGATAATAATCATGTTAGATAGAGCATTCATTAAGCTGCTTAATGATGTGGGTTTACTCACCTAAAGCAGCAGTATCATCGTCTTTGTCAGATGGCTTTTCTCGCTTCTTCTTCTTCTTCTTCTTCTTCTCGCCTTTGACTCCCGACCGTTAATTGCAGCAACGTACACACCCAATGGCACTGCACGTACGTACAAATTTCAAACAGATCAGTGACACTGTGTGCTGTGCTGTGCATAGCCATGTCGGCTGCTCGAGAGTCAAGAGACCGATGATGGCCATGGCCGGTGATCGCCATGGCGACCTGAGAGAGCTGTCTTGTCTTGTGTGTGTACTACGCAGGCGTCGACGGGACACGTTGCGTGGCGTTCAGATAATATGACGGAAAATTATTCAGCTAGGCTAATCTGGGTGACATCATCAGCACGGTGCATTATTAGCACTAGTTGATTATACTATTACTGTTGCAGTATTAGCTTTGCTATGGAGTAGTACTAGTACTAAACTAATCGCTGCTATCTTTCTGTCCCTCAGAGGTTAAGTTTGCAGCCTCGAGATGAGTAAAGTAAGCTCGTACAGTACTAGTCTTTGTCAGATGCGGTCTCGTAGTAGTAGACTGCAGGTAAACCTGGAGGCTTGAGTACAAATTAACCGCGTTCGATCGATCGATCGATCGATCTGCAAGGCGGTGGATAGGCACAGCCTTCACTTGGCTCACTCCCGTTGTGTACTGTATAACGAGTAGTTTAACACTGTTGCCGACTTGCTGTTGCCGGAGCCTAGCTCACGGAAGAAATGCCGTCATCCGCAGAAGTTTCCCGTGTGATTCTCTCCTCGCTGCGTCGTACGCGAAGGCCGATCGATCCGCGGAGGTCAGACGGATTAATCTCCATCGATCTGTGTCTCTGCACCTAGAGACCAGTAATTAAATTAGTAAGCTCTATGCTTGGTGTGTCAGAAATATCGATGTGGACTCGAGATAAACGTTGACGAGTGCCGTGCTCGATCCGCAGGACGGCACCATGTACTAGACTACTCGGTAGTAGTACTAATCTACTATACAGAATTTTTACCTGTGTACGATTGGTATGATATCGATATACGGAGTGTAGATCTCTTTCCTGTCACGTATGTCACGTACTAGTACAATTCGTGAGCTGCAGGGCCGGCCGGCCGGTACAGTCTATTATACTTCGTTAGGTCTAAAACATATTTCCTCCGTTTTAAAAAAAACTAACCTACATTACATATTTTAAACTATAAATCTAAATATATTTGATCCTAGATTCATATTTTATAGGGACAGAGGGAATACACCGCAAACAGCCTGCAGCCTTCCCTTCCCTTCCCTTCCCTATGCATTATTCCTTGGCGTGCATGCACGGCGCACGGAGTAGTAGCTAACTGCTACCAAGTCGATGGCACGCGCGCAGCAGGTCAGGTCACTAGGTCAGCCAACGCGCGTGCGATGCAACTCATGCGCGCGAGGCCAACTCACCAAACCGCACCGCATCCAACAGGTGATCAACCGAACCAACTGGGCGACGCGACGCGCGCGTGCGGGATGGGGCAGGAGGAGAACACCGTGATCCGGAGGCAATTTCTCCGTGCGATTCCGCCTCTTTCTCCGCGCGATCGACGTGGGGCGGCAACCGACCGACCGCGACTTCCTTCGCCGAAGCCGAGCAGAGGTGCAGAGCACCGCGGGCCGGGGGAGTGGACGCATGTCGCTCTGCGCCGTGTGACTGTTTTCTTCTCCTTTTTTTCTTCACGGTGCTAACCACGAAAAATTCTGGCGCTCCGGGTGGTGGATGGAACGGCCATCGGTTTCGGTGAACTTCAATTTTTCTAGCCGATCGATCGTCTTTGCTTCTGGACGCCGGCCGATGCATGCAACTCTGGTACATTGGAACCTTCGGTGCTCACGAGTCACTCCTGCTTGCTCCTCTAGGTTCCCCCACAACAGAATTTAGGTGGTGTCTGGTTGGAGGGACTAAAGTGGGGATAAAGTTTAGTCCCTAGTTCCCAAACACCCTCTTAACTACGCGGAAAACTGCAACTATTTGCATTGGGCGCTCTGTCTTCCAGTTCACTCTTTTTTGGCTCAGAAAATCACCATGGAAGTGAGCAAGCATGTCAGATCGCTGATTCGCTGTTACTACCCAACTTCACATTTCAGAAATCAGAATCAACCTCGTTGTTCTTGTTGACAACGACACTAGAGGCTGGAGAAGCCAGCAATGTTATGAGCTGTGCAGAGTTTACAAAACCACCTTTTCAATTTTTAAAACCAAAGTATCGTGATAACCGCGTGGTTACCGCGATAACCACGTGGTTACCACGATAACCGTAAAACCGTAGGTGACGATAACCCTACTCAAAACGGTTTGGTAAACCTCGAGCTGTTCAGTGACGATGCAAACTCGCGTGCCCTTTTCCAGAGAAGGCATGCAAATGTGAGATGTCTGCAGGAAGATACTCCGCTGCTGGTAATGACAGAATCTATTCGATCGGCACTTTCTGGGCCAGCTTTCGCAGGCCCTTTTGTTCCTGCTCTCTTTAATCACAAAGCGATACTACCCTTTTCACAGTGGATGGATCCATCCATGTCTCTGCATGGAGCCTGATGCCGACTGCTGAACCGAAACCCTCCTCCTCTTCTTGTGTTGTAAGCAAACAGAGTGCAGAAAGGAGAGAAAGAGAGAGACAGTGAGATTAGAGCAGTTGTGGTGGCAATGAGCATTTTGTTATGCATGGTTGTTTGCTTGTTGGATTTGTTTCTTTTTTATTAGACCCACTAAGTGATGCTGGATTATGTTAGGTCTGCATGCCTTCCTAGCTAGGAGTAGCTTGTGTTGCTTCTCAATCGTTTTCAGGCTTCAGTGTTTGTGAGAGGAACGAATGAATGAGTGCCGTACAGACAGCCCAACCTTCATGGATGTAATCATGTAATGCAAGCACATTGGAAAAAAAAAGAGAGAAAAAAAGGGAAAATATTAGGTCAAAAGTAGTTGATGAGTTGGATGATCGACAGGAGAAGGGAATTAATGTAAAAATCTCCCTTTTGACGACAGGAAAAGAGGTAGTAGTACCACAATTTTACATCGTTGTACTAGTACCCTTTTAAGGTGAGAGGAAACGTTGAGATTGTTGGTTTCTAACCCAGATACGGTCTTGGATTAGGTCATTAAATTAGACGGAACAGGGAAGTGGTGACAAAATGCTCAGATCGGAAGGAATTGAGAGACGAGGGACGTGCTTATAGCTTAATTATTTGTTAATCATTGTGAAGAGCTAGCCATATAATGGAGGAGGAATGAGGACAATGCACACATCATCCATGCTAGTGTGCATCAACCAACATCGGCGTACGGCGTCACATGCCATGTGCGCCTCATGCATCCGCCGAATAAGATAACAGGTTACACCTCACACTTGAACTTTCTTCGCCTAATCATGCTTACACATATGTACATATATATACACCTCTAGATCAAAGGGCATCGATTTTGATCACATAATTAAGCTAATCTCATATTTCCAATTTAAGCAAACATTTTCCAAACTAGCTATATATATAGGACATTTCTCATGGAAGAAATAATAACCAATCGAGTTGTACTACTAATGGTAATGAATAACAGGTACTCCTTCCGTCTATAAATATAAGATTTTTTTATTAGATGTGACATATCCTAATACAATAAATCGGGATATAATCTCTGTCTAGATTCGTTGTGCTATGATATGTCACATCTGGATAAAAACTCTTATATTTTGAGAGAGGAAGAAGGGAAAAAAAAACAATGCACCGACACTTGCTTGGTGAGAGCCGAGGCGCTACAGGTAGTAACAAGCTAAACAGCAGGTCAGGTCAGGCTATAGCTCGAGATATATGCCACTTCGTGTGGCTGACTGGCTGGGTGTGGCTTGTCACCCTACTGTTCACGCACGGGCTCGCCGTCCGTCTGATCAACCCATGGGAACTCCACTGATCGGCGTACTGTAGCCGACAGGATGGCGCTGGGCACGCGAGGCGGATCTCGGCATCTCGCGCGCACGACGCCATGAAAATCGCCGTGGTGGCAAGGCAACGGCGTGGCTCGCGCGCGCGGCTTTGCGTCCGCGCGCGTGCGTGGCGTTGAGTTCGCGGAGATGTGTCGCGTGATTTTGCACGGGAATTGCCGGTGTTTGGGCGTGGAATTCGTGCGGACGTTGTTGGTGGAGGATGCCGCGCGCACGAGGCAAAGGAATCGGCAGCAATGCCGGACAATGGGACAAACTGCCTTGCGGCGCCCATACATCCATCCATCGATCAAAGTATGGTCGTCACTCGTCAGGTGGCAATGCTTGCTAGGCTTCACTTCAGTCTTTCATGAGCAGTGAGCTAGTGAGACGCGCGACACGAAAACCCTGTGCTAACCGTGCAGATAAAAACAATTTCGGCACCGACATTCGCTGCTCCGTTCTTCATTTCTGGTCGGCTTTCCCCTGTCCTTTTGGCCGTCGATTAATACTTGTCATCCTTCCAAGAATTTCCATTTTCCAAACACCTTATTCTCTGCCAATTCTGTCTTGCATTTGCTGATGCTTTTACATTTTCTGCGAATAGCGAGAGCACACAGCAGCGTGTCACTTTACGTATGTGCTAGAAAGGGATCAAAGCTGCTTTAATCACACGCCCCACATTGCTCAATGGTCACTCAGACGTTCATGCTGGTGACTCGGATCACCAGCAGAGTGGTTGTAATGATATAATACCAATACAGAATTTTGAGCAACCTTTCCCCTCCACTTCAGGCAAAACAAACAAAAAAAGGTTATCTCTTTTCTCACGATTGACCTACGAATCTGAATAAATTTGAAATTAATCGACAGGTTGCTCAAAGTCAGAGAAGTATACAGGTTTGAAGGTTTATTCAAAGCAACAATAGACGGGGACTTAGGAGCTGATGCTATCACATTACACAAGCAACTTTACAAGAGCTAATCATATATACACTGAATAGCCAACACGGAGGGGGGTACAACAGAATCCTACCCAAGAAGCCTAGTAAACACAGATTAGTGCGGGGATACTACAGAGGGAGGATAAATTAAAAAGAACAAAACAAAAATGACGGTCACGGCGATGCGAGATCTGTATGTTGTTGGTAATGTGACAGATATGGTAAGATTGTATGTATCGCGCCACGCTAGCTGGTTTTTGATCTAGAAATCTGACTTCAGGAGCTTTGGCCCTGGCTTAACGCTGACAAAATCAAAGGAGTTTGGTTGATCCACACTTATGAAGTCCTTTGTTGTCAGAACCTGTGAATGGAACAGAACACAATAAGTACCAAGGATAATGTCAACAGAAATGATTCGAGAAAACAATTTAAGCTACCATTGCAGGTCTAGTTTGACAATGACTACAGAAATTGGTTGATGCCAGTAAGATTGTCTAATGAGAAGATGGCTAATCGAAACATGCAATATAAAATGAATGGCGTATTCTTGATCATGCAATTCTAGGTGCCTCCAATCACACTGGAGCTGAAGGTAGGTATTCCATTTCTTGAGTGGAGAAACAGAAAAGCATAACCGTCTTACCAATGTCTCAAAAAACATCCTTGATGCTTCTTTCCTAGTCTTTCCACTTAACAGATGATCAATGGCCACACTCTTTCTTCCCAGACCAGATTCCTCATCAAATAAAGTTTTGAGATATCTTGCAACACCCCTGAAGAGCAATTGTAACAACTCATTATAGAACTCAAAAAAATATTGAGCATTAAACCCTGAGAATATTATCACGAAATCCAATCGTACCTAGTACGTGAAGACCATCCACTGTTATCAAGAGACTGGAATTCCTCAGGATTAGGCTCATCATCATTAGCCTCATCACAGTCCACCTCATCATCATACATCAGAAAATCTGAAAGTGTAGAGTACAAATATGACACAAGTCATAAAACTTATAAACCTCTCGCGATGCAACACTAGAACAGTAAGATCCACCAGTGTCACATACGGGCGTGTGGAAGTTCCCATCACAAAATTTGCATATAAAATACAATTAAGAACGGATATTGCACTAGTCATGAAGGTTAATGTCATGTTTATTTCTACTAATACAAAAGAACCTAGGAATGGTGGTTATGGTGAGTCTGAAATCCCACCGCCACTTCTTGAGTCAGCCTGACCCTTCTGTGAATAATTAGAATATCTGAGCATGCGTCTTGTAATAAGATTGTTTTTATTTTGACATTGTAATATGCGTCTTGCAAATTACATATGATTCTCAGGATAAATATGCTCACTTTTTGAGTTTCGAACTGATGATATATTTATTAGAAAATCTGTGCATGGGTATTTAGCTAGTTTTCTGCTGCACCTACAAAGCATTGTACACATAATCCACATTATATTAGAACACTACTACACTAGTTTACACTTATGTATCAGAACAAAAGGCAATACCTGTGTCAACACCCTGAATCGCACTGCCAAAATCCTGCAATGTGAACAGCATACCAATTATGCCATGGACTTCAAATAACGACTGAATAAAATAGTGCAAGTACTGTATAGCATGCTACATTGTGGAATTAAGAGAAACACAAGTCATCTGACAAGTGTCTGAAGACAAGTGGAAACTTCTATATGGACTTACACTGCATTCCTTTAGTGAAAAGTCATGCCCCATATTGTCCAGATCCATAACAGATCCTACATGATTTTCTTGCAATCCAGAATTTTCACCCATTGCGGACAGAACATTTTCATCCTCTGTTGGCTGAGGAAAACCAGAAGCGTTTTGAGTAAATTCCAGTACGGTAATCTCAGAAGTCGGCATATCCTTATTGTCAAATGCATTGACATTGTCATGGACAATGTCACTCAACTCCCCTTTCATATCATCCACTGCTTGTGCAGAAACTGGATCAGAGCTATCCAGAACCACATCTGGACCAGGCATGTCATCTAGCACAAACAGAGGTGTATTTGTATTTGTGCTCCTCTGCAGATCAGCTGGAACATCTTGAAGATATTCCTTATCAAGTGAATCAACTTGAGCACTGTCACCCATATTAGTGGTTGCTTTCTCAACAACTGCAGTTTCTTTCTCATTATCAGTTAATTGTTCAGTTACTCCTTCAACATTGTTAACCTGTTTGTCAGATGGCATGTGTGAATCAAAATCAGTTCTAGTATCTGCTGCATCAGTTGCTTCAGGATGCATCGCATCTGACTCAGCTCCATCTGGTAGCACTACATGATCTTGGTGATTTCCACTGTCCTTTGCGCCAGAGGTGCCAACATCATTGCTGCCATCTGCCATAGTTTGGGACATGTCTAGCCGTACATGTATTTCCATATTATGAATGGTGGGATGAGCAACAATCTCATAGGTCCGATATTGCAAATCGTTTAGCTCCTTGCACATGCCTAGTTGGGAACACAAACATGCATCAGTAGAATTTCAGAGCATAAAACTAACCACTAATTATCCTCATATATCAAAACTAATTTCACTTCTGTTTCAGTTCTTTCCTAATTGAATTGAACATACAGTAAATGTGTAAAGAGGAAGCAGAGAATAAAAACCAATTTAAGTAGCTTACAGGAAAAGATGGGCTCATGGAATATATCATCTTCTAAGGAACCTTTCTCGATCATCCATATTTCGGAACGGGTACATGGAGCCTTTTTACGAATGCGCCTTATATCCTCAGTGCTGATCAACTGCTGCCGTATGGTACTGGAGAATGGAAGAAACTCAGTAAATAATATCACAGCAGAAAATAATTTGGACAGCAAAATAGTCCGCAATCTGATTTCCAGAGATGGACCAATCAACTCAATGTATATACTGCACAAAATTTACAAGAATATACGGAAAAAATATACTATTTGTTTCCCATCAGAAGACAGTGATGGCAGAAATTTAAGGACATAACACTAAAGAACAACAGTCACACAGTTCCATTCAACAAACTTGTTTGAAGGCTATGAGGCGTATACATACTCAGCATGTATAACCATGGCATCATCCATTTGCACTTTTCTCTTCGGTGTGGTACTCTTTGACGTCAACCTTGGACGTTTCAAAGATGACGTCTTAGGTGGTATTGGTGTTGAATCAAGCCTCAGTCCAGGGGTCCTTCTACCAACTAAATACAAGTCCACACAGTTAGTGTTAGACAATGCAGCAAAAGCCAGGCACAATTATTGTTGAGGAGGTTCATCCATACCTAATATAGACGCCAGTAAATCATCATCATCAGGAATACCATCAATGGTTCTTTTACCACGTGGTCTGCTAGACAATTTTTCAGTAGTTGCACTTTCGAGAGCTGGCAAACTGTCCTCCAAGTGTCTTTTTCTGCTAGTGAGACTACCTACTTTGTTACTTCCATCAGATTCAGTGGTTCCCTTTTCTGCAGTTACCTGGCCCAAGTCATTTGCCTGGTACAATTCAACGTCTGGAGCTGACAGCATTTTCTCACGTTCTGGAAATTCCAAGGTTGGTAGGTCACTTGGTATATCGTTAGATGCCATTTCTTGTGTTGATGCTTCTACATTCACTTGGGAATCTGCAGTTGCTAAGATAGCATGAGGTGCATGCTGACCGCCCCCTGCAAAACAAATAATCAAAAAGCAGATGATTTCACCTTTTTTTTATCAAATACAATGACTTTAAAAACAAAATCAACGAATAGTCAATTTACCTTGCACATCAACTGATCCATCATTAAACTGTGTTTGGTTCTCAATCACAGGTTCAGTAGGACCATCAGCGCATAGCTCTAAAGAATTTTCAACCAATGACACTTCAGTGGTTTCTTTAGCAGCTGTAGCTTCACCTGATGCAGCTACACCATCAGTATTTATCATTGACTTGTCCATGGTAGCTTCCAAGTTTGAGGTTTCAGCTTGGGGTGGCAATTCCTCAGTTGCACATTGTTGACTCAAGGAATCAATCTCCTGTACAGCACCAGAAGATTCAATTTGCACAGGCTTTGTCAATGCAAGTTCAGTCGTCTCAGCACCCACAAGATCATTAGCATTTTCAGCTGTCTTTGCAGTTTCATCATTGCTTGATGGTGAAGCTTTTCGCTGTGGACTCAGAACAGGACTTTCATGCACTCTGGAAGGAACAGTCTCTTCCATTAGGCCAGGTGTAGCCGGGGCCTGGGCACTTACAAACTCTGGTGATGCAGGCTCATCACAAGGGAAGGGACTAGGTTGATAGTATGAAGCTGATGGTCCTGCATTCCCATCATTGTTCAATAGCATATCATTCAGATCAGGTGTTTGCACATTGTATGTATGCCAATTAGGAAGACTGTTTCCTACTAGACCATCTGCACTTAACGGATTTAGTTTGTTGTGACTGGAAGGTCCATCCTCCATGTTGTATCCTTCAGCGCTTTCATCTTTATTTTGGTTATCATCAACTTCCATATCGGTAGGATGAACTGCTGATCGACCTTGAATAATAATGCTGAAGAGAGGCACAAACCAATGTAAATAAAGTAAAAATACAGAAAAAGGCAAATGCAAGATGCTGCCACTTTCAAATGTCATGGAAAAAAATCACAACACGTGTAGCAAATATATCAGTGTCACACCCCAGTATGGCCATCTGGACTCAAATCAGGAGAAAGTAGTAACTAGACCCTGGGTTGATTCAGACTCAGTCCAAGTGTACAATATAAGGTCAGAAGTTATAGGAAAACATAAAATTGCCTAGAGAAACTTAACCTCATCTGTGAAAACCCACAAAGGCTCCTTTAGATAGGATCAAAGACCCTTTATATGGGAGCAGAGACGTGTAGATAAAATTTCCAAGGGACTTGAATAGCTATTTTTTATAAAAAAAAGTGGAAGAGGTGATTTTACCCATCATCAGCCTCAAGTTGAATTGACTGGTCCTTGTTCAGCATTAATTCCTGAGGGGGAAACAAATAAAATTTAGCTGCTGAAGATATACAAAGTTTTGTTTTGGAATTGCAGTTTATCAAGTGATAGGACACAATAACACAACAACCAGAAATAGAGAGCTTCCATTAATCAGTCATCTATTAGCCATGTGTTACCCTATACTCAAAAGAAATATTGATTACTAACAGGTAATGAACCAAAGCTGCCAAATATACAACCAGAAGACAAGGCATAGACAATGGCCGCAAGGAATTGGTACATGGTAAAATCATTGTTATGTTCAATGTTCATGCTCTAAACATTCTTGTACAACTCAAAATGAGTTTTCATCTGCATAATCTGCATTCCCTATCATTATGACCTAAAAACAAACCAATATGTGAAGAACTGCCATGTTATGGAGCATGACAGTAAATATTTACTCTGGAAGTACATCTATGATAATGCGGAGAAGACTGAGATGATAAAAAAAGATCCAAACAGCACATACAAGATAATGCAGGATGAAGACCACAAACATTTCAATGAATTTTTGGAGAAAAGATATATTAGCTGAGATTACCTCTTCCAAATCCAACCCAATATGTGAAGAATTGCCATCACCAAATCTTTCTGTAAATAGAGATATGCTTAATATGATTAAATGGCTGGCTTCAAATTTTGAAAAGTAGATGACGAAAAGTAGATGGCGTGAATACAGAAGGACCAACCATCTAAGCCAAATTGGGATGTTGAGTATCCAGTTTTCTCTGGGTTGTCTTGCAAGGTGATCTGTTCTTTTGTGCTTACATGATGATCAATGTCACTGGATCATGGTGGAAAATCTTAAGAGAGTTGAAGGGCACATTTTAAATAACAAACTTATCACAACAAAACCAATGAACTTACCCCTGAAATGCAGCCTCCGGTAATTCAAAATCATCCAGATGGAATGTCTCTGGAAGTGTTATAGAATGATAAGGAGCAGTTGATTCTTCAGGGGGAAGATCAACGGCAGTAGACCTAAAGGCTTGTTTTATCTTCAGCAACGCTTCACTGCAATCATGGAATAGGTAGTTCACCTTGCGAGAATAGATCCTGACCACACCAAGCATAAGATGGCTTGATAATCGAAGTGCAATCGGAACTTCAGGGAATATAATTGAATCTGCAGGAAAAAAATGATTATTAATACTAAGCTCAAAATGAAAAAAAAAAAGACATATGGCAGATATATGACCACTGTTAGGAAAACATAACATTTCCATCACAAAATTCTGTGAATTGCACTAGTGAGTGTTTTAGTGATGCACATGGTGGTTTGCCCTGTATCATGGGCAGAGTTAATGCCATGCTTCAGCTGCTCTAAGATTTTAAGTCCATGTGTTGATGTTATAATAAACTTATAATGGAAACCTTTTCCTGTATTTATACTACTAAATAGTGGAGTACTATTTAGAATCATAACAGACACATGTGGCATCTAAGTACTTCTATTTTTATCTTTGGAGAAAGGAATGGAGTTGAATGTTTTTCACCAATTAACTGCTATAAGCTGGTTTGCTTGCCCAATGATGGCGTGACAGCGCTTTCTATCATCAATGCTATCCTTTTAGAAGAAATTAACATATTAGATGTAAGGACATGTGGTGGCCAGGGGTGGATCTACTGAGCAATGTGGGACTGCAGCTGCAGCTACAGGATGATGTAGGACAGCTGGAAGGATATGTAGTGCCTGGACAAGGCCAAAGGCATTCACGCGTACACCGCACCACTAGATTTCCGATGTAGTGGAATATTTACATTCATAAAAAAGTAAATTGATCACATTTTTCCATTGGAGAAAATTAAAGGCTACCAAAGATAGCTGGCAACCAATTGGCATAGCATGCATTGACACAGGCATTACTAAAACCCATGCAAGCAATACGGAAAAAAAAAGGCTAGGAACATAAAAGTAACTACACAGTAATTGCACGAAAGAAAACAAATATATCCCAAAATGGTAAGAACGAAATGAGAAGACAACGACAGCTTGCATTTTTCTCATATGCGAACAAAACATGATTTCTTTTCCTTCTTCAATATATAACTCATGCATATATGGCATGGAACCTTACATTGCTCGATGGCTCTTACATGCTACATACACTTATGTAGGTTTGAGTGATCTTCTAAGTAAGAAGTGGGTTAACATGCACGTATTTATTTTATTTTACAAATTACATGGTTCAAGTCGTATACTAGTCACCCTTCAATATGCATGCAATGAAACAGACACGTATTAAATTTGGTATAAGGAGATGGAAATAATGTTGTTATCAGCCTTGATCTCCATCAAACCATTGCCACTCTAGCCTGCTTTTACCTTTAAATAAATGGGAAAATAACCAAAGAAGCTTCTGGTTTACTCATTTTGCTGCACATGCATACAGGACACAGCTACTGGAGGTTTTCTTGAGTCCTCTCTCTCTATATCTTTATTGTCGGGTTCGCATCCTCTATATTGACCGTATATGGTATGCTTTAAAAAATAATGAGACGGATCAGTTGGTACCTTTGGAACATTATTTTAATCTGTATTTGGAATCCTCATATCTTTCTAAATTTGGCAGGAAAGTGATGTACATGGTGAAAGTGAATTGGAGTATTGTTTAGTTGGGCGCACCTCTTTGCATATTTCAATAAAATTCCCATATACACCCCAATCCAGTTGTGAATGGAATCTATGGATAGCTCATGGCATTCCCCATATACACTCCAATATTACTTGAAATTTGTCCGAATGATGCTTGTGTAGTTTTTTTTTTTGGTCAAAACAACATTTAACTAGCTTTACACTTTTCTAAATTCCATAACTTTCTGTTCGCTGGGCTTCATTTACAAATTATCACATTCCTATTCCTAACACAAGCTTCACTGTGTAGAGACACGACTTGACAGCTAATATCACGGAGCCTTAACCAACTTCACAATATTGCATGATCATGGCACTAAAAAAAAGATGTTCTTTCTCATGTTTGCTACACTTCAACTAGAATTCCGTAACCAAGTCCTTACATACCACATGCATCACAGATACCAATCCTTAACACAAGCTTCACTGTGTACAAATGCATTATCAGCTATCATGCAATCAAATCCTATGCTACAATTTTGCTTCCTTCTCTACAGACCCTGTGCACTTATGTTGTCTGAGACCTTCACAGAAGTATTGAATTCTGGTCATCGTAAACCCAGATTTTGAACTGGATTGACTTGCATATAATAGCATTAGCAACAGAGCAACATCAGAGGAAAAAAAGAGATCTCATCTCTACCACTATATCCGTGATAAAACCAGTCCAGTAGTAGTTCTGCTTGAAGGCAAGCTACCAGCATTCTCAATCTAATAAGCTGTACTTAACTATTACGATTAAATCTATAAAACAACTAGCGACGACGATGGATACTGTAAAAGCACATAATAAAATAAAATATTGTGTCATATTAGTGAACAAGTGGCTTGTAACTAGTGAGGGAGTTAGTGTTTTCTTTGTCCCCGAGAAAGAACAAAAACACTATATCCGCAATTTGTCAGACATCTAAAAGCATATAGCTTTTACAACTCTAGTGATGGCATAACAAAATCCACATGAAGCATTAATACTAACAACCAAATGACCAGTGCAACTCAAGGTTGAAACTTTTTACCAATCTATCAGTTGTAAGAAGCTAATCAGCGACTGCATTGATACAGGTGGTTTCTTTTCCTATTACTGTAGTACAACAGTGATAATCCAGCAGACGAGCACGTATAAGCAAAAATGAAGAGACAGCTCATTAGCATAGTTGTAAAAATATGGTTGCTCTGCCAGCAACAACTAGGTCAACTAGGAACTAACACTATCCCAAAAAAGCTAACATCTTTTACTAATTAATCGCAACATATGAGCAGTAAGAATACATATAACCATAAATAAGCGAGAAAAAAAATGTTTTCCCCCTCCTACAGCACAAACGAGCATTAGCAAAGACAATGCTTTAGCAGTCTACGTGTGAGGCCCTAACATGCTCGAACAGAAACAAAAAAAAATGGTAGTAGATCCGAAAAGAAAAAAGCTTGTGAAACAGCAAAATCACCCACCTACGGAGACGCCGATATCCGTATCCGCGACCTGATTCTTCCGCAGCTTCCGCTCCAAATGCGCCGCGATCCATATGGTCCCGAGGGGCCCCTTCTTGGCCAAGATGAACTGCGAGTAGAACATTTTCCACCCCCCACCTCCCTTCCTCAGCACCTCACCACCAAACCCTAGCTCAGCTCAGCACCACCCAAACACACACACACCCCAAGCAAAGCTCCCACCCTCCCAACACCCTCCTTATCCCATCTCTCCACGCCCCCCAAATTCCAAACCCTAGGCGGAACAAGGAACAACACCCCCCGAAGCTCCCCCGAAACCCTAAATTCGTGCCGGGAAACCCTAGAACCGCCTTCGAATTGGGCCGCGCGAGCTGGGGAGGAGGTGGGATCTGGGGAATCCGCGGCGGCGCGAGCAACTGGGGCGTTCGAATTGGAGGCCGCGAGGAGGAGGAAGGCACGAAGATTTCGAACCCAAGGGCGAAAAAATTTTGGATCTTTTTTTTTTTCTCGAGAGGGGGGAGTTCACAGTGTTGTGTGGACTCGCACTCGCAGCGACTTGAGGAGAGGCAGCTAGCGAAGCAAAAGTGCTGCACGCTTCGCAATTTAGCCCCTGGAGAATTGACAAATTACGCGCGGGGCTCTCCGCGTGCGTACCGTTGGTACGAGGGCGAGGGTGTGGATGTGTTTTTCACTTTTTTAGGATGGGTGGAGGGGGTTTAATGTAAAATTAGCGGATTTTTGAAGAGGGGCTTCCGCTCGCGAGAAAACCGGGAGAATATCAGGATATCGTGTTGGGGGTGGGGGGAGGAGCGCCGTTGGATGGGGGATGGGTAATGGGTTTGAGGCGGTGTGGTGTGTGGTTACCGTTGGATCGTCTCGCGAGATGTTGGCGCCGTCTCCCAACTGCTGCGGTTGGCTTCGTGCTCGCTTGACTAGCTGAGACCTGTCACGTGTGCGTGACTCTTCTTTCCCCGTAGTATATACGTGGAGTACGTGTAGTATTTTGAATTTTGAGAGAGGGGCGGAACATTCCGGGCTCGGCCATGCAAGTTAATTACGTACCCCTCCGTTAAAAAAAAAAAACTCAATCATAACTACGAATCTGGACATAAATATGATTAGCTTCGTGGCTAAGGTTGTATCTTTTTTAACGGAGTAATACAAGTTAACGATTATTAGAGACTAAAAGAATAATTTATTGATAATAATTTTTAGAATAAATTTCACATAACTACGCGTATTTGATCTGTCTATCGTAAAACTATATATTCAAGTGGTTTATCTTAGCGTGCTAGCCGCTGCTTCATTTCGTATAGCGATAACGCTTTTCTCTTTCTTAGCGCTCCACCCCGCGGAGAACTCTGGTTGTGCTTTGGTTGGCTTTCTCTTTTTTTCTATTTTCTCTGACTTGACTCAGCTTGACCAACTTGACTCAACTGTTAGAGTATAAATATTTGTATTTATGGGTCTGTCTAAAAGTCTTTAGCATGTTTTTTGAGTAAAAAACTTTCGAACCATGTTTTTTGAGTAAAAAACTTTCGAACCTAACTACATTGTATTATAGTTACAACGTAACTACTATACATCGGGCATGACTAAACAAAAAGATGTCTTTGGCTCAACGGCATGCGCCATGCTCGTCGGGGGAGAGGTCCTTGGTTCAACCCCCGCCTTGCTCGTGCGAAGGTTTTTATTCCACCACATGTACATAGCATGACTCTTGAAGCGCATCAAGCGGAACTACTTGATATGATCCAGCGATAAGAATATGGACAGACAAAACATTAAAATTAAGTTTTAAAATTAAATTTTGATTGCAACCAAAAAGTTGAAGAGCATACATTATTCGAGTCACAAACAGAAGACATTCAATTTGGGACTGGTTTGATTTGATGGTGTATTAACGAAATTTGAGTCGAAGAAATTTTGGAGGAAAAATGGACGAATTTAATCCAAAGGAATTGTCTTTATGCGTGCCATTTGCTTTATATGATTGCTTCAAAGGAAATACATAGGATAAAAAAGTTGCCTCTATTTCGTAGGAATGCTAGCATGAGGTCTAATCTTGTGTTTTCAATTTTCTTTGAAACTCCATTCTCTCCCTTTCTATCCTTATCCTTGTTCTAACAAATCAACACGTAAATTTTAAGGGCTCCTTTGGATTGAAGAATTTTTAAAATAAAGGATTGGAATCCTTAGATGAACTTCCCTATGGGGGCTCTTCGGATCAAATGAATAGAGATGCCAACACTTATATAGATTGGCATCCTCCCCCGTTGTATAGGAAAATGAACATGAGCTCATACGAACAATTTTCTTTTAAATTCCCATGTTTGTTTCCTACCATCCAAAATGCACCAAAATTAGTATTTCGGTGGCTTGGAACCTTGCAGGATTGTGTAGAACATTATATCATAATCTTGCATATTTGTAGCCCCATTTTTTGGCTTATGATTATACTTATAAGCTAAAATTTGAATTTTTGAGTTGATTTTAGGGTTTTTCATCGCGGTTTATTTTTCAGTCTTTGCTTTTAGATCGTTAAGAACACGTATATAAAGGTTTTATTTACAAATCATTTTTCGTTTGTAAATATGATGTTTCGCTGGAGTCCTTAATGTTACTGCGTTTTCAAAATCCTGTGTTCCAAATGAGCTCTAAATTTCTTGGTTTTTCATGTGATACATCAAAACATGTGTTCGGAGCATTTCCCGTGTGATTCAACATGGTACATGAATCAGTTAGCCAGCGGTCAAATCGTGGTCACCACATACGGAGTACGTGGCAGTGGCATAAAACAACCTGGACTCCTTCGATTCGTGTCCTCCCGAAACCGAGCTCGTTATCGGGTCCAATATTCCAATCCGACACGAGCGCGACCACGTACGCGATCATCACATCACATATACACATACCGCTGCTGGTTTTTGCTCTGCCCCGCGTTAGGCGATCGATCTCATCTCTCCTTCTCCTGTTGCTGCTCGGCCCGCCGCGTTCGTCGTCGTCGACCCCGGCCGGCCATCCGCTCGCCGCCGGCGTGCGCCTAGCTAGCCATCCATCCATCCATCCATGGCCGTTGCAATGATGCACTACTTCTTTTTCCGGCGACACCGCCGGGACGACGACGGCGGCGGCGAGCAGGACATGCTGCTGCGCGAGAGCTTCCTGCGCCGGATGGAAGAAGGCGCCGCCGCCGCCGCCGCCGGCGACCAAAGGCGGTCGCCTCCGACTCTGACTCCGACTCCGAGGCGTTGCTACTCACGGGAAGCTGGCTACCGCTCCGTCCGGGTAAACCAACTTAACCGATGTATACAGCTAGTAATTATTTCATTAAGGCTGTTCTTTTCTTGCTCCACATGAAGATCGAAAAAATCTCCCGAGTCCATAATTACAGATAAACAAATCCGGCTAGCAAATGTCACAAAAGGTTCCCGTGCATACTAACTAGCAAATATCACTGAAATTTTTAGAAAAAAAAATGTACAAATACTTATAATAGTATTACACCTACCGAACTACGCGTGAAATATTATCTTCAAATTCATTATATTTTAGCCATAATAAAAAGAATAAAATTATGATAGATTTTTACCCTCAAAACTGTCATTTTTTTTCACTTTTTTGTTACGACTAAAATATAAGGGAGAATCCCTTATATGCCACTCTAAATTAACCGACTCCCTTATATGCCACTTTAAATTGGCTTCTCACTTTTATGCCACCGGTTCAAGTTTCTCCTCCCTTTTATGCCATTGCCGTCAGTCCATCGTCAGTTGATCGTTAACTTCATTGAAAAAGACGCATTTGCCCTTGAGAATTAGTATACAACCAATAATAGGTATTTTAGTACTAATATAACTATTGGATACAACATATGAAAATTGATTTTTTCTACATCACATGCAATTTTAGCCATTACCATCACAAATAAATTTTAAATGTAAGCATGAAACATGCAGTTTTCCAACAATATTTTTAATATAAAGAGCATTTTTCACTAGTTCTGACAAAATTTTGTTCACTCAAAAAGGATTTAAAATAAATTAGTTATGATTTTTTGAAGTTTACACATTTTTTTAGTTGAGAGGGCATATTGGTCATTTACGAAAAAAACTAACCTTTGACTAACAGTCAACTAACACTATAGTGGTGGGAGTGGCATAAAAGGGTGAAAAAACTTAAACTATTGGCATATAAGGGAGAAGCCAATTTTGAGTGGCATATAAGGGAACTGGTCAAATTCTAGTGGCATATAAGGGATTCTCTCAAAATATAATAAGTTTGAATATGAGACTTTGCATATATGTGTAGTAGTACTAGAAGTAAATGCCCAATTTTTTCTAGAATTTTTCATGACATTTGCTAGTTGGTGTATATGGGAAGCTTGCATGCATAGGATATGTTCGCCAATTATATGTATCCCAAGTCTCGTTAGTTCTCTTCTCTCACTGCAAGTGCTCGTAATTAGCAATATGCTCGTACATTTGCAGATATGCTTAGTTAATTACAACTCGTAATTAATACTCCCTCCGTTTTATTGTATTATAAGTCGCAACTTTTTTCCTAATCAACTTTTTAAAGCTTGATTAAATTTGTAAAAAAAAATAGTAGCATCTCCAACACCAAATTAATTTTGTTGAAATTAATATTCAATACCAAGTTTTATGAAAAAGATACTACCATTGAATATCTACCATACTAAATTAGTTTTAATAAATGTAACATTGAATATATGTTGATATTATGTTTGATTTGTGTTGAAAATGTTAATATATTTTTTATAAGTTTGATCAAACTTAAAAATGTTTGACTATGAAAAAAACAAAACAACTTGTAATATGAAACAGAGGGAATATATTTTAATAATATGTTTATTTTGTTATATTTATCTATAAACTTGATAAGTTTGATAAAAAAAGATAAAAATGACTTATATAATATGAAACGAAAGGAGTATGATACAACAAATTTTCTTTTGCAGGGTTTTGGGGTCATGGGGAGCTTAGTGCTGTTGTCTTTTGGTATCATCGGGTATCGTACAAACCCTGCATCCTGCCCACCACTGCCGTTTCTAATCGTCCTCCCTCTTCTTCCCGCAGCATTTGTTTTGATGCTAACGCAATAAAAGCCGGTTTTCATATGAACACCATCCAGCATTTGTTTTCATTTTTTGCGTTCAGCATTTGTAAAAAGACTACTTGTTCCCTTGTTTCTCATTGTGAGAGCAAACATATTTATGTTACCTTTGGAAATTAAAACTTCTGTAGAAAATTTGAAGGTTCAATTTCTGAACAAGTAACTCCAATAGAATGCTTCAGGGATTGTTTATATACTCTTGATTGTGGTTTGGGCTGTGTACATCTTTCTAAGGTGTAGAAGCCGGGTTAATATAATCCATTATCTTAAAAAAAAAAGATGCTTCAGGGATTGTTCCGCTGCATTCCAATCGGCGATATGTTTCAGGGATTGATGGTGCAAAATGTTTTCCCATTGCACTGCAACTTTGAAATCTTTTACTACTATATGGTTATTACTGGTTGGCGTTCCTAGTAGGCTCAATGACCAGAACATGAGCTGGGATTTCTGCACACCACGCTTTGTTCAGGGTTTTCTAATTTGGTATCAGCTAAAAAGCAATGCATCGTTACTGTGGGGAAAAAAAACTACGGAAGACGATTCCTTGTATACCTACCACGATATTACAGGCTTACAATGAATGCTAAGAAACCTTTAAGTGTTAGTAAGCTGCTCCCATTGGCTTTCAAGGCGTGTTCAGAAGAATAAGGTTGGAAATACTAGGGAGAAGTGTTTTCAGACTTTCTGGGACAACATCCATTTTTGGACAATGACTGGAACAGCTAGCCAGATAAGTAGTTTAAGGCATTATAAAAACTGACTCAAAACTTGCTGAACCTTGACCTTCTACTTGCATGCTCTGACCTAGAGTTCCCTACTTTCCAAACCATTGCCAAATGAGACACTTTAGCAATATTCTATAAATTCTGAAGCAGCTGTAAATGAACATCAGTTTGACATGTATCATGTATGGCAATCTGTAACTCCATCCGACAATCAACAACTATATCCATTAACTTGCTGTTCTTTAAAAAAGGGACAGCAATAGTACCAACAATTCATTGACTGCAGTCAATTATCCTAACAAACAATTCATCGACTGCAGCAATAAGAGGAAGTAAGAGTAAGGTCAATTATCCTAACAATTCATTAACTGCACAAGACAATCCATTGACTGTAGTAGTAGTAGGAGGGAGCAAGATCAATTGTCCTAACAATTCATTGCTACTTATCATTTGGATGAGAAGTGATTCTATCGATATGTAATATCTTCAAGTCTCCTTGTTCATGTGATCCTGCAAAAGGGATAAAAACTTTTCTTTGTTAATACTTTGTAACATAAACTGCAACTTGCAAATAAGAAACAATTAATGAGACTAACAATAACCCAAAGAGCTAAATGCAGAAAGGTAGCTATCCCCCAAAGGATATACAATCCGATGGCCTCAGTTGGAGCTAGCTCCAGATAGTTATAGAGTATAACCATCAAAGTGATGCCAAGCATGGCAAGTCGAGAAGCAACTTCTAAATATACGGATAAGATCAAGCCCCATATATCTCTCTCTACACATTGCTCTCCCTGAGCTGCTGCAAATCACACCGACAACAATGCAAATCCACCACGACGAGAAGATGTAGTGGAAGACAGACGGGCTGCAGGGTGACACTGTTTTCCTCAGTCCAGAGCCTAGATAGGGTAGGAGGGCAGGACCTCCAAGAAAACCATAATTGAGGAGTTCTTTGCATTTTCCAAAAAGGGACGACTCCTTAATCTGCAAAGGACCAAATAGGCACAATCATTTCAGAACAGGTGTTTCATAATGCAATTTTTTTAGAAGAAAGAGACAATCGTTTCAGAATGCAAAAAGTGTCAGAATGCAGAGACTCCTTGAACAGTCTTGAATGCATAATCAAGAACTCAAGATACCGACCCGACGAATGCACAACTAAGAACTCAAGAGAAAGAAGTTGAATGCACAATCAAGAACTCAAGAAAACATTGTTGAATACCTCCGATTGCTGAAGTGGATCAGAGTCCGCTGCACTATTCCTCATCTCGCTGAAGTCCTTGCCCTCGCCGGTCATCTTCTCGTTCTTGTCCTGACATGACCCAAGAAGGGGCTCGGTTAGGAGGTCGCCGGCGTCCCTCCCGCTCGTGCTGGACTCCGGCAAGGACCCCCATCCCGAGGCGGCTACCGAGAACGCGTAGGTCGCGCAGGTCAGATTTTGGGCCGCATCTGAGAGACCCGACGCTCCTGACGCGTCGGCCTCCTTGGCCACCATGGACGCCGCATCGAAAATCCGCTCGGCGGCGCGCCGCCTCGGCTCCGCGTCGGTGTCGGACCTGGACAGCGCTTCCGCAGCCTCCAGCAGCTTCTTGCCGGAGACTCCGCAGGCGTCGGCGGCGTTGGCCACCTCCTTCGCCACCCGGACCATCTCCGCGGCGGTGATGGGGGAGGAGGCCTCGGCCGCGTCCCTGGCCGAGGAGATGGAGCGGCCCAGGAGCGCGGCGGAGCTCCAACTCGTCACCGGAACGGGGAAACCCCGCATCTTCTTCCGGTGGATTCTTGATCGCCTCCGGTCGTCGAGGATTTCTTGATTTCAATCGGACTTTTGGTTATGGGGGGCAAGGGAAGAAGAAGAAGAGGCTAAGGAGGAGGGGCTAGATGGCAATGGCGTGGCCGTGTGCGGAGAAGGAGCTCCGGATGGGGAGAGGCGAGCCGAGGCGAGGGGTTTGGGAATGGCGGAGAGGCGCGATTTTGCGGTTTTGGATGACGCGGCTCGAGGTGGAAGACGAGGGGTCGTTTGGTAAATAAGGGATAAGTAGGGTGGCAAATGGAAATTATTTGCAATCTTCACGTTTCCAGCGTATTGCTGGATTGCGGTGATGGTGAAAGTTATTACTAAACTGCCCCCGTTAGCTCCATTTTGAATCGTTTGCCATTTATTGCAAGGAGGGATATTTTGGTCATTAGTAAAAAAAGCATTCCCTTCCATATCCATCAAGTTCGTTAGTGCATCATTATTATATTGCAGTCGATAATAATGCAATATGTATTTTTCAGTGCTTATTTTTTCCTAATAGAAGCATGTTTTCTCTGATATACTCCGTAGTTAGAACATCAAGTTAATGGATATAGTTGATTGTTGGCTGTTAATTTGACCGGTGAGTGTGTGACCAATATGCAAGTTACAAGCCGGGATGCTTCATCCTCAGCGTTTTAAAACTGATAACTTGCAAGGTTTGTATTTTTTTTACTTGCCCCCCTTAATACAAGTTCGGCCGCCCAGCGAAAAACAAAAAAAAAAGTTTCAGGCTTACTTCTGATTGAGCGTGCGCATTCACCTTGTTCTTTTTCATCGTTTCCTCCACCGCAATCCTGAACCGATAGGCTATTCATTGCACACCAGTAAATCTCACGTATCGTCTACAGAGTAGAGACACTGAAGAAGGCATCGGCGTCTCTGTCGATTGCGTGCGTCCGCCTTCGAGATGGGAAGACAGAGAACAGCCTAACGACTGACACACCCTTTCACTTGCGACCAGGGTTACATTAACGTCGGTAACCGTCCGTGCGGTTATCTCCTTTACCACGGGGTACGGTAAAAGAAATACCGCGGTAATCTCCTTAAATTCAAATAAATTTAAAAAGTAATTTAAATTTTTGATAAATTTTGCACGGTTTCGTACGGTTTTTCATGGTTTCCGCAGTTACCGCGTGGTAACCGTGCTTACCGCCAGGGCGCGGTAACCCCGACCCCGACGGTTTGGGAAACCTTGCTTGCGACGCGACACGATTCGATTAGAAGAGCAGCATACACCAGCATGAAACGAGGGAGGATTTTGTATGGATGAGATATATATGTTTCATTTGTTTAAAATCCCTTATATTTATCGATTAGAAGATCAGCGCACACATGCATCGTATTAATTTGTTTTGGAAAAAGTATGAATTGACCTCCTAAACTATCGCCGTCGATCAAATTACCCCATGAACTTGAAAAGCAGACATTTTACACCCTCAACTATGCAAATCGAACAAATTATCCCCTAACTCAATCCGGTGTGGTTTTAATCCTACATGGCAGTCTAGTCAGCAATTTTTTTTTGAAAAATCGGTGGGACTCACATGTCATACCCTTCCTCTCTCCCCTTTATCCCATACCTCCTCAATCCCCATCCTATCTCTCTCTTCTCCCTCCCCTCCCCTCCTCTCCCCTCCATCTCTCTCTACAATCAAGCCGAGCAGGGAGAGAGGAAGAGTATGACATGTGGGGCCCACCGACTTTGGAAAAAAATGCTGATTGAACTGTCACGTAGGACCGAAACCACTCTGGATTGAGTTAGGGGGTAATTTGTTCGGTTTGCATAGTTGAGTGTGTAAAATATCTGGTTTTTGAGTTAGGGGGTAATTTGATCGACCACGATTTATGGGGGTAATTCATTTTTTTTCATTTATTTTTTATTTTTGGCTGACACTTAATTAATCAATTAATTATTTATTATTATATCGTTCCGTTTTCGATACGTAGGGATTAGTTCGGTAGTTCTACGGGTCCGCATCCTCTGCCTTCGAGACCAACGGCAAACTTTGCCGTTGCTTTTATCCATGCGTGACATAGTAGAATCAACGGTGTATGGCTTGAGCCCATGACAGTGATTAATTAACAGCTAAATAATTGATAAAATTAGATGTTTCTCAAGCAAAATCTCTACTACTTAAAAATAAAGACGTGCTTCCATTGTCCGTAAAAAAAACCGGGAAAAAAACAGGCGAAAAAAAGTCCGATAAAAAAATGGAGAAAAAAATGTCCGATCAAAAAAACGGAGGGAAAAAAAACAACTGTCCGACCCAAAAATTACGAACCGGACGAAAAAAACAGGCGAAAAACAACGAGTGAAAAAAAGTCCGATCAAAAAAATCGGAGCGAAAAAACAGGAGAAAAAAATATCAGCTCCAAGAAAATATGGGGAAAAAAACGAAATGAGTCAGTAAAAAAAGGGCGAAAAAACCCGGTGAAAAAAAGTCCGACCAAAAAAAATCGGAGCGAAAAAAAAGGGGAGAAAAAAATGTCCGCTCCAAAAAATACGGCACAAAAAAACGAAACGAGTTAGTAAAAAAAGGGCGAAAAAATTATCCGATTCCTGATTGCATGTGACGCGGTAAAAAAAAATCGACCAGGGAAAAAACCGAGTGAAAAAAACCGGGCTAAAAAATAAAAAAAATTCCGATAAAAAAAGGGGCGAAAAAAAAACAAATATGTCCGATCCAAAAAAAGGCAAAAAAAAGGAAGAAAAATCGAAACGAATCCAACTTCGTCGACGCAGTAAAAAAAGGGCGAAAAAAATAAATAAAATGTCTGATTCTAAAGAAAAAGGAATTATATGTGACGCGGTAAAAAACAAATCGAATCATATTATATCTAGAAAGGTCCGACACTATAATAAAGTGGTGAAAAAACCGTTCGTAAAAAAATGCACGAGAAAAAAAAGGCGAAAAAAAGCGCGGCGGAAAAAGTCTAATTCGTCGTTTTATATCTCTTCTTTATCTCTAATCTAATCTAATGTAACTATGTTTCTACCGTATATTAATAAAGAAAAAAATGCACGAGAAAATAAAAACGGTTTAAAAAAACACGTGAGAAAAAAGTGTCAGAAAAAAGCGCAAAAGAAAACACGCTAGAAAAAAAAGTTCAATAGTCCAAAAAAACACATGAGAAAAAAGCAAAAAAAAAAAAGCATACGAGGAAAAGAACCGTTAGAAAAAAATGCTAAATTTATGGACAGCTGGTTGGATAGGTTGCAACCACTTTTTTTCCATCTCCAGGACTCGTCATCTATTCTTCTATAGTGGAGACCCTGCACATCTTTGTAGATAATTATCATACTATTTTTTGAAGTATAACTATTATTATTCTTGATAACATGTTATATGGAAATAATCTTAGAAAATAAACATATTCTAATTGTTATTTAGAGAAGAGTGCATAGTGACTCTATTTTGTGTAGACTTGACCATACGAGGCAGTGTAGGATTTGATTGGTTGTAAGAATGAGATTAAAAGAATATTTTAGATTATATGCATGTTGTTATATGAATAATTCAATTATTTTAGGTAAAGCAAACATCGTAAGGTTGCCATAACCATCATCGAGGTTGGGCTATTACATTTAACATGTTTCAATTTTCTGATTTTCTGATTGTCATCGACATGGTTATGCATGAAAAATATATCATTACGATTTTTCACCCGTTGCAACGCATGGGCATGTTTGCTAGTAAATCAAGAAACAAAATCTGTGATGACAGAGCACGAGGAATACACAATACATTCCCTCTCGCATTTTGACGCCAACAATATGAATGAACATCCAATCTCCATTCATTTAGAAATAACATGAAAAGAAAAAAAAATCCTTCGTTGATGGAGCAGCCAATTAATCTTAATTACCACCTTATGATGCAAGAATATTCTCTTTATTTGATATGTCACCATATTGTACCTTTCGTTGTTATCCTTTTTAAATCTATATTTTATGTTTTTACTAGCTTCTTTCATACTATAAAAAGTGATTTACCAAAGCTCTTGTTCATATTATTCAGTTAAAAGAACCCATGTTCACTTAAAGCAATTCGATCTCTTTTGTTATGCGCACCCTGCCACCGCTTATTTTGTTTGTTGATTCTTTTTCCGCAGAGAAACGCATGGTTTTATTGATTAAGTAGGTGCTAATTAGTAACTGGTGAGGCCAAGCTGTTGCAGCTGTTGATCTCAAGATGGGTGGCCTACAGGAAAGCAACGGTAAAGTTTGCCGTTGATCTCAAAGGCAGAGGATAATTAATCAATTAATCATTTATTATTATATCGTTCCGTTTTCGATATGTAGGGATTATAATTTGGTAGCTCCCAATGGCCTCTCGGGCACGCGTGCGCTCGTACCTCTACTCCCGTGGCATTGATTATCCCGTGGACGGTCAGATAGTGCTCGACGTGCACGTGGCATAGATCGAACGGGGGTGGGGTACGTCTTTTGGTTCGAACTCGAGTAACAAAATCTTCACGAAAAACACAAAAGTTTAGGGCTGGTTTGGTTTGATACCAATTTATTACCCTACTAAAATTTTGGTAACTTCAATAGTAGCAATTGCATGTTTGATTTCAATAGTAGCAATTGCATGTTTGGTTTGCTACCAAATTTTATTTGCAATAGTTCAAACTAAACACCACCCAATTTGGTAGTGTCAAAATTTACCAATGTTTTGGCAGTAACAAAATTTTGGTAGGACAAAAATTGGCTCCAAACCAAATAAACCCTTAATTTGAATCCGACCCGACACGGGAGACGCACTACTACGCGATCGGTCATATATAACTTGTTTGGTTTGCTTCCTACGCGCGCTTTAGGCGATCGATCTCACATCGCTCACGTACGCACGCGCCGCGCCGCGCCGCGCCGCGTTCATCGTCGTCGTCGTCGTCAACGACGACCAGACCGACCGGCGCCGTCCGGCCATCCGCCGCAGCGCGCGCCGCTCAACGGCGCCCCTTCCCGGCCGGCGGCCAACCATGCCCGTTCTGATGCTCCCCCGGCAATACGATGCCGCCGCCGCTCCTCGACGGACGACGGTGACGATCGACGACAGCGAGGCGGCGCTGCTCGAGAGACTCCTCCGCCGGATGGAAGAAGGCGACGACGCCGCCGCCGCCGGCGGCGACCAAACGCGAGCCAACGACCGGCGTTGCTTCTCGGTCAAGGCTGGCTGCCGCTTCGTCCGGGTAACTTAATTAGCTTAACCGATACGAGCAGCTAGTATATTAATTACGCCCTCTGCTGAGTTTTTAGTTGGTCAAATTTTTTAAGTTTGTTTAAGTTTGTAGCAAAAAAAAAGGTAATATTTTAATTTTAAAATATATTCAATGTTAAAATTAATGAAACTAATTTCATGTCACAAATGTTGCTATTTTTTCTATTAACTTGATCAAATCTAATTCAAACGATGTATAATATAATAAGGAGGGAGTAATTATTAGTGCCAAATTCTGGGTCATATGAGGATTGAAAATCACTACCCTAAATATAAATCCAGTTATCTCAATTACCTTCATACATATTCGGACATACTTACACCTTCTAATTTATTTAAATATTTTTTTCTGCAGGGTTTTGGGGCTATGGCGAGCTTAATACTGGTGTCTTTTAGTCTGATGGGTGATAGTTCCTACTCACTGGCGCTTCGAATAATCATCTCTCTTTCTCCCGCAGCATTTGCTTTCTTTCTAACCCAAGAAAATCCGTTTTTCGCACGAGAACCATTCGTTCGTTTTTTTCTTCAATGAATTTTATCATTCAGTATTTGTTAAAAGGAGTAAATCCCTTCGGGAAAAAAAAATCAACGCTATAATTCTAAACACAACGGTTTTTCTTCCTGTATCCCAGACAGATGTTTCTGAGATTGTTGATGCAAAATTATTTGTAATCTTTTTCTATTAGTATATGGTTACTGGTTGATGTTCCTAGTGAGCTCACCCAGATTTCTGCACGGTGCAAACACACTATGACTGTGTTTAGTTTCTGAAATTAGGGAGAAATTTAGAAAAAGTTCAGAGTTTATGTGTGTAGAAAAGTTTTGGATGTGATGGAAAGTTGGGAGTTGGAGGAAGTTTGATGTGAACTAAACAGGACGTATATTCAAGATACTTGTAGTTTGGTGTCAGGTTAAAAAAAACAGATCAATACGTCAGTACTGTCGAAGCAAGAGAGAGATAGCGCGAAGGAAGATGAGATAAAGAGGATCCCTTGTTTGCTAACCACAACATGGTTGGCTAACCATAACATTGTAGGAAACCTTACTCTTTTTTTTTTTTTTTGGGGGGGGGGGGGGGTTGGAGAAGTATCATTTTTTAGGCAATGACCGGATAACAAGTGAACAACTAACAAGATCTGTAGGTTAAGGCATTATGTAAATTGATTAGTTCCTCCTAAAGTTACTGAGAACGCCCCAAAATACTGTCAAAAGTTGCTTGTTTTTGGAGAAATTAAGACCATAATACCCATCACTAATAAGGTATGGTTAGATGTGCGCTGGGTTTAGATATAAGATGGAAATGTTTTGAATTAGAGATGATTAATGGGACGGTTAGCACCGGAGAAAAAAGTTTGAATCCCTCAAACATATCACTGTGAGGTACTCCCTCTATTTCATATTATAAGTTGTTTGACTTTTTTTTAAGTCAAACTTCTTTAAATTTGATCAAGTCTATAAAAAAAATATAATGATATTTTCAATACAAAACAAACATATTATTAATATATATTCAATGTTAGATTTAATGAAACTATTTTGATATTTTATATGTTGTTAAGTTTTTTTTTATAAACTTAGTTAAAATTAACAAAGTTTGACTTAGAAAAAAAAATCAAACGGCTTATAATATGAAACGGAGGGAGTAGTATCTATAAAAGACATAGAAGTAATCCTAACAATTCATTGACTGCACAAGGGTCCACTGCATAAATAAGAGGGGGGCAAAGAATATATCGAAAGAAATGGCACTGACAGGCTGCTAGGCTCACAAGGTCCTCCAAGTGCAATGCTAAAATCAGCTCAGAAGTCACAAGATAACTAAACTACCACCGAATCAGACATAAATTTTTGCTGTATTTACATACTAACACCCCACCCAAAACAAACAAACAAACCCAGCAATGGCGCCCTTTGTCTGGGTGTGTAATCTGTAACAGGCTAATGTAATAAACAATTGAATGCACATATCCAACAGAAAACCTAATAAAATGTTATCACAGAATAGAGAGAATAATATATGAACTGCTGAATTTCACCAGAAGCAATGCAGTTTTACACCATGCAAAGGTTCTACTTCTAACTTGTAACACTCGATAATCACAATTGTAGGATCAACACTGAATTGGGACTGTTATGCCATCAATGTACATCGAGCATCAGTATGTTCGCAACTCATTTGCAGAAGGTTGAAGAGTGAGATAACATCGAGCAACTCTACATTTGCCATGTATCAGTATTTGTGCCACTGTACTAGAACACTAAGATGGTAAAGGGCAAGATCCCTACATTTGCCATGTATCAGTAATTGTGCCACCGTACTAGACCCTAAGAAGTAGGTAAAGCAAAAGATCCCAATGAAAGAATGAATCAAATTATCAACAATCAGCCACTCCTAATTTTTGGTCCTGACAAAAACTGTCCAAATACTCCTCTCTTTTCGCATACCAATTGGATTGGGATCAATCAGCAGCATCTCCGGGGGCCCTGCTCATGTAATCCTGTGAGAACAAAAGAATTTGTAACTACAAAACAACAAAACCTGCAATATGGAAATAAGAAACAAGGCCTGAGGAACTAACCATAGCCCAAACGAGTAAATGCATACATGTAGCGGCCCCCAAAAGGATGTACAGTGTGTAGATTTCATTGGGAGCTAGCTCTAAGTGACTGTAAAGGATCACTAGCAGTGAGACGCCCAAGATTGCAAGTCTAGCAGATGCTCGAGCATAGAAAGCCAAGATGAAGGCAAGGATGTTCTTCATCATGGCTCTCCCTCTATTGCCACAAAGTACATCGAGGCCCACACATATCCACCATGTACAGAAAATAATATGGAATGTGCTTGGGCTCAAGGGGGAGTATGCGCTCTTGAGTCCGCCTGTCCTCGTCAAATAAGGGAAGATGGCAAGGGCACCAAACATTCCATAGTTGATAAAGTCTCTCTCACTCTCAGACAATTCAATAATCTGCAAAACGAAAATCAAATAAAATTAAGAACTAAATACTACTATACAATTGGCATATCAAGGAAGGAACAAGAAGCAAGCTCCTCTACATTTGGCAAATCAAGAAAGGGAAAAGAAGCAATCACCTATACAATTGGCAAATCAAGGAATGAAAAGGAAGCAATCTGCAAGTAGAAACTCCCAATTTAAGCTCACTGTTCCAAACAGAAAGTCATGTGCATCAATAACGCTAATATAGTTTGAATCTGTATGAGATATGGTTCTTTATGAGATTTAATATACATGGTTATAATCTGTGATCACCAATTCACCATACAATCATCTGTTCATATTTTTATTATTTTTCTCAGACTAATGTGCAACTTAGCATGGGCTAAAAGCTGTCTTTTCTATAAAAAAAAACCTATTTGGTTGAGCCAAACATAATAAGGCATTGATCATAGTATCTTTCAGTGAGTTAGTTATCACAAAACCAGAGAGTTCTATGGCAAAGACATGTTTTTACATTGTCCCACGGTAAATGCCACGAATCTACCTTATCCTATGGCAAATTTTGCCTAAAAGCTATACAGTGTTATGATGTAAATGCGTTAGATTTAGCTTGTGACTTTGGTTTCACTGCAACATGCATCAGATTCTGCATCCCACAAAGCTCTGAGCAAACTTGTTCTTACCTCCGATAGAGAAGCCCCGATCGGCGAGGAGGAGGAGGATGGCCTCTCGTGGGGATGGAGTAGAGGTGCCTCCAAATCAGCCTCTCCCGCCGCGTTCTTGTTGTGGCGGTTCTTGCGGCGCCATAGACGAAGCAGGCATCTAGGTCTCTCCGCCGCAGGGCCCGACTCGACCAGGGCGCGGACGCAGTCATGCGCGGCGTGCGCCAGGTCGCCGGCGACCTCCGCGACGCCGGGCGACCCCGCCTCCTGCGCCGCCCGGAACACCATGGCGGCCGCGCGGACGACCTCGGCGGTGGCGCGGGGCCTCGCCTCGGGGGCGGAAGACCGGGCCAGCGCGAGGGCGGCCTGGCGCAGGGCGCCGCTGGGAAAGCCGCGGTCGCCGGCGGCGCTCGCCACCACCTCCGCCAGGTGCTCGGCGGTGACGGCGCGGCCGGTGGAGGTCGCGGCGGCCCGCGCCAGGCGCGCGGCGCGGGCGAGGAGCGCCGCGGAGCGCAGTAGCCTGCTCTCCATTGGAGGAGGAGGAGGAGGAGGAGGAGGAGGGTTCTTGGAATTCTTGGAGGGCGCGAAGGTTTCTTGGAATGGGAGGGGATCGCCTCGCCGCGGAGACGACGAGGACCTTTTACGGACTTAGCTCGGGACGGAGAGACGACGAGAGGAGGCGGAGGCCCAAAAATATGGGCCGCATACGTGAGCCCTCCTTTCCCTTTTTTGAGCCCAATTACATTTTGCTTTAGGCCCAGGCCCGTTTCCTGTTTTCCTATCCTCTCTTTTGCTTATTCCTCTCCTCGCCAAACCTAGCTCATAGTTTATTTTCACTTTATGGAAAAGTAAAAACAATATATTAATATTGGAAATTTCTTGGATCCCCTAGTACATGCCCTATGGGGCCTATTTATAGGTTCATGTGCCCTAGGGTTATTAAATACATCAAAATTTACATGGTTACTCGTATGATATGAGATATTTATGATGGTAATTATGAACAAATTAGCCTTAGGGCTCTTCTTGAGCTGCTAAGTGGGCCTTCATTGAGTGGTTGGCCCTTTAAGGCTTTGAGTCCTTCGGCTTGGGACAAAGGTCTTTGGCTCCACCTGGTGACTTCGCCCATAACCTCTATCTTTGTGACAGTCAGCGCTTTACCGCCGTGCTTCGCCCTGGCAATTGTAGACCTGTTTCTGTAGGCTCGGTCAAAGGCCCTCGTGACATGTCTCCAACAATATATTTTCTGGACATTTAAATATTTAATACAACTTCATCCATCAGATTGCACCAATGCCTATACTTTTATTTATTCTGGGTCTCTACAACAGTAACAGAAATTTGTACACCTTCTCGAGAAATTTACACTCAGAAGAATAAAAAATACAAGGCGACAATGAAAAGAAACAGCTTTAGAAGACTTGTATCTGTAAAAACATTTCTGTATACAGGCTTGAAAACTAGTATCAGATCCTTGGCGCCATCGCATTGCATTGCACCAGCCTATCGCCCAGCAGCTCTCATGAACTTGTCATATGGGCTTGCCGGTGGCAGCCTGAACGACCGGTCAGATTCGCTTGATGCCGAGTCGCTGCGTCGCATTCGCTCCTTCCTCGTCGACTGCGTCTCAGGCTCAGACCGAGCAGATGACTGCAACAAGATGTTGATGAGTTTTTCAGGACATTTTCAAAGATTTCAGTAGTGATGGATAGATTTTTTTTTTCCTGTCAAGATGAACATGCCTCGTTTGTTTCCAGTCCATTTTCTGCAGTCGAGCCACGGGAATCGGTCCTCGAGTGTTTGAAGCTCAGGAGAACAGACATCTTCTGTTGCTTCTCCATGACTAGGGCTTCGCATTGGCTCTTCATTTGATCGTAGGGTACAAGGTTGGCAGAAACTGGAGCATTAGCAACCTGCCTTGCTGTCTCATGAACCTGAAGAAAAAAAAAAGTCGTTTGATTACAAACGGATGAGGGGACTGTAAGAGATCTAGAAAATAGCGAGTGATCTTCATGTGCCATTGTTGTAGACAGAAATGGCGCATACCGATTCTATTAGTTGATTGACGTTTAGAACATCTGATGAAGCCATAGATCCAGAGGTTTTCCTGTCAGATTGCGATCCACTGTGTTCAAAAACGATGTCATCGTCATCATCCATCTCACAAGGAATGACTTCCTGGAAGCACAAGGGACGCAGATGCAACCAAAAAAGTTAATACAACAGCAATTCATAAATAACAAAAAATCACCTAACTATAGAGAATCAGTACGGACCTCATCAAAACAATGGTCATCCTTTTCAGCGTACATCGAACAAGAGTGTGGTGTTTCCATGAATAGTGGAGCACTGAGAGGGAATGAATCATCCAGGGAAAACTCCTGAAGAAGCTGCTCTTCTATACCATTAAACTTCTGCAATTTGCAGTGAAGACACTTAATCGTCAAATAACTTCTTGATTGTGAACAGAGAAATCAAGAAAACACGCTCTCATAATGTAAATCTGAATGTATACCTCTGATAGATTTTCAAACTTCTCCTTGAAGTGGGATATCACAATTTCTTTTAACTGTGTATCATTTTTATTTACACAAGAAAGAAAATTGCGTGCATCACTTTCATCTTCCTCAGAACCATAAACTATCCCACTGTTAGATGACTGTGGTGAACTAATAACGAGTCTGCAATCATCAATCAGGCAAAGATGAGGGTCGACCTACAAAAACATCAATAAGCGAATTCAGAGTAAATTGAAAAATGTCACATTAGAGATATATATAGAGCAAGCATATTCAAAATCAGGAATCAACTAACCATTTTCTCTGGAACTGCTGCTTTCACAAGAGGAATTGTCTGAGGAATATCAGCAACTTTTGCTGAAAAAATCAGCATTGCTGATGCCATTGTATACAAACACCTCCTACGTGATGGCTGCAAACCATCTTTATTTACAGTAGAAAATGTAAGAATAAATCAAGCAGGTATCAAATGACTAGATTGATAGGAAATATAATAAACTTGAAGTTGGACGCAATGGCTAAAATATACTGGTATTAGAAAAAATGATATTCCTATTTGGAAAAAATCCCTAGCTAGTTGTCACTTTTTTTTTGCATCATCATTTTGATATACAAAAGCAAAAACTTTAAAGAGCAGGCAAATGAGGATAAACTTACTTTCTTGGTTAAGGGACATCCTCCTGAGAGAGAAGGCCAACTGGAAACATCGAACTAATGCTGCGTGACTAGAGCTCTGCAACGAAAATTCAATGGTCAATCTCACAAATATAGCACACAATTTCAAGTCCAAAGGAGAAGTTGACATCACTAGTCAAACTCACACTAGCAGGGAAATCTTAAAAAAAGTGTTAATCCATGCCTATTACATCAATAAAATATTCTAAAGAATCTATCTTGTGTAAAAATAGAGTATAAAAAAATATTATATAATATGAAATAACTCCATGCCAAAAGGGAAAAGACGGTATCTTTCCCTTTGGCTATTCTTTGATAATTTCAAGGCATGCAGAACAATGTTAAGTCAAGTTACTTGAACAATTCTTTTTGCCTATTGTATAACAAGAATGAACTAGATTAAGTGACCTACCTTTGTCATTGAACACAATAAAGCAATATTGTAGGTATGGCACATTGCTTCAAAATTTGCTGGTGAGTTATCTTCTAGAGGTGCTTGACTCCAAATTGATGAAAGGAGGAGAACAAGTTGGCTACTGTTCAGCTTCATGAACTTAAGATTCTGCTTCAGTGGAAGAAAATGTGTCAGCTGGACATCCGAAAACACCAAGACCAGAAAATACCAAGTTCAATAAGAATACTAGTTGGAGTACATACTTCATCTTTCAATGGAATTCCAAGACCAGGGCTCTTCCTTGAATTTGGTTCTGTATGTGTGTATCCGTTCTCAGAGCCAACTACAGTTTCTGGTTTTACATTGTTTTGTAACTGTTCATGGGTCCTGCTTTTGATCCGGACTTCATCCATTACGGCCTCAGAAGAAAAGGCAGAAAGAGCCAACAAAGTAATGCTCTGTGAATCATTGCCCTTCACAGGGATAGGAAAACTTATGCCTGACCATGGGCATAGAAGTGAAGGTGCAATAATGGTGGATAGGACACGATGTGAACCAACCCTTGTCTTTTTGTCTGGGTGCATCATTGCTAAGAGAAGCTGATGAAACAAAGCTTCAGGAAATGCCTGAAATATTAACAAGGAATTGCCAATTAACACTTTTGTTCAATAGCAAAATTCTCCTGCAATGGTGAACACACTAGAAAACTTGCCTTCTGGTTGTACAATGACTTGTGGATGGAAGCTGCTATTTGCACTGTGCGGAAAACTGATGAAATTGTTGTTCTGGCAATGGTGGCAGTACAAGAGAGATTCTCAAGCATTACTCCCACCATGTCAAGAACAGGCCCAACATCACCAACCTATTCAATGAATTAACAGCCTTTAATGTCTCTCTGATGAAAGCAAAATGTAGTAATGTAACAAAGGAATAATACAGCATAATGAACCTTTTCTGTCAATTGCACCAGGCACTCCTCCAAGGCCACATAAAGTGCACTGTTCCACTTGTCAACATCATTTTGAGCATTTGGTGATTCAACAGCACAATGCATGCATTTGCGCAAGTGCTTTATTAAGTCGCTTGTTGCACTTGCTATTGTCACCGACGCCTTCAACTTTGCATGTTTTGCAAGAAGCGAAGCAACTTTTAAAATGCTTGTTTGCTTGGCAGGCTTCTTGGCAACACTCTTATGATCTATGTGTTTTATGGTGAAAGATAACAGCAAATGGCCATTTTGCCCTGTTAAGAAACAAGATTTAGAAGAGCACTAAATCTTTCTGCTGTTAAACACTAACAAAACCAAAAAAAATGGCACAAAAAGAGAAACAAATAGCATGGGTGAAAAATTTTGCACCTGATTTGTCCATCAGTGCCTGCATTTCTTGTAGAATAGAAAATGCAATCCCATTTTCAGGAGACCAATAGTTGTGGCTATCAAAAAGGCGGAAAAGAGGATCAAGAACACGCCACACTGTTGTTGCCTCCTTGGCGATACTGGCCATATTACGTAAGCAAACCCTTGCCCAATGTGCTGGATTTTCAGATGCAGACCTGTCAACACACTAAGTCATTAAGATGACAAGGGCACAAATCGAGTGTGGAAATGGGCCGTTACATTAGCAGAAATTCTCACATTGTATCAGATGCCACTTTGGCACTATTTTGCCCAGATACTGGCAACCCAGTCAGACTTCCATTGATTACCAAATCATCATCATCTTGAAGCCTGACAACCTCTTTTATTGAGAGAGTTTGATTAACCTCATAACAACTTACGATCACGGACACAACCTGGGTTCAAGAATGAATTCAGAGACTAATCAGAACCCTTACTGAATTACTGTTTCTGGCGCACTTCAAATGAAACTATCATGCTACTTTTTTTTTCTATTCATAGACTAATCAAATATCTTCCACTTATTCAACAAGTCTATCTGTAGTATTAATGGCATCAACTTGTCTATGCTCCAAAGATGAATCTTATGCAATTCCAACAAGAGAACAAATATTCACCAGGAGGCATCTATCAACCATGAATGAGAATTAAGTCTTAACTCTTAACATTCTAGCCCAACACAGAGTGATAAGGACTTACTTCATCAAGTTCCATGGAAATGTGTGAGTGGTCACCCATGTATTGGACCTGATTACAAAGTGGTAAATGAGTATATTAGGATTAAAAAGTTAAATTTAATCAATAGACTGATTTAATGGCATCAGTTGGCAAGAACCAGTAATGCAAGTATAGGATTATCTGTTGGGAATTCTCAAGCAATATCAATATAACCAACATTAAAAAAATGTTATATTTGCAAAACAAATTGTATAATAGTTGAATGTAGTTCCTTATTTTGTTCTACATTATTATTTCTGGTCCAACAAATCTACTGTAAATTAGCCCTAAATGGCTAGCTCGCAACATATAAGACTACCTTATCCATTTCATCAGAGAATCAAGTAAAAACTTTTCTTACCATAGAAGCAAGAGCCTGAAGTGCAGCACATCGGAGGCGGAACCCTTTGTCATCTTCCCTTAGTTCTTGACTAATTTGGCAAAGTTTTGGTATGAGGCCTTCCAGATTAAACATATGCGTGCTATCAACCTACATGAACTCAAATTAAACCAAACAGATGGCAGATTTCTAGCAAACCAAGTAGGTGCAATTTGTTACAGTCGTCAATAACCTGGCCGTTGAGAAAGTCAACAAGCATTAGACAACCCAGGACCCGCAAATCATCATTCATTCTCTGATCGAGAAGAGTACGAATAATGCTCAATGTGCTTGTGGCCAGCAATGGTCTGAATCAAGAATAATATGGTCAGTACAGCAGCAAACATTTGCTATGGGTGCTTGACTGGCAGAATAGAGCCTTTACACTTACGTATGATCCTTGCATGAACACAGAAGCTTCCTGTATATACATGGTACAACTTTGGCCAAGGTGAAATTCTCATGTCTCAGATCTTTATAGCACCTCTCCTCAAGGTACTCTGTGATCTGCAGACATAAAATCAGTTCCGAGTTCCACAAATTCATTCATCTCGGTAAGTCCTACTTAAACAGCCTAAAATCATTCCAGCTAGTGATCGGTGCTAGCGAAAGTTGATCGGTTGTACTCTGGCAAAAGGAATCACCATCACACTAAAGCAATGCAGTGTAAATCAGCCATTATGTGGTAACTACTCGGTACCTATAAAGACTGCTTTCAGAAATACTGGAAATTCAGTCTAAACTATTCAAGCTAACAGATTGCGCGACAATTCTAGTAAAAACAGAGAGGAGATCAAAATGTGTTACCTTGGGTATCCGCGTCGGATTTCTCGAGACATAATCACAGAGCTTCCCAATCCTCCTATCATTCGGTTCACCATCCTACAGCAACAACATCACACCCTCAATCAACAAACTCCCTCCACACATTTGACCACAGACTCCAATTCGCAGAAACTAGAACTATTTGACCACAGACCCAAATCGCAGAGACTACAACTAAGCATCAGAAATGGCTGAAATGCCAAGACAGGATTCAGTAATCGCCATACCGGTGGAAGCTGGTAGATCTCCGCGATGATCTTCTTGTACCTCTTGACGGGCTGACGCGAGCGCGCCCGCAGCGAGGGGCAGAAGTAGCAGAGGCTGCTGCAGGCAGGCAGCACCCGCCGCGACATCACCCCCATCTTCTTCCTCCTCCTCCTCAAAGCCTCCCAAAAAAGAGCCTTTTTGGGATCGAATTCGGCTCAAGCAACACAATTCTCAGAACTCCAAGAACTAAAACTCTCTTCGATCCAAGGCTCCAAGCAGCAAGATGCTTGAGCAAACAGCAGAGAATTTTCGCAGCAGAGGGGGTAGAGGATTAGATAGCAGGTCGCCTTCTTCCTCCTCCCCCTTCCCACGCAGCCAACCGAGACCCTTCGGATCGAAACCAAGATCAAACCTCGCGTTCGTACTACGACTTCTTGACCAAATCTAATCCGCGTAGAATTATCTTTTCAAAAAAATAAAAAAGCAGCGATTCCCCGGGGTCAAATCGGCCGCGAACACCCCAACAACAACAGCAAGAAATCCGAATTGGAATCAAGCGACAGACAGAACCCAGAAAGCCGAATCCAACTCCTTCCCAAAAGATCAAAACCTTCGCTGCTCCCCACTCCTCCTCCTCAGATCGCCTCCGAATGCTAGCGAAGGCAGCAACTAGAGTAGACTAGACTAGACTCTAGAGTACTACTACTAGAGTAGAGCACCGATCCTCGCCGCAGGTGAGGGTGAGGCCGCGGCGGAGGTGGGGGCGGTGGAAGGCAACGGTCACCTCACGGTAAATTTGGCAGCAAGCTGCGGCTGCAGCGGAAGCTGGAGCGGCGGCGGAATATTCATTCATTTCATATGGGCACCCGATGCGTCGCGGTTTTCTTTCTCCATCGATGCGTGGGCATGTTGCGGAAAAAGGGGATTTACGAGGGGGCTTTTCGGAAAAAAAGGCGGGCGCCTTGTTTGTTCCTTCCTCCTCCTCTGAACTTTTCTGACAGGTAGGCACGGTACACGATGCGGCTGGCTGGCCGGCCGGCCTGCCGCTGCCGGCAGCGAGGCGACCCTGAAATTACGCGCGTGCCCTCGTGAAGTTTTCCTTTTTTTTTCTTAGACAAAATTGGCTGTAGGACATTAAAAAAAGGTAAATTTCACGAAACTATATTTTTTAAGTTACAGAAAATCACACACATTTTGACACTTAACACTTAAGTACATATATCTTGGTAGTTTAATTTCACAAAAACACACTATCGATGAATGGATTCACCCGCGAGATGATGTGGTCGCTCCATCTAGGATAAAGACATGGCATCCTATTAATTTCGTGCGATGGCTGGTAATAGTCACATCATCTCGCGGTGAATCCATTCATTGATAGTGTGTTTTGTGAAACTACACTACTAAAATATATTTACTTAAGTGCCAAGTGTTAAAGTGTGTGTGGTTTTCTACAACTTGGACTTACACGTGTAGTTTTGTGAAATTTACTCTAATTTCTTTGTATAGAGTAAAAGTATTTACAAAAGGACTTCGATGTTACTACTACCATACTACTCCCTCAAGTACTTATACTACTCTCTCCGTCTTAAAATATAGACACATTCAGCTACTCTGTTGAGTGCTACCACAGCCAGCACCTATAGTAGCAACATACTGTAGCTATGGTTGTTGTAGCATTGACTGTCAAATAGGATCTACAACAACTTCAAATATAATCTTTTTTATCTACATTATTTGTCAATTGATCACGATATTTTCTTATTTAATTTTACTTTTCTTTAATACCCGTATCCAACTAAAAAAATAATTATAATTTAGGGTGGAGATAAGGTGGTGTTTGGATCAGGGACTAAATTTTAGTCTCTGTCACATTAGATGTTTGAACACTAATTATAAGTATTAAACGTAGACTAATAAAAAACTAATTGCATAAATGATAGCTAATTTACGAGACAATTTTTTAAGCCTAATTAATCCATAATTAGCACATGTTTACTGTAGTATCATATAGGCTAATCATAGATTAATTAGTCTCAATAAATTTGTCTCGCGAATTAGTCCAGGTTATGGAATGAGTTTTATTATTAGTCTACATTTAATACCTATAATTAGTGTCCAAACATCCGATCTGATAGGGACTAAAATTTTAGTCCCTAATCCAAACAGCCCCTATGTTCTTAATACTCCTTCTACTTTCCCAACTCACCTTCCTCGTTTTTTTTGTGCGCACGCTTTTCAAACTACTAAACGGTGTGTTTTTTTTAAAAAAAAAATCTATATGAAAGTTACTTAAAAAATCATACTAAACGTTGGAGTACTTCGTTTCGCGTGCTAGGCGCCTAGGCCTCCCGAACACAGCGGGATGGCGTGGGTAAGGGAGGGGTAGAATGGTCAATCGCGTCGTCCTCTCCGTCCGTCCGTCCCTGGACTGCAGGGATTGCAGATGGATGGTTCTCACGTCGTCCGGAGTTGTTGTTGCGTGAGATCCGAGGCTCTTCACTGTCAGTTATTACTTCGCCCGAGAGGCTGTCACCAATTCAAAGAAAGGAACGTGTCCTGCGTTTCCGAGCGGTGTGGTGGGGCCCGCTTGCTGTCACGTCTGTCCTCCTGTGCGTCCTTCTCCCATCTCCCAGGGCCTTCAATTCCCTGCATTGTTGGGGGTTGGTTAGCCGGTAGTACACACCCTCGGTAAAAAAAAAAAAAGCCCAACCACTGCTAACACAACGAATTTTGATGAAGGGATTACTCCAAACTAGGATGTTCTAGGCATTAAAAAAAACTCAAACCTCGTGGCTTAATTTGCTCATATCAGTATCAAACTTAGGTCAAATTGACTTACAAACTCGAAGTCATAACAAGACAAGTTAAATTGGGATTTTATCTCATCAGCTCGCACGTTTCCTAAACTGCCAAATGGTACTTGTTTGAGAATTTTTTTATTGGAAAGTTGTTTTAAAAATTATATTAGTTTTTTTAAAGTTTTTTACTAATATTTAATTAATCATACGCTAATATATGCTTCATTTTGTGTGCTAGAGAAACCCCTCCTAAACACAGAAGAAAAAAAAAGATCACCAATTTACCATGTGTTCATACAGTTGCGTTAATTTGCTCGTTTTTCGTGAGCATATGCTTTATGAAATAATAAGCAATACTCCCTCCTTTTCACAATGTAAGTAATTCTAGCATATCTATATTCATATTGATGTTAATGTCTAGATTCATTAACATTAATATGAATGTGAGAAATGCTAGAATGACTTACATTGTGAAACGGAGGAAATATGTTTTGTGCACAAGTTTTAATTGTATATAAGTTTATTATAAAATATAAAAGAAACTATTGGCCCAAAAGTCTACCTGCACTGCGTAAGAGAGAAGACACGGGCTCAAAAGGAAAAAAAAAACAAAACAAAAATGTTGCTACCTGTGGCCATACAAAGTCAGCGACGTGACAGGACTACAAAACATGCCGGAAGGAGGAGTACCTGTCCTGGAAACGTGGCAAGCTGTTGGTTGTTTCTTCAGCATACGTGCTGTATTTTTATCTAGAAAATGAGCATCAGGACAGCACAGCCTGTGTACCTGTAGGGAAGAAGAAGAAGAAGAATTATTCAGCAGCAAAGCGGATGCTCCTCCTGCTCCTACCAGGCAGGCGCACAACCTGCCAGCGCTGCTAATCAATCTCCATGTGCCGGCAACCAGCACCAACCGGGAGTGCCAATACACCTAACAGGTTTGTTTTTACTCCACTTTTAGGGGCCGGCAACCAGCACCAACCGGGAGTGCCAATACACCTAACAGGTTTGTTTTTACTCCACTTTTAGGGCCCGTTTAGTTCCCCAAAATTTTTTTTTCCAAAAACAACACATCAAATCTTTAGACACATACATGAAGCATTAAATATAGATAAAAAGAAAAACTAATTGCACAGTTATAGAGGAAATCACGAGACGAATCTTGCCTAATTAGTCCGTGATTAGCCATAAGTGCTACAGTAACCCACATGTGCTAATGACGGCTTAATTAGTCTCAAAAGATTCGTCTCGCGGTTTCCAGGCGAGTTCTGAAATTAGTTTTTTCATTCGTGTCCGAAAACCCCTTCCGACATCCGGTCAAACGTTCGATGTAACACCCAAAAATTTTCTTTTTTCCCAAATAAACACACCCTTAGGTACTCCTACTAATCTACGTGTTCAATTCATTCCCTAACACACGGATTTACATTATGGGCTGGTTTGGTTTGAGACCTAAATTAGGCTTATCAATATTTGGCAATTTTAATAGTGTTTAGTGTCTATTTGGTTTGAAGCCAAATTTTGGCATGCCTAAGAAAATAGGCCTTTTCAATAGTGAACTTAGGCTATTTTGGCTTCAATCCAAACACAACTTTGCCTTACCAAAATTAGTCATGCCAAAATTTGGCACTGATAAAATTTAGTAATACCTATTTAAACCACAAACCAAACCAACCCTATGTCTCACGAGCCATGATCCAACTCTGCCTGCTGGTACACAGCTGCCTTGTCCTGGATTTTTTTTAAAATATACCCTTCTTTTTACAAATATGTTTACAAAGAATTGGCAAAAATATAATATCGTTACAAAGCAAGGAATATACACGTTTAAAAAGAATTAGCAAAAATATACTATCGTTACAAAGCAAGAATGCGAACTCGCGGCGGACGTGTGAGTTCGCATATTGGGATGCGAAGTCGTGACCTTGTTTGTATATCCACATACGCGAGTTCACATCTCCGCTTTGCGACAATGATATACTTCTACCAGTCCCTTCAAAACGTGTATATTTTAAAACCGGTGATAAAAAGGGTATATTTCCCAATTTGTTCTCGATGTCCTAAGCTTTTATATCAGTGTTGTGTGCTTACCCTAAGCCTGGGCTGCCTGCCAAAGAAACATCACCATATACGTTGGCTTCTAAAGTGTTGGGCTGAGTGGGCATATGGGCTACTCCCTCTTGGGCCCAACAAAGCACGCAAAGCCCACTCCAGTTGGCACGGGCTGCATGGGCCGCATTTCCTATAGGCCCTGCGATAATAAAAAATTGGAGAGAGAGAAACACGTAATCTAGTTTTACGCTTTCCTACTAGGCTTACGTAACATGTTGATCTACTACACACAATACGCTTCACCACTCCTCTGATATCTTCCAGGGCCATTCACTTTAATGATATTTTCAACCTTATCAAATTTTAGTAAAGTTGCTAAAAAAGTGGCTATATTTAGTTAACTATATAAGAAATCTTGTTAAAATTTTGATAATGCTAAATTTTAGTAAGATTTTTTTTTTTCGCATCAAAGTGAACATGTCCCGGTTCCATCTCCCGCAGCAAAACCCCACTCCCTCCACTCCGGCGGTTTCATCCTCCTGTCCTCCTGGTAAGCCTCGAAAAAATTCCCAACTTTGCACTAGCATTTCGCGCAACGCGCACCGAATCGGTGCGATTTCTTGAATCCTGACGGTTTCTGTCGAATTTACGGTGGTCACTATCCATCACCGAGGCTGTTTCACCAAAAATGCTCCAAGAAATGCTGAAACTTCTCGGTTTGTTTTGCTGGTAGGTTTCACAGGATGGCTTCGCGGGCTCCAATCGCCATCCAAAACGAGAACCTGCCGATCTTTCGCGGTGATTATCCCACCACCGTCTCCGAAAATCCGCGGCGAGCGTTTTTTCTTGCTCTTTGATTTCTTTGCTCTTTGATGCGAAGGGATCGATGGCAAGAAGGCCGGGGCGGCGGCGAGGGTGGGGCGGCAGGAGCGCAGAGCCCTAGGTGATCTCAGCAAGGCCCGGAGAGCTCGGCCGGCGAGCTCCACGGGAGGGAAAGCTACTGCAGCAGCCAGTGTTGGGGGATCTGGTAAGAATCTGGTGAAGCCTAGCTACCTGAGCGATGAGGATTGGATGAAATGCTGCGAGTGGGCGAAGGATGGGGTTGAAACTGCCAGTTTTACTGGGAACGATATGCAGAAACTGCTCAGTGATAAGCTGGAAGAGCGTATGTTTCTGTTTTTTTATTTTACTTTTATGGATGCCTTTGTGCCAGTATTCGCGTATGATAAGATGTAGTACTTACTACTGCCTTTTTTTATGTGTATTATTGGGGGTATGTAATTAGGCATACAGAAGAAGGTGGAGAAGGCAATGGGGACGATGCAACTCTCCATGGACAGTCTTTACCGCATCGATGCGCATTCAAAGGTATAGTGTGGTTCAAGAGTGGCAAAACGTAATCACGGCGATGTGCCAGAATGGAGAGGAGGGATTTCATAAGTACCCTAAGTATTAGTGGCAATGAATTAATATCATTGAGAAGTTTTGAATTGTTGCCAACAATGATTTTAAGCATTTCTCTCTAGTTAGCGGGTATCTTAGCACGGCACTCTCGAATTACATTAGGGTTAGGCTGCCTTGATATTTCTATCCTCACCTACCATTTTGTGAATCTTATAAGATGGATTATTAGCGTGTAGGAATGGTGATAAGTACAAGCTGATCTTGTTCTGTTAATGCCATGAGCACATGATAATGTATAGTAATATAGTATGCATTTGTGTACTTTCAGTTGATAATTGCACTATTTTTGTATTTCAGGCATGCATGGTGGATCCTGAAGATAAAACAGAACTGGATCTTGATACAGAATTTCTTCCTCCAATGTCATACTTAAGCTCAAGACTAGGTTCTCTTCTTCTGCACCTCTTACATGCACTGGCACATGTATATCTGTGGCTGGCAATTTACAAAATTGAATGATTTTCTAGTAACCTTCTACAAATGAATTGAGCCACTGTATTCGGCTTTCATCAATCCAGAGCCTTGTTTCTTCTCCAAAGAGAACAAGCCATTGCTAGAAACTTTATGCATGCCGCTCTCCTTTCTTCTAGCAGACCTTGTAACTAGTTAAATGTACTTCTGTATAGAAAGTTGCTTGGGATGTTCGACGTGTGCTGGTGCATGAAAAATCTTTATTTTTTTTGGGTAACTTCTGAAACAAACCTATTGGTTTTTTTTTACAGGTGAACACAACGCCAATCATGTTCTTTCTGACTTGGAATTCGAACATGAAACATTTGCTAATTGCAATTTAGACTTGAAGCTCAAGGAAGAATATGGAACATAATTTCCTGAGGTCTCATACTCTTGTAGTACAGTGTACTGGGATCATGTTCAACTCTTAGTACATCTAGTTGTATTGCAATTTTTTTTTGTTTGTGTTGTATCTGTTCTCTTAACCAATCCAACTATTCTGGGCAGCCAAATTGACTCAGATATTTTGTTGTGTTGCTAGTTTTCCTTCTTGTAGTGTAATGCTATCTCTGTAGACTGTAGTTATTCCCATTCACATTTTCTGGGGACACCAGTTGTTGAAATGAGTTTAACTTGGCTTAGTCTCATGTTATGTTTCCCATGTCATTTTAATTGCAAATGCTTTTATATGTTGTTTCTTTCCACCCCAAACAGCCATAAAATGGTAACCAGGTTTACTCCCAAGCAAATGTGCATCACCTCATGATGCATGAAGGGTGTGAATGTTCAAATTTCAATCTTTCTTCCTTTTCCCCTACTAAATACAAAATTAAATAGAAAAAAGTTAAAAGATGCAACAATGTGACAAGTCTAGAGCATTAAAGGTCAGGGTGAGGGAGCAGGTGACAGAATGTGTGAATGTTTACTTGCATTGTCAGTTTCCATTTGGTGTTAACATGACTTGCAGGGCATAAAAGTGTGTACTCATATGGGGTGTCAACTAGAGCCAAAATTAGAACATAAAAGTGGTGTTTTAAAGGTGGCAAAACACGTAGATGGTCGAAGATATGAGACTTTCATATCTTACTGGACCATTGGAAGAAGATACATACAACGCATGAACAAGCTTGGATAAGCTTGCCAGCAGTTTGGCAGATGCTGAATGCTTGAGTGTAAAATACGTGCAAACATTGCTTGTGGTTCAAAGTTAACATTTTACTTTTTTTTCATCCTGAGTTATCTTTTCCCTCATCACCTATAAATAGCTCTCCTTTGTTGAGAAAGACCACCAGAGAGAGAAATTTGCAAGTGATCAACAGCTGACTTGTTTGCCTCTGCCATGGAGAAGAATTGTGCATGCCCACCACCAAGCAAGGGAAACATGATCACAATTCTGAGTATTGATGGAGGTGGGGTGAAGGGTATCATTCCTGCTGTCATCCTCTCATTCCTGGAATCTAAACTTCAGGTCAATCCTATATTTCTTAATTTCTTCCCATGTATAATTGTGTATAGCTTAGTGATCAGTAGGCTTGGGTAAATTATGTTAATGGAATTCATAGCCTTTCTAAGTAACATCTTCTCACCTTGAAATTTTCATCTGGCCTTTCGACTACATGATTAAGAGTCATTCTTCTCTTTGGGTAACATTCTTTCTCTGCGCATGTCTGGCAGTAACTTACTTGTTGAATTGCTTTGCTCTTCTAGGAGCTTGATGGGAAGGATGCTCGGATTGCAAACTACTTTGATGCCATTGCTGGCACAAGCACAGGTGGTCTTATTGCAGGCATGCTAGCAGCTCCATCACTGGGCAATGCCAATCAACCATGCTATGCCAAGGATATTGTCCCATTTTACCTCAAGCATTCCCCCCACATCTTTCCGCACAGGTAAAGTATGTATTACAGGCTTCAGTTAATACTAATAACAATCTTTGCAATTATGTAGTTGTATGTTTCTGTCTGAGGTCAGTAGAGAAGCTATGACCATATCTAAGTGTTTATGGTCAACCAATTTCTGAGTTGAACTGTTCTCTTGTTAATTGATTTTTTAACTAGCTATGAAAATATAAATGGTATTTTGTCAACTGGATTTTGCAACCAGGACTGGATTTTTTGGTTGGTTCTTCAACATCCTGGGCATCATAAAGATGGCCATTGGGCCAAAGTATGATGGAAAATACCTTCACAGACTAATCAATGATCTTCTTGGCGAGACGAGGATGAAAGAAACATTGACAAATGTTGTGATTCCCACTTTTGATGTGAAGTGTGTGAAGCCAATAATATTCAGCACATTCAAGGTCCCTTCTCTAAACTGAGTTAGCGTGTGGATTTCACATGACAATTTTTTGGAGTGGTGTGAACTAATGTATATGCTACAATGCAGGCGAGACGTAAGCCCTTGAAGAATGCTTGTCTTGCTGATGTATGTATTGGTACATCTGCAGCACCAACCTTTCTCCCTGCACACTATTTTGAAACCGTGGATCACACGGGTGCATCGCAAAGCTTCAACATTATTGATGGTGGCATGGCAGCAAACAATCCAGTATGTTTTTTCTTCATCATTTTTCTGAAATTGTCAACTTTTGTTGGGTTTAAATTCCTGTGTAAAAACTCTATACTTTTGTCTTTCAACAATAATGTTTACCCAGTAACGCAATATGCCTTTTTTCATTATGTGTTTTGTATAGACTTCACATCAACCTTTGTTGCCAAACTGGACATGGTAATATTTAAGATGCTAACTTATCTTGATGTCTCTAATTTGGCAGACTTTGGTGACTATGGGTGAGATAACAAAGCAGATCAAGCGGAAGAGCGAGGAGTTCCCGAAAGCCGAGCCCTTGGATTACCGCAAGTATCTGGTGATATCTTTGGGCACGGGTCTGCCTGAGCACGATATCATGTTTGATGCAAGAAATGTTGCCAAATGGGGCATTTTTCGATGGCTAGTTGATAAGGATACAATGCCGTTGCTCAACATGTTCTTTCATGCCAGCTCAGATATGGCCGATACTCTCGTTGCAGACCTCTTTCAAGCAATCGGATGTTCACACCAACTATTGCGCATTCAGGTACGCGACCCATGCTTTACAATCTATTGTCATGGGTGCCATCCAAGTTAGTTATTTATTTGTTGACATGTTCTAAAAAATATTGTATAAAAAACATTTATACCTTGTTCACCATTACAGGATCACAACATCCCAATAGGGGCAATATCCAATGACCTCTCGACGAAGGATCATCTTCAACTGTTGGTTAAGATAGGCGAAAACCTTCTCAAGAAGCCACTAAGCAAGGAAGAGTGTGAGAAGAACAACATTGAGCCAGAGCCAAACCTTCATGGTGACCATGTGACGACCTATGCAGATATGCTCACACGGTTTGCAAAGCTACTTTCAGACGAGAGGAAGCTAAGGCTCCACAACATGAAGCTGGATGCTAAGCCCTAGCACAATTGAAACGTGAGATCCTTGGAACAGATGTCTCATGTTCATCTATAGGATTGCGTGTCCCCTACTAAGCCAATTAATTTTGTATTGTGAAATAGCTGTCTGAACTGTTAAAAATAAGAACTTTGTACAGTAGTGGTAATGTTGCTTTTATTTGCTTCAAAAAACACTAGTTGGTAAAGTTTATACTACCTATATCTGTGTGATGTGTGGTGTCTGTTCAGAATGTAGAACTATGTATTGTAATGGTGAATTTATGAAAAACGATGTATTTGCATATATTGTATAACTATGTCTTCTTCATCGCAATTCAATTCCCAGCATTTACTTATAAATCGCTAAGAACACATGTATAAAAAGGTTTACTACAATATTTTTTTTTATCATTGATAAACCGTTATGGTTTATAATCAGCATAAGCAAAACGATGAGCTTGCATTGTTGTGATTTCAACAATCCTCCTCTGTGAGTGGTTTGTTTGGTATTACCAGCTTTTTGGTTAGTATTAAATGTCTGCAAACTTAGGTGTGGTATTCATATGGTGCTCCATACTACTACTATATCATTTTCTCTGAAATCTTAAATGGCCGTTTCAGTGATGCTATAACCAGACAGTTTCCTTCCAATGATCTACATTATTTTGTTGCTGCAGGCCTAGGTCTCCTCCAGCTCAACCAATCATTGCTTCATGCTTCCTTTCTAATTAAACATACAAGAAAAGACCTTTCATTTTTTCCTTTATTAGTAGTAGTACTTAGTACCGTTAATTAGAAGCTTGCACATCAATGTGGCTACCTCCTGGGTACATCCACCACACTACACCTTTTCATAACACCCTGTCTTGGCCATGGCTTGCATAATTAAGTATACCACTCTAAACAGGCTAAGCTAAACTAACCCTGATGTGATTAGCAACTACTGAAAGGTGGACCAAATACATACTACCTCCGTACTCGTAAAGGAAGTTGTTTAGGACAGTGACACGGTCTCCAAAACACAACTTTGATTTCTTGTTTCTATAAAAATATTTATTGAAAAGTGATATATGTATACTTTTATGAAAGTATTTTTCAAGACAAATATATTCATATAATTTTTACATTTTCAAACACAACAACTTGAGAGTTATTCATGATTTATATTCCCAAGTTTTGACTTAAACATTGTCCTAAACTTTGTTCTTTTCTATTGATAATGTTTGCTCATATGTTGGTTTGCGTGTTGCAGGTATTTTTATCACTGCACATATAATTGCACAGAGATAGGATGCACATAACCTCATAGAGACATACTGATTCTTTGATTGGCTTCATTTTTTGGGTGTCACCTGTTGCCTGCAAGGGAATTTTTGGTCTTGGTGATATATACGATTTGTCCCTATACAGTTCTACTAGTTGAATCAAACATTCATTCTTTCTATATCTGAGTTGGTTTATGATGATACATATTATCCCTAAATTCTGTTGTGATGAGAGTTGGTTTATGATGAAACATATCATCCCTAAATTTTGAGTTCTGACTGTGATGAGAGTTGGTTTATGATGAAACATATCATCCCTAAATTTTGAGTTTGTCAGAACGTATTGTGTTTGCATTGCGTTTCGCTGGATGACTGTTTCAATTTTTAGTGGGTGTATGTCAACTTATTGTTTTGTGTAGTTGATGGTTGGTTGTTAACAGTCTCTTATGACACGTGTCAGAAAATTATTGTGCCATTTGGTCAAATCAACCGGTGAAATTATCGCTAGCTTTTTTCTAATAAGATCAAAATAATCAAACGTGTATGTAAAAGTTAACGGTATTATCTAGTATTAATTAGTATTAAAGAAAAGGAAAGAGTATATATCAACACAATGAAGTTTTCCTTCTAGGACCATGCACACTATGACACTGTGTTCCACTTTTGCTAGGACTCATCAATCTAGTAGTCTCTGTAGCTCAGTTTCTGAAGTAGAGCAGAAGCCGAATGCCGCCAAACTAAGAGAGAGAACAATTAAAAATGACAGCTTTGCGGGGTCATGAAGCTCTGAATCGTCGGTCGTATATCTCGCATAGATTAGCCAGGCAACCATTACTAAGCTGACAATAGTCGTAAATCCCTGTAAACAACAATTGCATTAGGATATGTGACCAAGATTCATCTAATCTAAGGATATACTACCTCCGTTTCAGGTTATAAAACTTTCTAACATTGCCCATATTCATATAAATGTTAATAAGTCTTGTAATATGAAACGGAGGAAATAGTATGTTGGCAAATTTTACTACAGGACACCTGAAATTTATGTAATTTATCGGTGGACATCATAAAAACGTGTCAAAGCTAAAAGACACTATATAATTTACTAGAGAACACTTTTGGCTCAATTAAAAAGATAAACTCTTAAGAAAGACAAGAATGCCCTTAGGGCCACAAGCTTCAAACATAATGTTAGCGTAAAAATTTAGAAATTATGCAACTCTAAATTTGCCATCACTCCAAGTACATCACTAGCATACATCATATTTAATTTTCACTCTAACCTAAGCTCAAGAGCTTTTGACCATAGGGTTATTCTTGTCTTTTTAAGAATTTCTCTCCGAAAGTGTTCTCTAGCAAATTACCAATTTTTTTATAGTGGCCGTCATACGTTTTTACGATGTCTACTAGTAAATTATACAAATTTTGAAGATCCTCTAGTAAATTTTGCCTAGTATGTATTTCTAAGTACACTAATTTGATTTCCATTAACCATCTAATTAAAAGATATGTTAAGGATTACTCTGTCCAACTGTAAATAAATATTTAACAAAGGATAAAGAGTTGGTCAGCCTCTTGAAATTCTAGCTATCAATAATTTGTCAAACGTTTGAGTTTTTCTTTTAAAAAAAGAAATATGCGTGCATTTAATTGAAGAGTAATATAAGAATAATATAATTTTTTAGAGACCTGCTATGGTGCTTGGGAATGATGACATCCGTTGATAGGATGCAATCCAACTATCTATAGGAGAAGGTATGTGTGGGTGGGTACTTAAAAATGTTTTTTTAAACCCCAGGTACTTAAAAATGTGGGCTAGATATTAACTTAATTAAAAGATTAGGTGAAAGATTAAATATGTAATTTTGTGTCAAATATTACAATAGATAAAAAACGCAAACCAGCAACGAGCGCAAGGAGAACATAATTACGAGGATTAGCTCGATGGTAGTTGTGGCGGAGAAAGGGTTAGAGCAGCTATTAAGCCTAGGCCTGCCTTCAAAATCTTGTTAAATTGTGTTAAATCATCATGTAAATTTTGTGAAAAACTGACACTTCATTTGTGAAAAGCCTTAACTTAGTAGTTAGTCATAGTCTAAAAGGCTGTGCTCGGTCCCGACACGAAAAACAAAGCACACGACTATAGTGAGATTAATTAAGTATTAGCCTACAAATTGATTAATACGATTTTTTAAAACAACTTTCATATAAATTGTTTTTTAAAAAAAATGTATCGTTTAGTAGTTTGAAAAGCGTATGTGTGTAAAACAAGGGAAAGTGAGTTAGGAAAGAGGGGAAAAGAACAAAGCCTTAAAGTTTCCGGCTTAGTCATTGATAGTTGTAAAAAAAAAGTATATACAAGATGAGTTAGAGATGGTATGACTATAAAAAGTAGGAGTACCAAACTACACCTGTTTACATTGTTTCCCTTTCTAAATTATCCCTCAAAAAATGAACCGCGAATGTACGGTACATGGGGAACAGTAAAAGATCTCGATTTTTAAATTTAAAAATGATGGTTAAATTTTTTTTAAAAAAATGGCTGAATCTACCCTAAGTAGGAGTATTTATGATGAAAGAGACTACTCCCATCGTCCCATGATATAAGAAATTTTGACTTTTTGTTTGCACAAAAATTTATGCAAATATAAAAAACAAAAAGTTGTGTCTAAAGAACTTTGGATAATAAAGCAAGTCACAAACAAAGTAAATAATAATTCTAAATATTTTTTAAATTAGACGAGTGGTCAAACCGTGCAAAAAAAATCAAAATCCCTTATATTATAGGACGGAGAGAGTATAATAAATTAGAAGTGAATTCAAGTTGTTGAAGAGCTGTTTAAATGTTAATTACCCGGATGAAGTAGCGCAAGGCGTGGTCGCTGCAGCTCGTCGGAGGTGGATGCCCGCCGGCGCTGCTGCCTTCTTCCATCAGGCGGATCGAGAGCTCCTCGAGCAGCAGCGCCGCCGCCGCCTCCGCATCGTCGACCCGGCGGGCACGCGGCGGGGGGACTATGAACGTCATGGCCGCCGCCGCCGGAGTTACGAGACGAAACGGTGGGAGATCGCCGGAATTAAGCCTCTGGATTGGCTTCTGTTAGATATATCGGGGTATTATATTATCAAGATTCAAGAGGCTTTCAGTGTCCGTGTAGAATTAATACAAATTTGGCATGAAGCTTTTGTATTTTTTTCTTTTCTTTTCGGATTGCGTCGCAAGTGAAAACGTATTGCAGAAATTACGTTACCCGGATGCAGAAGCGGAAAGGCGTGCCAGTTGGGTTGCTCTCCGTCTTCCCATCTCGGAGGCGGACGCACGCAGTAGACAGGGCGTGAGATTTACTTGGGGGGCGCAATTAGTATTGAATTGTTTCGGGATTGCGGGGGAGGAAATCTCTTCTCTATCTCTATCTCTATCTCTATCTCTATCTCTTCATCGCAATTCAATTCTCAGCATTTACATTTAAATCGTTAAGAACACATATACAAAAGGTTTTACTAACAATTTTTTTTCATTTTTTTTATTGATGAACCATTATGACTTATAACCTGCATAAGCGAAACGATGAGCATATGCATGTGTGTGATTTCAACAATCCTCCTCTGCGAGTGGTTTGTTGGTATTACCAGCATTTTGGTTAGTATTAAATGTCTGCAAACTTAGGTGTGGTATTCATATGGTGCTCCATACTACTACTATATCATTTTCTCTGAAATCTTAAATGGCCGTTTCAGTGATGCTATAACCAGACAGTTTCCTTCCAATGATCTACATTATTTTGTTGCTGCAGGCCTAGGTCTCCTCCAGCTCAACCAATCATTGCTTCATGCTTCCTTTCTAATTAAACATACAAGAAAAGACCTTTCATTCTTTCTTTATTAGTGTGGTACTTAGTACCGTTAATTAGAAGCTTCCACATCAATGTGGCTACCTCCTGGGTACATCCACCACACTACACCTTTTCATAACACCCTGTCTTGGCCATGGCTTGCATAATTAAGTATACCACTCTAAACAGGCTGAGCTAAACTAACCCTGATGTGATTGCTACTACTGAAAGGTGGACCAAATACATATCTAGATATCAAATTAAATATCATATGAGGAGGTTTGCTTGGCACAACATATAGAGAGATACTACCACTGTATCACTGCAGTTTCAGGCTTTCAGTTTCAGACCACTCTTGCCTTCTTGGGCTCAACTAGACCCATGAAAATCTTTGCACAGCTTCACTGCACATTAAACCATTACATGAATGCATTAATTATTATACTGCAAAATCAGACAGTTCATGCAGCATGTAGCACAAATCTTTCAATGGATGATTAAAAAAACACGAATATTAGGGAATGAACTAATATCAAATAATTAGAAGAGATGAGGCTTCGAACCCAGATCGTCTAGTCCACCATCTTGTGAAGCTAGCAAGAAGACCTCTGTTCGTTTCTCAATCAATGGATGATTCAGGTAAGTTCCCAGCAAGATAGATAGGTGGAGTCTGGTTGAGTTGAGCCAGTTTTGTGCCGGCCCATCGCTATAATTCTTGTCGTTGCAGATATATATCTTGGCTTGCACGTCAGAGATGATCGATATCCTCCTGCATGTGCACCGGCCTCATATATAGTTGTACAGTATGATATATTGATATATATCCCCCATCCAACAGTTAATAGCTGAACTTGACCTGTACCGACCTTGTTTTTTCAGACTTTCAGAGAACATGTACCAACTGTTAGCTCTAACTGTATAAGCTCTGAGATTTCAGTGAACAGAAAGAGTTGTTTCTTCTTAAAATTTATACAGCTTCTTGTTATGCAATAAAATTTATATGATGCTCAGAAATATCATAGTTAATCCTTTGAAGTCGTTATCTACTCCCCTCTGTTTATCTAGTTATGTGTGCCCATGCAATCCATATTCAGACTTTCTTCTCTTGTGTTTCTCTTCTGTATCTAACGGAAAGTCGGCAGAATAATGATGATAGTTTTTAAGTTCATGGGACCAAACTAAAACAGATTTATTTAGGGATTTAGGGTGGCTGGTTTTGGATTTGGAGACAAGCAGATTAAATACTGAAACTGAAACTGGCCAACGGCTTGCACCATTTGCTGCTTAAATTACAATCTCGAGACCCACTTCAACAGCTAGAACCATATAGAACAGGCGCAACCAAAAAAAAAAAAACTGCAGCACTAGCTAGTTCATGCATGATTGACTGACTGATTGATTATTAGTGCTATTGAGTAGTATCAATCCCTAATTATCTTCAGGATTAGTACTACTAGTTGCCTAGAATAATGTGCAGGGATCAACTGCTCTGCATATGCATGGATGCGCCGCATGCGGCTATCTCAGTGATTAGCAGCTCAGGATTAAGAAATCAGAGGTGTCATGAGTGTGAAATGAAGTTTAAAATGTGGTTCAAGCTGATAGGTTGATAGCAAATTAGATTTGGGAGTATAGATAATATTGGCACAAGTAAAACATTTGCATTATTCAGATCAACTGCTAACTGAAACTTGCTGGGACCTGATAAAACTTGAAATATTATGATACTAGATAAAATACTCATAACTTCTGCTGGGATTAATCTTCAGTAAGATACGAATATGTGATTAATTCAAAATTCTATGATGATACTAGATAACAAAGGATTAATCTTCTTGCTAGGACCTGATGAAAAGTTCAGTAAGTTATGAATAGTGAAACTTGAAATATTCATGAAACTTACTGAACTTTTTGGAACTAAATAAAATCTAAAACTTTCTCATTGTTGGCACTACATGATAGTACATACTAGTAGCACCGCTATATGGTGGCTGTTGACCATATAGGGCCATATTGATCAGCCACCTGCCGATCATCGATGAACTTAAACTAATTAATTAGTGCCCCTAAAGCAGGGAAAATAATGCATGGCATCTTTATGGAAGTAATGATGATTAGTGCCGATCTGTGATAATGATCATCACCAGTTTATGCCATCTTTCAGCCTTCAAATGGCACACTTCTCTCTCAAGTGAGGTTCAGAAGCTATAGCTAGCTTAGCTAGCACCTCAATTCTTCAGTTGAAGGCTAATACATGACCATGCAAAACTGTACACGACGAAAGCTACAAGAGCCACACAAGTGATCCATCCATCAGTGCAATTAATTAACCCCAATTAAGAAACGGATCAATCGTAATTGAGAATTATTCCTCTGTATATCCCTGAACCTGACAGTGACTTCATAGTACACATACATATACAGGCTACATGACTGCATCAATTGATCGATCGATCGATCGATCTCTCACTCTCTGCATGATTTCTCTCAGCCTCACACTTACTGAAGCACACATACGTGTGTGATCAACAGCGACAGTTTAATTAATACAAATACTGAAGAAGATATGCATTCGAGTTCTTCAGATTTGTGAAGCACACACATCTCTGAAGAACAGCTGCATGCATAGCAAATATCCATCACGCATTTGATCTCGTGCAGTAAAAAGGCTAGTGGTCAAGGAAATTCAGGTGCCATTTTTTGCCGACAAATCTTCCAAGTTTGAAATTGGTAGCTAGCTAGCTTGATAGCGTTTGCAACTTTTTATTTGGTCTTGTGGTTAAATTGCTATAAATTTATTGTGAACACCAAGACATGCACAAGTCGACGTCACATTATATATATTGTAATGTAGTTCGTCGAATCAAAAACAAAAGGTTGAATTCACCGAACAAACTTTATTTGACTATATAGCTAGTGATATAGTGGTGGTCCAGTGGAGAATCTTTTGGAGATAGAAAAAAAGAGGGTAGTGACCCGTTTGGCTTAAAGTTTTTTGGTTTAAAATTGGGATTAACTTTTGGCCACAAGAAAAGGGGTTTTGTGGGGCCGAATCCTCACTTGCCGGTTTATGCGTGGCTGAAATTAATCGATTTCTGGATTATTATTATTACAAGATTAATTGCAGCTGGTTTTTTGATATCGATGGTGACTTCCCACTTTACCAGTATGCATGGCACTATCGATGGATGGATGGATCATATCGTTTTATTTCGTCATGAAAAGTGAAAAAAAACTACGGGTGAATCATATCGTTTTACTTCGTCATGAAAAGTGAACAAAAAAACTACGGCTATGTTTCTTATGTAGCAAGTTCTATGCAAGTGGATGGTAAGTTTGTCAGTAGAAAATGGATTTATCTTTGGGAAACATCAGCGATATGGTGGTATATGGTGGTGGTGTCGTAGGCACGTGACTCTACCCAAGAGAATTTAAATCCTGATATTCACAAATATTACGTACATACAGGTTGGTTTTCAACGTATTTTTAATTTTAGTAAGGTCAAAGTTGTACCGTTGATTTTCATCACTTAGAGTGTGTGTTAGGGTATTCACGGGAGTATGAATGTGGTGTTACGTGTGCAGTGATGTGACGCAATGAGTCTTTGTTGTGAACTAATTAAAAAAAACAGATTTATGTTTATGAGTTTATCCATGCGATTGATTCATGTATTTATCCTGCTTGGCAGCTGATCAACTAAATTGTCCAATAGCAGCGAGGTTGACGTGGATCTAAGAGAGTTGGCTACGGATTGGTCGAACCCACGCAGGGCGGCACGTCAGAGGAAGATTCTGCCGTTCGAGTGGGGCCCACACGCGCCACGTGGATGCATGCATTGCTGTGTCGTCGTCGTCGCCGCCGACGCCGACACCCGCCGTGTGCGAGGGGTCGCCGGCGTTCGCCGCTCCTCCGCCACAAACTTCCCCGGCGAGCTTATCCATCCACGTAGCGCGGGCGGGCCCACTTTTCCTCTCCCGTGGGCCCCACCTAAGTACACGTAGCAGAGTCAGCCACACGCGATCGATCGAGTCCTCGTATATTACGGAGTAATTAAGCTTATAGCTTTAAGTGTGATTAAATATTAGATTTTCTTTTTGAGAAATTAAATATTGGAATCGAAACTCGAAAGTAGGGTTAACCAGCAAGAGTATCAATTAGTTAATTATTTTCTACTGTATATCAGTTTGTCAAAAATAAATTTGCCAAAATATTAATATTTATTTTTTTAGGGTAAAAAATATTAATACTTAAAACCCAAAACATCTACTAGTATATTGTAAAGCAGAGAGTAAGTACATATTAGAGAAAATTCCCTATCTAGCATAAAAAAAAGTTGCTCTTCCCTCTATAGCACCCAAACTTAAAAAGTTCCCTATCTAGACACTTCTAAAATTTTCCTTCCCTATGTAGCACTTCCGTTTGTTTTTACACTTGACGATGTTAACTAGCAGAAGAAAAGATGGTTTTGCCCTTCTTTATTTTTCAGACTTGCCTATACATCATGTTGGTTATTAATTGCTTAAGTTAATTAATGACAAGTGAAACCACAAGAGGATAATTATTATTTTTTTCAAAAGAGTGGATCGACATGTTATATTTGCAGTGTTACGTTAAATCAAGAGAAAACACGTCTAAAATACCAACGACCATGTACGGGCAAGTCTGAAAACTAAATAAGGGCAGAACCGTCTTTTCTCTTGCTAGTTAACACCGTCAAGTGTAAAAACTAACGGAAGTGCTATATAGGGAAGGGAAATTTTATAAGTGGCTAGATAGGTAACTTTTTAAGTTTGGGTGCTATAGAGGGAAGAGCAACATTTTTTTATGCTAGATAGGGAATTTTCTCTATATATTAAGTACTAGTATATATACCAATTCCAAGTGATCTGAACAAAAACATTTACAAGTTCAATGCTGTATAATGTACATGTAAAATATGTGATTTTTACATGTGTAAGTATATTATCTACTGTAGCTAAGAGTACCACGTAAGATCGATGAGAAAGTGCATGCATGCGTCGATAGTGTCATCACAGTGGACTACTAGATGTAATTAATGGCAGGGGGAAAACAGTGCCACGTCACCAGAGAACAGACGGAGTAATTATGCCTCTCAGCATGCGGCCACTAGTAGTTAATGATGCCCGGCTCCCTGCCAGGTGGGCCCGTCCCCCACGACAAGCGCAGTCAAGGTGCGCGTAATTTTCAGTCCACGTCACCTTCCTCCGGTCGAGTGCTCCGACATAATTTCTGGCACGTACGCATGGGCAAGTGGTGTGTATACATATATCTACGTGCACTGAATGCATATAGATTTAGTACTAGGATTATTATCTTTTCTTAATATCCCAAAATGCACATATCAACTGTGATATATATATATATATATATATATATATATATATATATATATATATATATATATATATATATATATATATATATATATATATATATATACAGTTCACAAATTAAAAACAATAATTTAGAGGGAGAAAATTTTCTAAATTTTTAAAAGAAGAAATTATGAGCATGTTGAGTATCAAACATAAGATCTCAGGTTAAAACCACACATCCTCACCACTACACTATCAAGTGATCTCTACTTCACAAATACAAATATTGGGCATTTTATGATTTAAAAATTATCTACGAAAATTAGGATTATAAATTCCACTATTATTGCTCACTGGTAGTTGCATCGCTACTTCGCTAGACATCATAATTTTACAATCAAGTAAAATCTTAATTAGTGACATCAAAGCAATTTCAACTTAAGCTTAAATTGTGTTGAACAATCCAAAAATCCGTTATATTTGTGCACGGTGGGAGCATCCAGGTACCAGGTAATATGCTTATACCGAAGTTTTTTTTTCCTTTATAACTAAGCAGTTAAAGTAAAATGATACAATTATTTATACCAACATGAGAAAAATAAAACAACTTCTGCTCTTTACTGTAGAGACAGATAACTGCAATTAGGGATGCATGACTAAAATAGAGCCAGCTTAAATAAAACACAACAAACACACTCCAAAAAAGAAATCCTTGCTAAATTAGCACTCACCTAAAACTAATCCAAAAAAAAAATGTCACCTAATTAAAGCAATTTTTTTAACCAGGAAATATTTTTTTTACCTCTTTATAAATAGCCCCCCCTGATCAGGCAGAGCATCGGAGCAAAAAATGGCGGCCATCTCCACCACCACCGCCGCCTACTTCTCCTCGCAGCCGCAGCTCCCCGCCACGGCTGCCGCCAAGTCCGGCGGGCGGCAGCAGCAGCGGCGGCGGAGCAGCTTCGTGATGCTCGAGGCGGCGGCGGCGTCCGGGAGCGGCGGCGGAGGGGGAGGGGCGGTGGGGAGGACGAGGAGCCTGACGGAGGAGGACCTGGAGGAGCTCAAGGGCTGCCTCGACCTCGGGTTCGGGTTCGCCTACCACGAGATCCCCGAGCTGTGCGGGACGCTCCCGGCGCTGGAGCTCTGCTACTCCATGACGCGGAGGTTCCTCGACGAGCAGAGGGCGCCCGGGCAGGAGCCGGAGTCGCCCGCCACGCCGCCGCTCCCCAACTGGAGAATCTCTGGCCCCGGTAAAGCTTTCCCCTCCCCCCGTGCAGATTTTGATTCTGATAATGTTCTAGGTTTGGGATTGTGTGAATATATACTTGATTACTTCTTGGTTGTGAAGGTGTGTGATCGATTTTTTCTGTTGTTTTGTTGGAGCTGTATGATTTGAGAGGTTTAGAGGTGAATTTTTGGGATGTCAGATGCAGGGTTTGGATTTTTGGGTCCAAAAAAGAAAAACGAGATTTGAAGGGAGAGACGTCCCTCCAAACATTTTTTAAGAACAAATTGTCAGCGTGTCGAGAATTGAACACGGGAACTTGGGTTGAAACCACACACCCGTTGCCAATGCACTATCAAGTGCATCTCTTGGATTTTTTGGTCCATTTGAAGTGTGAGATGTTTGATATTGAGATATGTGTAGCGAAGTAGTATAGACTTAGTTGATCGTGAAAGAATTGATTATCCTATGTTCTACCCAGGTAGGATGAGAGTATGTTTGCAATATTATATCAGGTGGGTTTCTCCATTAGATTGCTCGTTGAATCCTGTGTAGATTACACCACTGTTTTTTTTAACAAGTGGCTTTGCTATAGGATGGCACTAACAATGAATAAACATCCTGAAATCTGATGCTCGCAATGAATAAAAGATATGAGATATTCATAACGGAATGGAGTAGGCTTCAAGCAACATGCTTGCAGACAATCGATGCCCAGTTTACAGGCTATATTGAACACCCTGGATTTTGTTGGAGATTACTGGATGCCTAATTTCGATTTTGATTGCCCTGTGCATATGAATTGATGGTTTGCTCTATTCAACTGATGCACAGTTGTAATAATTATAACAAACTTATAACAGCAATTCCAGCTGGATATATGTTTTGGATACCAGCTTGTTGTAGCTCTTTAAGGAAATCCGCTGAAAATTTGCCAACTTTCTCGTGCACAGTTAATACCAATTGTTGTATCCTGTATTCAACCCTTATTCTTAGGATATTGATTCAATCATTCTCTCTCTCTCTCTCTCTCTCTCTCTCTCTCTCTCTCTCTCTCTCTCTCTGGTGGGGGAGAGTGGAGTTAGGATTTCTGTTGTCTTGATGACGCTTGCATCTTGTACCACATACAGCACAAGTTGTTTAGGCGGAGAGAATCAGATTCGCTTGCTTTTGCTTTGTTTCATAAAGAAATGAGGATGTTAGACACTCAAGACTGCAAATTGTGCCAACCTTTTGGTTGTTGTAAATTCAATGGTTCTCTAAAATTTTTTTTAGAAAGTTACGGTTCTCTGAATTGATACACATACAGGAAAGGGATAATGGAAGTTTTAGCATAGGAAATGAAGGAAAAAATGCTTACATTCTCAGGTAGAGCACTCAAGATAAAAGACAGATTTGCTTTGTTCATGATGTCTCTTTTCTTAGTAAGTGCGAACTGTCTTCTGCAAAACAGTCTTCACAAGCAAGCAAAGCAAGAGTAGCCCCACAGGAAATTATGCTTCTCTCCTTTCCAACACATGTTTCTTCTCTCAAAAACAAATTTGAAGAAATTCTATTCTTCCTATCAAGAATGTAAAATTTTATTTCTAAAATAAACAGTACCTAAGCATGTTCTCTGTAGCTATTAGATGTACTGTCCGTTTAATCGAGATGTTTGATATTGAGATGTGTGTGGCAAACTATAATAGTATCTACTCTATGAAAGCCATACTGTTCTTTGCTGATCAATAGGTTCTGAATTCTTATAGGTGATGACCCAAAGGAAGTGAAGGCTAGACTGAAGTATTGGGCTCAGGCAGTGGCATGCACTGTGAAACTCTGCAGTTAGTGGTGGACTGGTGGTTGGCTGTCTGCTGGTTCATCTCATAATGTCTATCCTACTGACGGGAGGAAATGAAGGTGGTTGAAGTTGAAGAATTTCACTTATATGGTTTTGAGGTCAGGTGAGCAAATACACTGATGAGGTGCTTATGCCTCGTGTTATCGAGGCAACACGATCGATCAGTTATTTCGCAAAACTTCAAAGGGGAGACTGGTCACCCCACGGAACAGCAAGAAAACTCAAGGTGATCCGTGGTCCGAGCTTTTCTGAAGGCATCAGAAGCTTGTCATTCCTCATGGAGGTCTCTGCATGGTGCAGGGTTTGCAACTGCGAGACCTGCTAGTTTTTGCTCTTGTCATGATCTTTAGGAGCACCAATTGCTGTACTGTACCGGGTGGGGCGGGGGTTTGGCTGATCCATGGGTGGATCAGTTTCAGTATGGCTTTGTTCTGATATTCTGTTTAATTTTCATTTGCTTTGAAGTAGAAGATTCTGCTATACTGCAAAGTTTGCAGATAGTATGCTCCGAAAAATGATTTATCCATGCAGTCTAACAATAAACTGTAGCTGCTGATATTGTGTAGTACTACCATGTGATGCTACTGAACTTGTATGCCTGTATCCCCATTCTCAATGCTTTCAGTTTGAGACTGGTAAAAGATTTGATTGGATTATGCTGCTGGGATAACACTGTTGCATGAACTTGTTGGATCCACAAATTATCCAATTCAGATCCTACTATTAGCAATTCAGAGCTTATATCCAGTTTATTGTCAGATTCACGGTGTGTTCACTTTATTGTCATTTTTAACATTATAAAAATTTGGCAAGACAACAAACCAAACACATATCAGTACGAACACAATCTTATTAAAATTTTGGTAATTTCAGAACTACCCTCAAAACTCTAGCAAAAATTGGGTAAGCCACAAACTATAATGGGAAATGTGGGGTGGGATTGAGATTGGGAAATGAGGGTTAGGATTAAATGGAAGATGGAGAATGAATGGTTAAGATTTAAAGATGTCTTTTAGTGGGTGGAAAATGATTTCCCTATCCCATGAGCCAAACAGGACCTAAGGGCTTGTTTTGCAGAATTCCAACTTCCACCTCTCCAAACAGTTTCAGCTAAAAAAAAAGAACTGTAATATGCTGAAGTGTTATCACAAATTGAACTAAAAAGGTGACGGTAGATTCTGGTTGCTCTATGGCTGTGTTTGGGTCCACCTTTTCTCAACCCGTCTCCCTCGTTTTCCGCGCGCACGTTTTTCAAACTGCTAAACGGTGTGTTTTTTTACAAAAAAATTCTATACGAAAGTTGCTTAAAAAAATCAAATTAATCCATTTTTGAAAAAATAACAAATACTTAATTAGTCACGCGTTAATAGACCGCTCCGTTTTCCGTGCGGAGGAGATTAGTTCCCAACCTGTTCTACCGAACTCAGGCTAAGTTGGCTTCGTACTCAACTCTTAAGATTAAATTTAGGAATTAAAATATCTGCCCAAACAGACCAAGCAACCAACCAACATTAATCTACTACTAAGTTTTATTTTTATAAAAAAGAACAACAAAGTTCCAATGTAAGATCTCCTTTTTGCTGTAGTTGTAAGATTCAATAGCATTTCCTGTGCAGTTTTACAGAAAACCACTGTATTCACAACTGTACAGAGGGGGAAGAGGCTCTCGTTTTTTTGTCGGTGAGGAGTCGCCAGTGCTGGTAGCAGGGACACGTGGCGCGCGCATGGGTCCCGATGATTTCCGAAGCTTCCATGTGGAGCCTTGACTCTGGATTACGCATCCCCAAGCGTCGTGTATACTCTATACTCCCCTATCCTATTCAGTTGTGAATTTCTGTCTAACATTTAACTATCTATTTTATTTATTTTTTTATATTTAATATTTTTATATTTATTAAATGATAAAACATAAATAATATTTTATGAGTAATTTATTATTTTTAAACTTTTCATAAATTTTTTAAATAAGACAGATGATCAAACGTTAGATATAAAAACTCACAACTGCATGAAACGGGTTGAGTTTAATCCTGCCTACCTGTTCGGTATGACTGCACCTGTGCAGTGGCGAAATACCGGTAGTACCCCCCGTTTTCTGTGAATTGATTGAGGAGGATAGGTGGCAGTTTCGGAATGTTAGGTCTCCATGTCTGGGAGGTCTCCACTTTGTCGTCTCTATCGGCGATTCTCTCAGCAAGTCTCGTCCATGGTGGTGACCGGTGAACAAGCAGAAAGGGCCGTGGCAATTGTCAGTTTAGACCTTTGCATTCCTGCTTATTTGATTTTTTTATGCTGGATGGGTCGAACAAACTCTCCTTCCGAAAAAGGATCGCATTAATATTTTTTTTAAAAAAAATCAATTTACAGATTTGTATTTCGACCCAGCTAATGAATTTTATGCTGTAATGCATATATGGTAATGCACTATAGTATAACACATTCGTACAATATTGTCTGTTTGGTAATTGCTTGGTGCCCACATTAGAAAAACGTAAATTATATATTTCCAACATTCCATGAGGATATACTAATTATCCACCTTATAGAAAGATGATATGCCTAATGGTGTAATCATGGCGAATATGGTGTAGCATCAAAATCCTCTTCACCACTTAGTGCTTTTTAAATTTCATCCTTTTCAGCTTAAGATATTTTTTTTTATTATCATGGCTACTTCCTAAGCTCCTACGGGTATATTTGGACAATGGGAAATAAGGGGTGAGATTGAGATAGGGAAATGAATGAAATGTTAGGATTAAATGGAAGAGTAAGAATAAATGGTTAGGATTTAAAGATGCTTTTTGGTGGGTGAAAAAACATTTCCCTAACCCATTATTCAAACAAGGCCTAAAAGTTTATTATCTCTTTGACAACTTTCTTCATAACCATTTCTTCAAAACTTTACAAAACAAACTCTTAACTCTCTAACATCTAATTCATTCATTTATAACATCCAACAATTGACATAAACTGAATTTCATCCATCATCCACCAGCACTCGACAAAACAAGACCTTACAACAGCTAATACTCATCTATTAGCACTAGCCATTAAACATTCCCTCTAAACCGAAAGTCTCTACTGACACTTGGATATCACACATATCCTGGGTTTTGATTCCATCCCAAATCAGCAAAAACCTCACCCAAAAAAAAGGAGAAAAAAAAATGCTACGAGGACCATTTTGAAAATCAGTAAAATTCAAGGGTCCATTTTAGAAACACACGAACCTCACATAAAAGTCCCTTCCCCTTTCGTTCTCGTGGGATATTCCTCCGAATAATTATTTATTTTATATTTACATAATTTTTTTTCCCACTCCTCTCCCTCTCCGGGCCTCCGCTCCCCGTGTCTCCCCCCACCTCGCCGACTCGCGCCTTCTAGAATCTTCGAATCGCGATCGCCTCCTCCCACCTCGGCCCAGCAACGAGCTCCCTCCCATGGTGGCCTCCAGAGGATAGGTTCTCTCGCCTCGCCTCCCTTTCCCCCCACCCTAGTTCGTCCCGGCCAGGGCGGGTTCTGATTTTATTTTATTTTGTTTTGTTTTTTTTCTCGATTTTTTTGGTGAATTTTGCTGATGTTTTTGGGTGATTTGTAGCGGGAGAGATCGGAATCGTAGGGTTTTGGGGGAGGCGGCGGTGGGGGAGATGAGCGGGGAGGTGGAATGCAGAGTGTGCCACGCGAAGGTGCAGGTGCCGATGGCGGCGGCGGCGGTGTCGAAGGCGTACGACATCCACCGGAGCTCCGTGTCGTCGAGGCAGCGCGCGCTCAACGTCCTCCTCGTCTCCGGCGACTGCGTCCTCGCCGGCCTACAGGTGGATAATGCTTCACCCCCCCCCCCTTCCTGCACTGGGTTTTGGTGGTCTGATCAGCGTGCCTGGTCCCGAATCGCCGCCAGGTGTTGCGCGCGGACTGAATTGGTTTTGGTGGATTGCGTGAGATAATGAATTGAGAGGATTTAGATTTAGGATTAGTAGCTTGCTGCTCAGTGAAACTGTAATGGTACCAAAGTTTGTGCCTCTGTTGCATTTGTTTAGCTACAGTTCATGCTAAACAAAAACTTACTAATTAGCCATGAGTCTGTGACTACTTTTTCTATGAATGTGTTAATGTTATTAAACTGTGCTGATGTCTGGTAAAATGAGCGTCATGTAAATGTCTAGTGTTATGTATTATCACATCACACCATGATCGGTTTCATTGATCTGTGTACGTGAACAAGCAGTAGTTATTTGGGGTTTTGATGACTTGTATTCTTTCCTGAGCTAATGTTAATGTCTAGATACACATACTAGCTGCTAGGAAAAGAATGAATGTCTAGTTACTACTGTCATTATCATTCCATCATTTTCATTGCTTATTAGATATCTCTAGAGATCTTAAACTTTGGAACATTCTGTTGAAACACAACTTGTTGCTGAGTTATTTAGCCATCTGAGCACATCCATAGAAATGTTTGCTAAGTCATTACTCTGTTGCCACTTTATGAACTCTTATGTTGCCTGACGCATCTCTACCTCTTTTTCTGCAGCCTATATTGGTGTACATGTGTAAAGTGGATGGGAAGTTCAAATTTAGCCCAGTTAGTGTAAACTTCTTGACAGAGATTACAAAAATTATATTTGCCATCATCATGCTATGCATCCAGGTATGTAAAACCTTCTATTGTTCCATTAAGCGTATTTGTTTATACGGTTGTTTCCTATACTTGTTTATTGGTGACTGCAAGATGCATTTTCTTCATGTACTGCTAAGCAAGTGGAATATTGATTGTTTTTCATGTCTTAGAACTTCATTGCAACCTTGATTACTAAAGAATTCTGTTTCTATTAATTCTTGGATATCCTAGTCAAATCGGTTTCTGCCCTTTGCAGGCCAGGCGCCTAAAGGTGGGAGAGAAGCCATTTCTCACAGTTTCAACATTCATGCAGGTAATATAACCATCAAGTATGCCATGCTTACTGATTGGATCAGGTGATTCCTTGCCTGGTCTAAATCTCAAATATTGATTTCTCTTGCAAACCCCACAGTTGAAGTACTCACTATTTATTTTGAAGAGAGGTAGTCAATCCTCATTGCCTAACAGTATAAACCGCACGCGAATACATTATGGGGCAACTTGTCATTTGGCAGAAAGCATTAAAACTTACATAGAAAGCTATCTTTTAATCATGTGTTACTTCTTACTGGCCATATGCTCCCATTTGTTGCAAGAAGTTAGTGATTTTTTTCTGCCATCATAATTATTCTTCTTCACTTGGCAGGCTGCTCGCAACAATGTTCTTCTTGCAGTTCCTGCTCTTTTCTATGCTATCAACAATTACATGAAGTTTGTAATGCAGGTATAGGATCATAAAGACCTCTTAATTACAGACCGTGTGGGAACTTGACTTTCTTTGAACCAATCTGTGAGATCTTTCTTTTGCCTACCTTCAATCTGATGCAGCTCTTCTAACCATTGATCCTGTCTTGTGCAGCTATATTTTAATCCTGCAACAGTGAAAATGTTGGGTAATCTCAAGGTATGTTATACCCTCTTTTTTTTTTTCAAAGATTATCTTACTGTCGTAGTAGCTACATAGCATCAACGTTGGTGCATTCACCCACCTCCCACACATGTATGTACGTGCACACGCACACACTTGTCCATGTTGTTTTCAGAAAAGCTATTAAGCTCCTAATAGTCCCAACTCCCAACCTTGTGATTTTTCTAGTTGATTTTCATCATTTCTTTGGAGTTTGGCAACATGTGAATTACGTTTTGATTGTATTGGTCATCACACATTTGTTCTGTAGGTTCTGGTGATTGCTGTGCTCCTAAAGGTGATAATGAGGAGGCGTTTCTCCACAATTCAGGTAGGTTTGGTTTTTAATTATCATTTGTCATGTTAATCAGTTTTGAGCTTTTTTTTCAGGATTTAAAAGTAGAGGTGGTCCAAATGTGGTTTTTTATTTAAGCCGATTGGCTTCCTGTTTTTCTTTACATCTATCTATTAATATCTAACTCTTAATAAATATTTTTGCAACACCACAAACTTTATGTAATTGACATCATACTATGGCGTGTTGACAGTGGGAAGCCCTTGCTCTTTTGTTGATTGGTATATCGGTTAATCAGCTCAAATCACTGCCTGAAGGTTCTAGTACACTTGGTCTTCCTGTTGCTGCTGGTGCCTACCTATACACATTATTTTTCGTAAGTTCTGTCTATTGGTTCATTTGTTCATTCGTTTTTCTTGTACCTCTTTTCATCCTCTTATATCTGATTAGTGCATGGTGTGCTACTCTATTTAACATGTAGGTTTAGACTAGACTAATGTATCTTCTGTGTAATTTGGGAAGGTAGGTTAACTTTTAGTTTTCAGAGTTCATTTTCATGCCCAGCTCAAGCAAGGCTTTCTGGTAGTCCGTAGATTACGATACAATGATGCTATATCTGGCCTGCTCTTTATCTGCATATAGTTATAGACGAGCAGACATTTGGGTTATTGATACAATGCTTGAACTCTTATATGTTGTGCTTTGAACCAGTGTTTTGCATTTTATTGATTCACATATAGTTAAAAATATGTAGCATGGTAGGATTAAGAACTTGTGGTAAACTGACAGAGTAAAATAGCTACAGTAGTTCTCAGCACATGGGATTACATTATTGCTTTTGAATACTTCACATTGGAAACAAGCTTAATTTCATTTGATTGCTCAATTTTTTTCCTATATAACAGAAATAGCCAACACAATCTAATGTTCCATGCTAACATTTTCTGCAATCAGGTAACAGTTCCTGCATTGGCTTCAGTTTACAATGAAAAGGCTCTGAAAAGCCAGTTTGATACCAGTATATATCTTCAGGTATGACCATATGCATACTTATCCTGCAGTCACCATGTGCTACTCAATGATAATGTACTAAACTATCAGCCTGTATCTCCTAAAGCTATTGTTTTTCAAGGGTCATGACTGTCATATCATGTTTACAGAACTTATTTCTGTATGGATATGGTGCAATATTTAATTTCCTAGGGCTTGTGATCACTGCCATCATCCAAGGTAATTGTTGAGAATTTATATCTCATGATAAGAAATGCATTTTTTTTGCATATTATAGTTTCCAAATTATGTGTTGTGATCTGCTGTCAATAACTTTACTTTTAATTACTAGCCCTATGCCTGCTTGGATTTTGATAGGGTACTTATTTGGTTAATTCAGTCATTTTGTGATATATATCTTTAGTTCTTTACACCTCGGTATGGCTACAATTTAATAGATCATAATAAAGTGCTTCAATAGTTTAATTAATGGAATCTCTTTCTTCTTGCTTTCCATTTTGTCACAATTATTCAATCAACTATGCTTTTAGGATGACAATATGCGCAACGAAATCTTGTACCTTAACTGTGTTTTCTCTGAAATGTCCTCTTGTACATATGTATCAACCATTTGACTTCTACGATGCCACTATAGCTATGCACTTTTCTTTTGTGTCATGCATTACTCGGTGCTATAAAGATCACTTATTATGTAATTTCGTCCAGGTCCTAGTAGCTTTAATATTCTGGAAGGGCATTCAAAGGCCACAATGTTTCTTATTTGCAACAATGCCGCTCAGGGCATATTATCGTCATTTTTCTTCAAATATGCAGGTACGTTTTCCCTTTGACTCTTAAAATGGTACTTTTTAATATCCTTGAAGTCTGTTTTTGTACATGTTCTGGATGCAGTTGACCAGTTTTTTTTGGTAAAGTTAGTATGCAAAGCTGTGATTATGTCTTAAGATCTCACCTACATGGATAAGCTAATTCTGCTTTTATGAGTTTTTGTTTTAATATGCCAGTTTTGGTAATTGTACTGCAGTTCATTTAAAACACATTAATGCTGACTGCAGATACAATATTGAAGAAGTACTCATCAACAATCGCCACAATCTTTACTGGAGTAGCATCTGCTGTGTTGTTTGGTCATACTCTGACCATAAATTTTGTTCTTGCAATATCAATAGTAATTATATCTATGCATCAGGTAACCTTTCTTTTTTCCTGTCTAGTCAATTAGTACTGACTCTTTCAGTGATTTTACATGTTTCTGGTGTTTTTGTTTCAGTATCTCTCGAACCAAATTAAGGATGAAGTTCCGAGCAGTAAAATTGAGATGGGTGATGCTCATGAGCACAGGTTTGGATTCTTAACACTATAGAACATTGTAGTTTGTCACTTTTCCATGCCGTGGTCTATCATCAGTAGAAATCCATTTGCTATTTCCATGATTGTCTAGTAATATATTTGGTTTGATGGATGCCTTGTTCCTCAGATCGAAGGAATCTGTAGTCGTCAACGTGTCTGATTCTATTGCTACTGAGGTAACTATTCACATCAAATTCAAAACTGCCCCTGTTTTTCTTTGGATACAAATCATTGGATCTATACAATGCAGGCTAAACACAGGCACGGTACTGATGAGAGGCAGCCACTTCTTCCTGTTTGATCCTCTATTCCTGAGGTTTTCTTCTTGGCACAGTGTAATTCCAGTATAATCTCTTTTTTTTTTTGCGAAGAAAGTCCAGTATAATCTTAATCTCATTCTATCCTTTGATTTAGTTACGTCTCTCCTAACTAGCTCACATTTCTGACAGAGCTGCCAACTGATACAATTCAGCTTGGTTCCACACCAAGGAGAAGCAGCATACATCTTACCAACACAGTCCTCATTAGAGAAGTAGAGAGTTGAAAGCTTATAATGGTGTTCATAGCCTTCTTTTTGACCTAATGTTCGCCATTTTGAGTTAACTGTGGCAAGAACACCTCTGCATATCTAATTCAGTGGCGCAACCGAATCGTGTGAGTTTACTGATATAGAGTAGCGGGGGGATGAAGGATACCTTCAGCGTTGTTGCGTGTGATGAGATCACACTTACAAAGCTTGAATCGAAGCAGCATTCATCCATTCCATTCGTTTGTGTTGGTTTTGTAGATAGCAGCAGCAATATGTTCCCTTGCAAGTCTTGCATAGTAATTTAAACAGATGCTGTTCCGTGCTGTACTTACTGTACAGTTGTTGCATGACAAGAGCCGACTGATTTGCTGAGAAAGGCTCGTCCTTTATGGATGGATTAAATGTGTTTTTCGAGCATCCTGCCTGGGTGTAAAGGGCAAGCGTTCGAGCGCGGACCAGAAAAGTTTATACGTACAAATTTTTAATATTAAAACATTTAACTTAAAAATATTTAGATTTGAATTTAAATCTTTTTGCCGGGTGATTTGAATTTAAATCTAAATTGTATGTGTAAACTTTAGATATGTTATAGAAATGATTAATGAAGTCGATAAATCGTTGAGCTAGAACTTGGTATATACTAGTGGCATAGAATAGAGTTTTTTTTTTCATAAGTTAGGTATTAATGATCTTGTAGCAAGAATATATGTGCATCTGGGGTGGTCTGCTTCGTGCTAATGTTTAATCAGCTCTACAGTAACTCAGTAAGTACTTTGTTAAGGTCGTTTTTGGCTTAACAAACCTTAAGCTCTGCATTTAACTTGGAATGTGTCTTTTAAGTCAAGTCTCATATATACAAAATATTCTTTTTAACGTGACTGCTTACAAGATGCACACAATCGTACAGAATCGTGCACGTTTCTTAACCATATTCCATGGGCTAGCAGCTAGGGCCAGTTTTTTTTCTCAACTCTAAGCTTTGAGTTCCTCATTTTCCGTTAGCAAGTTTTTCAAATTGTTAAATGATATATTTTTACACAGTTTCTATGTAGAATTGTTTAAAAAATCAAATAAATCTATTTTTAATTTTATAATAATTAATAATTAAACATGCGCTAATGAGTTTTCTCTGAAAGTATCCCTCAACTTAGCAGTAGCAACATGTGGTGACTAATTTGATTTATCTCCCAAGACTTGAACGAACGGTAAAGCAACACAAGTAACAGCGATACTATTTGAATCAAAGAACATCATCAGTATTCAGCAGTACATCATCTCTAGTTCACTGAATAAACGACTACTAGAACACAAGCCATCGTCTAATCTTCTGTAAACAGGCACCTAAATACTTGCAAATCCTATGGTTGGCCCAGAATGACAGTATATGCAATGCAATCCCGATTGTTAGACACCGTCTGCAAAAATTAAGTATGTTATTGTGCTCGGATCGTGTTCCTTCAAAAGGCAAAACACATTCTCCATGCAGTTAGCCTGAATTCCGAGAAGCAATAAGCAAGTAGCTCCATTCTGTGGTATGCCATGCAAAATGACCAAGCAGGAAAAACAATAGTCCCTGACCCTTAGAAGCTTATATGGTCTTAGTTGTTATTTCTTCTCTGATGATTCTGTACATCAACCGTCCAGAGCTGGTGGAGGCGCGGGTGGAGTCGGCTTACTTGTGAGCAGTGGAGATAAAGCCTTCACCACAATGCTCATGTTTGGGCGAAACTCAGCTTCGTATTGTACGCACAATGCTGCAACCGCTGCAAGCTGCATCGAGAAAGTGCAGTAGTGAGAAATGTGGGGGAAAAGAGAAGGAAAGGATGACTATCATGACTCATGTGTATAAATATTGTGTGCATGTATAGAGATCGAGACCTTGGCAACTCCTTTTGGTGGGTATTCACCATTCAACCGTGGATCTATACACTGCTTCACCTTATCTTCAGTTAATCTTGGTGTAGCCTGCAAAACAGAACTGAGACATGCTCAGAGAACTAGGTAAAAAGTAGCCACTAAAGGATTGGGCTGCGTATTGCTACATTGTACTAATCAAGGTGTTAACTGTAGACACTATAAGCTGCTAAATCAGATATTCAGATGTGATCTGAACTTAACGACAAGATAAATGAGTAAACTATATGGTGAACATTACCCATGTAACCAAGCTCTGCTGCCCTCTAGGCATTGTATGATCTACTGGTTTTCTTCCTGTCAGAAGTTCCAAGAGAACAACTCCGAAGCTATACACATCACTTTTCTGTGTCAGCTGACCGGTCATTGCATACCTGCAAAGTTCACATATTGGGTCAGATAATGATATCATTTCAAGCATAAAAACAGTGTTACATATATATCTTGATTATTCATCAGAAAATGTCATATAGAGGCAATAATGGGCTCTACAGCAACCCAGGCATAAAAACCTATATGTAGAAAGTGCCACAAAGTAAGAAATATCGTAGAGTAAGACCAGTTTCTTTCACTGCAGGAGTCCTAAATGTGCCTATGAATAAATAGAACTTATTGGATCCTTTTCAACAAACTATAATAATCACATTGTATACTGGTCCTTTCCAAAGTTAATTGAAGAAGTAATGCTATAAAGAAACTACAATTGAACAGTAAAATAAAGTTCATCACAGAATATGGTAAGAATTTTTACTCTGGAGCATGATAACCAAAGGTTCCCAGTACACGAGTAGAATGCAGACGAGCAGCCATATCTGGAGCCTGATTTGAGAGATTGAAGTCTGCAACTTTTGCCTTGAAGTCTTCAAATAAGAGTATGTTACTTGATCTAATATCCCTATGAACAATGGAGGGCTGAACCTTCTCATGTAGATATTCAAGTCCTTTGGCAGCATCAACAGCTATTCTTACTCGTTGCATCCAATCAAGTGCTGGACCAGGTTGTGCACCTTGCACCCCTTTTCTTCCTGTTACACAAAGTTAAAAAAGATATATCAACAATTGATCTGCTTCTGCTGCAGCTATACAGCACCCGTTCCCAGCTACCCAAAAACAGTAGTAAAGTTAGTCAAACTGGAGAACATGATGGATATGCCGAACCATACCATGTAGAACATCATGCAGTGAACCCATAGTGGCAAATTCATATGCTACTAGGCGAAGGTTACCCTCCGTGCAGTATCCCAACATATCTACAAAGTTTTCATGTTTCAATCTTGAAACCAAAGCGACCTAGCATCAGAAAATAAGCAGTGTTGTTTAGGATCCTCCATCTGTAGAAATGCATTAATGCTATAACCAAATAATAATAATTCATATCTCTAAAAGCAAGTCAACCTGGGTCAAGAATTCTGAAGTGGGCTCATTTTCATTAGAATCAAGTTTCTTCACTGCAATTTTTGTTCCACTGTCAAGAACAGCGTAGTACACTCTACCATAAGAACCTTCGCCTATCAAAGCACTTGAGCCAAAATCATCTGTCTTTTCTACTAGTTCGTCCAAGGATAGAACAGGAATATTGATAGTGAGAGCCGAATTTTGTGGCTGAGCTTTTTCAGTAGCAGAATCTTTCAAACCCTTTGTCACTCCTGGAAAAGGAGAAAAAAATGTAGAAAGGTGAACAATCAGAAACGGAGTTTTAAGTTTTCAATCAATGAAGTGACACTGCAGGACTAAGAAATATAAATAGAGAACACAAGCAAGGTCAAAGAAGCATACCATCTGCATTACTAGTCAGGACCTTGGCATGTCCATTTTCAAGCTGATCAGACTCGTTCACTTGACAATTGCAGCAGATCCAGCGGCGCCACCTTACCATCTCTTCTCACTACTTTACCCCTTGTAGTCTGTACAGCACATAAATTTTACCAAGAAATATATCAGATTGTCAGCAGAGACAATGTCCTTAGACCGGTTGTAAAATGTTCCAGCCTAAATTGTTCCCCATTCTTAATAAATTTCAGTGGGCAATCCTCTCCGTTCGCTCCTTATTAAGACATTGTCAGCAGAGACATACAGCGTCAGGAATTCAGGATATGTACTGCCACAATGGGCGTCTATGATGCTGATGCTATTCAGAAGGAGAGAATTCCAGATCGTCTAAAAATGAAATTGCTCTCTCGGCTAAAAATGGTGACCTCCATACATCACATACATGAGATTTCTGTACACAGAATTTACGGTGTCGGTAACATAAACCACATAGTCAATAAACAAATAAACCCTCAAAGACAAAGTCTCAAAACAATTTCATTCATTCAACATGAAAAACTGGTCAATCAACTTATCTCATCACGAACACAGCCAGTACTCACGAGGCAGCCATAATTGCCAATAAACCTAAACACAAAAACAGTACGCATGCGTAGCTCCGAGATCCAAACCATGGTCGCACAACACAAACCCACGCGCCTAACAAACCGCCGCATCCAAAAAAAAAAAAAAATCGTCACCTAACACCAATCAAACTAGCACGCACGCGCACCCCACTAGCCTACACCCACATCCACTCACCCCAGCGCAGCGCCGAGCCGACGAATCCCATCCCCCACACAAACCGCGTCGTCTCCACTAGTACTCCGCCGCCGCCCAGAAACGAAATCGGAGACGATCAAGCTCGAAAACGGTGTTGGATTTCATGGGAGGGAGGGAGGGGGGGAGAACCTGAAACCGTGTGCGTACCTCTGCTCCTCTCTGCCTCCGGCGGTTTCGTCGTCGTCGTCGTCGTCGTCGGCGGCGGCGGCGCTGCTTCACTTGGTCGGCTTCGTCGCGGCGGAGGCGCGGTTTTATAGCGGAGTTCGGTTTCCTCTTTTCTTTTTTTTTTTCTGCTGCCTATTTCTAAGCGTTTTGACGCGGCGTAGTACTCTGCAGTTTATGGGAAGAGCCGAAGAAGCTGGTAGGATTGGATCAGATGTGCCTGCCCGGTGGGTCCCACACGGGGTGGGCCCGCTGTCAGCTACTAACGAGTCAACTGTCAACTAGAAACCCTGCTATTACTAATATCGTCGAGGCATTCTTCGGTTTCGAGGGGATTGTGGGGGAATAATTCTACACCACAATAGAAGTAGAATAAATCCCCTCCAATCTCTCCCTGATAAGGATTAACTGAATGAGGTTTGATGGTGTTTGTCACCTATCCTATCTTAGTATAAAGTTATCCTCCACTAACTCTTTAAGCTTAACATGCAAATATGCCACATCATCATCCACTAACAATCATCACATTTAAACATCATGCAAACATGCTATATCTTTGTATTTTTATAATTTAAGAGCTTTTCAAATACAAACATGTTAAATTATCATCCAACATAATTCACATAATATTTCAATGTATATTTTTATTATGTTTTATGATATCCTATATACTTATATAGTTCATCCTCACTTAGTTAGTGCTTAAATGATTAATGGTCCAAATTATCTTTCTCCTTTTTTCCTCTAATTAAGTTATATCACATCAATTGTTTTTAGCCTTTAGATGATTAATCTACGGTTCAAACTATCTCCCTACTTTTCTTCTTCCATAAAGTCATACCACCTTACTTTTTACATTTGAATCACCATTCTACATACTATTTAAATTTAAATTATTATAAACCATATTAATTTACTTAATCTGATGTTATCTACCTATTTTACACGTTATTATTTTTATTGTTATCATACTAAATTCCCGCAGCAATGCGCGGGGTTTCACCTAGTTCATCAAAATAGGGGGAAAAAGAAGAAGAAAAGGTTGGGTTGTGGCTATAATAGACTATTGGCTCGTTTGGCAACTTGATGGAAGGGGATTGGGAGTTAGAAAATTGATGGTTAGATTAAGATAGGAATTTGAATTTTAATCCTAAAATTTTTTTTGGTAGAGGTGGTGGAAATTGATAGGGGTTTAGTTAGAGATTAGGTTATTAACAAAAACGGATGATTAAGATTTGTTTAGGTAAAGTAAATGAGAAATTCCCTCCCAATTACCACCTCCTACACAGAAAATGAAAAAGAGGAAATTCCTTCCCAAATTCCCCATTCCAATCCCTATCCCACTAAAATTCTCATTTCCCAACTAAATAAAACAGTAAATTGCCTCATATCTCTAAACTCTCAATCCCTCCCAAAAATTCCCCCAAACCAAACAGGTTGTATGTATTTCGTTACGTGTGAGCGTGTAATTTAATGGACTTATGTGCGGGCGGGCATATTTTGTAGTATGTGAGATCCTTTTAAATCAATAACATGTCGATCAGGATAACGAATCGTCAGGTTATTCAAAACACAACCTAACAGCTCAGCTAGAACAACGTTGGGTTGAATCTTTACACATTTTTTACCTAAAAATATATGAAGGCTACATGGGGTTTGTGAAAAAACCCATAGACCTTACCATCTCTAAACGCACTAGGAGATGTGTTGGTAAGTTTTTAGTACTCCCTCCGTCCCTAAATGTTTGACGCTGTTGACTTTTTAAAATATGTTTGACCGTTCGTCTTATTTAAAAAAAATCAAGTAATTATTAATTCTTTTTCTATCATTTGATTCATTGTTAAATATACTTTTATGTATACATATAATTTTATATATTTTGTAAAAGTTTTTGAATAAGATGAACGGTCAAACATATTTAAAAAAGTCAACGGCGTCAAACATTTAGGGACGGAGGGAGTGTAATAGAATAAGCAAAGCAGAGAACTGGAGAATGGAGATGTATAGCACTGTGTGCGTCTAACAAAACCAGTTATGATGTCCTTTGCACGAAGCAAAGGGGGAAAAATTGGAATTTTGAGAGGACGAAAGGACAAGCAAGAACATCACCCAATCACATCGTCCAACGATTGGTAGATGAAGAGATTAAGAGAAGACAAGTACATGCAACCCATTTCACCGGTTTCCATCATCACACATGAATGATGAATCATTGCCATTGCTTAGCGAGCAAAGCAAGGCGAACCCGACAGGAATTTCACAGAAATCTCACAGATAATACACAGCTACTAGTATACAATATACAAATGCAGCGCAATTAGATACATCTCTACAGAATCGAGCCTGGTTGCATGTCTGCACATCCAACAACACAGAGCACAGGAGATTAAGTTACCTGTACTGGTTTATTGGAATTTGACACAGTGTCTAGTGGAGTAAGCAGCTCAAATACATTGGATTATTCGGCTATGTGGTCATCTGGATATGTAACTACTGCGTGTAGAGTCCTCTTATACTCTTCCTTCATCTGTACATGTACAAGCATCCAAGAACAATATCTCTGAAGATGATCAGAGAAGACGGGGAAATCATCAACATCATGCAGGGTGATCTGGGAATGGAAGAGAATTGTCCACGATGAGAAGCATTATCAACGATTTCGCTGTGCCAATGTAGCCTGTCTGCAGCATCCTTCACCTTGTGAAGAACCACATCAGGTCAGGTGCGTCTCGGATTGTGCCATGACTCGTCAAACTCATGTGTATATATAGAGAGAGATAGAGACTTGGACACATGTATAGAGTATTAAACAGACAATAAAAATAACTAATTACATAGTTTGGTGTAAATTGCGAGACAAATCTTTTAAACCTAATTACTCCATGATTTGACAATGTGTTGCTACAGTAAACATTTTCTAATGACGGATTAATTAGGCTTAATAAATTCATCTCGCAGTTTACAGATGAAATATGTAATTTGTTTTGTTATTAGTCTACGTTTAATACTTCAAATGTGTGTGCGTATATCCGATGTGACACGCCAAAACTTTACACCCCGGGATCTGAACACCCCCCTTAGTTGTTGACATTGTTAATTAAATCAGATATTCAGATGTGATCAAGCAAATCTAACAAGAAAAATAAATAGATGTGAACATTACCCATCTAACCAAACTCTGCTGCCCTCTCTAGGCATTGTATGGTCCACTGGGTTTCTCCCTGTCAGAAGTTCCAAGAGAATACTGTAACTCCAAAGATATACACGTCACTTTTCTGTGTGAGCTTACCTGTCATTGCATTGGTTTTCTAAGTTGGGGAATACGCTATATCTGGTTTTGTGGTCCAGGGATGAATTTCGAACTCGGTGACAAATTGAGGGATCCAAAGTGAACCTTTTATAACTCTTAAAGGAAAGGCCCACTTTGCTAAAAGGCCCATATCTCATCCATATACTCGTCCTGTCTTCCGTGTTCCATCGCCGCCGCCGCCTTTCAGAGTTCCCTCGAAAACCAAATCCGCTCCGCTGCTGGTAGGGCGTGTTTATTTTGTTCATTTGTCAAGTCGAATCTGATTTCCCTTCCTATTTGAGACCTGTTCACTTTGATGCTATTTTTAATCATACTATTTTTTATAAAGTTGTTAAAATTTTGGCTACGTTTAGTTTGTTGTTAAAATTGATAAATATATAAAAAATCCTACTAAAATTTTGACAATATTTAGTAATATTTATTTTGACTACAGTCTGAATAGGCCCTGAATCTTTGAATTCGTCTTCTTGTTAGGTCATCTAGCATCCATCCTTATCCTTCTCCATGAGGATTCTGCGCAGAGCAGCAAGTCTTCTCCTCCATGTATGCCTTCTTTTATTTATTTACTCTCACAAACCCGCTCCAAATGTTCAATTGACTGATTTTACTTTACTGAGAGTATGATTTTCAGGGCCGTGCTTACAACGCAGGAAGAACCACAAGGCTGCAGGGCTCTTTTCTAAGGTACTACTTACCCTTCTTGCTGACTCTGTTAAAAATAAAAGAAGCTATATTTCTTAACTACAATTTACACAAATTAAGTAAATATTGATGTGAAACCTATATGATTTTGCTCAATCATGTTCTATTAAACCATTGATCAGTTGGTTCCTAGTCTTTTCAGTAAAAAATGTTATGATATCTCAACTCTTCCTATGTAATGTTATGGTTACATAGGCTGTGTTTAGATCTAAAGTTTGGATCCAAACTTCAGTCTTTTTCCATCACATCAACCTGTCATGCACACGTAACTTTTCAGTCACATCATCTCCAATTTCAACCAAAATCCAAACTTTGCGCTGAACTAAACACAGCCATAATACTCCCTCCGTCCCTAAATGTTTGACGCCGTTAACTTTTTTAAACATGTTTGACCGTTCGTCTTATTCAAAAACTTTTGTGAAATATATAAAATTATATGTATACATAAAAGTATATTTAACAATAAATCAAATGATAGGAAAAGAATTAATAATTACTTAAATTTTTTGAATAAGATGAACGGTCAAATTTGTTTAAAAAAATCAAAGGCGTCAAACATTTAGGGACGGAGGGAGTAGTAATTGATGCTTATGAGTCCACCAATCAACGATGGTACAATAGCCTGCCACTTGACTTGTCCACCGGTCGTCATGGCTTGTATTGATGTGTCATGATTTGGATTGGTCTGTGCGATTAGGTGATTATAATTACGATATTGTGGCTATTTATGACAGGATTTTTTTATAATCTTAAACTTATTATAAACAGCAAGTACAGAAGCACAGGGTTCCATTCTTTCCATTGCATTGATTTTTTTTTCCCTTTAATGTTCATGTCCTGCTAACTGAAAGATAGTATCTTGGTCGAATGTAAACAAATATACAATGTCCACAGAGAAAGAGAGATTGTGCGCATGACTTACTAAAATAAATCTGATTGATGTTTTCCAGAATGCATTTAGCAATAGAATTGATTATTCTCATAGCATAGTACTTATTTTTATTTATTGAGATGTTTCTGTTTGTAAGCAATATTGAGAACATATAAGCTAAACCATGGAGAATAGCTTCCGACGTGCTTCTGCCATTCATTACACCATGTTTCTTTCTTTCTTTCGAGGACCCTGCAATAACCATGAGTCTAAAAGCATTTGTCGGCGTTCCTATTATTGTCATATAATGATTATCAACTAAGTTATGATGTGATACACACACGCCATCTTCAACCCACAAGTTATTGCCATGATGGTTAGATCTTCACTGAACCAGGAGAGTAACTTAATTATATAGGCAAAAGATATATATTGTGGAGGGAAAACTTTTAGAAGCACATTTTCTTAAAAAAGACAAATTTTGATGTGTTTTTTAAGACTAATTTTAGGTAGGTTTTACTCATATGTATATCAATCATGAAAAGAGAGCTAGGCAATGGAAGTGGCAAAGGAAAACCTCAAGAAATAATTTTTAAAACCAAATTCTAAATTTAAATATCAATTGCAGCTTTTAAGAAAAGTTGTGCCAAGCGGACCCAAAAACTGTCCCTTATTTGCTACCGGTACCATTACGAACGCCCTTAACAAGCCAACACGTCGTTAAAGACCCAAGCGATTAAGGATTCAGTAAGCTAGAGCAAAAATATGAAAAAAGAAGTTACTATATCTCTGTCTATTATTTTCTGATCTGTGCAATCAACTTTACGAACAGAAAAGTTAGAGCAAAAGAAAAAAATCTAGCATTTCATCACTCATTACCCTACATGTTTTAACTATGTTCCATTTTCGTTACCTTTTGCAGGGTGCCTTCAGGGGAACGTGAACTCAAATTATTAAGGCCTGGTAACACAATGGAAGTGTCTATGGCAACCACAAACACTGCAGGGGAACCAGGTACGGACAGCTTTGCCTGAAGTGAAATCTCTTTTTGTTTCCTCATAATTAACAAGAAATGTCTACTATACCTCATAATTACAGAAGCTTTCAAGTATCTGAAGACAAGCGACAGTGATGAGAGGATGGAGGGCTCCAAGAAGGTGTCTGAAGACGAGGAGCAGGCCCTGAAGGTGAGATTCCAAGAGTGGATGAACAAGTTCAACCGTAATTACAAAGACGAGGCAGAGAAGGCTTATCGCTTTGAGGTATTCAAGTCTACTGTCCAGTATGTCGAAAAGTTCAATGCTGAACAGGTGAAAAAATATGGTTGCTGCAAATGCACACTAGGTACAAACAAATTTGCGGATCTCACTGTGGAGGAAGTCTCGAACAAGTTTTGTGGCAAAAGAAGCAGGCAGTGTTAGCTCGGTATATTATTATTATAGGGGCGTGTTGGCTATATTACTATTATAGCCAACTAGTCTGCAACTATGTAAAAAAACAGCAACTATATTTATTATTATTATTATAGCCAACTAGTGTGCAACTATGAAAAATAACAACAGCAACTAGTGTGCTTTCTGGTTAGAAACCCGTAGAGATATAAGTGTAAGTGGTTCGTTGAACCAGTGGTGCCTTTTGATTATATATGTATCGTTTATATGTAATAATAAGTTTATGTTATACTACTATATTGGAAGGAAATACCCCAGTTCATTGTATATAAATTATAGCCATGAATTATGGGAAGCACCTGGTGCTGACTGCTGACTGTATACACATTTCAGCTGCTTAACTTGGATCAAGGCCCTGGAGTAGCAGTTGGCTGTACTGGTAACCTACCTTGTGTGTTGTGAATATAGATAGCCAAATAAATATACATGTTTCCAGCATCATATTAGCAAAGGGGATTATGTGTTCCACAAGATTAATACATTTTCCAGATTCTCATGCAAAAATGTTGCATGCTAGTACTAATTGCTATTAATTAATCTATTCAGTCATTCCAAGTTGCTACTACTTCGGCAGTAGTAGCAGAGGCCATCGTAGTAAGCTCAAACTTTTCAGTTCAATGTTCAATAAAGAGGCGAAAATATCATGTCCATATTCGATCAGCTGCAGCTTCACTTTACTTGTACAATATCCCAAACAAGCATAGGCATCTTTTGAACATCCTTTAGCCTGAAAAATTTGGAAGTACCTGAGCAAAACTGTAGAGGCTACAGATTCCATCATCATACATGAATCATGCCATTGCTTAGCAAGCAAAGCAAGGCAAACTCTGAAGGAATTTCACAGAAATCTCACCGATAATACACAGCTAGTATACAATATACAAATGCAGAGCAATTAGATACTACATCTCTACAGAATCGAGCATGGTTGCATCTCTGCACATCCAACACCATGCTGGGAACAACACAGAGCTCAGGAGATTAAGTTACCTATACTGGTTTATTGGAATCTGACAGTGTCTAGTGGAGTAAACAGCTCAAATACATTGGATTATTCGGCTATGTGGTCATCTGGATATGTAACTATTGCGTGTAGAGTCCTCTTATACTCTTCATCTGTGCATGTATACAAGCATCCAAGAACAATCTTTTCTGATTCTGAAGATGATGATCAGAGAAGATGTGGAAATTATCAACATCATGCAGGGTGATCTGGGAATGGAAGAGAATTGTCCACGATGAGAAGCTTCTCAGGATCCAGGCCCCCATTCTCAGTGTCAACGATTTCGCTGTGCCAGTGTAGCCTGTCTGCAGCATCCTTCACCTTGTGAACCACATCAGGCGCGTCCCGGATTATCGCAGCACCTCCTGGCCGGAGAATGCGATCCATCTCGAGCATGATGTAAGGGATGCCACACCTGAACAACACAAAGATTGGTGTAAAGGAATCGGTACGTCTTAACATTGAGATTAGTTTTGGCACTATCAAGCTAAGCGAGCCAGAGGAGTTGCATGCCAGAGTAGCAATGCATGTCATGTCTCTTTTCTGAATGATATCTTCTCTCAGAACGAGAACAATTTGAGTTACTACTTGATAGGAGTCGTCACTTACGTGTCCATATACAGGCTGAATACTCCATTGGCATGTAGCACATCATATGTACGTGGATAAGTAGAGAAAGACTCGCACCTGACAATGAAAAGAAGAAAATTGATTCAGGATGGTGAGCTATCTGTTATGTTTAGTGTAAAAGTAGAAATAACGCTTCAAAATCTGATCTGTAACTTACCAGTCCATGTATGTTCCTATCAAGCCACGCTCATAGATGATACCAAGTGTATTGTCCGTCAGATTTGCAGGAACTACATTCATGACCCAAACAGGATATTCAGACATAGCCGCAGCAAAGCCACCAAAGCCGGCATTCATGTCCATGACATTCCTGTAACTCCCATCAGATAAATTCAAATATGTTCTGTAGAAATCAACTCTTTTATTCCAATCCAAACTGTCAAGTTTGTATGTCTGTATGGGCATCCCCTTTGTTTCTCCACTGGCTATCCTTGGTGGTATGGCAGTGAGCCTTTCAGGCCACTTCTCCACAGCACCACCAGCAATATCTCTTGGAAGACGAGTTAGGCACATTGAAGTATTTACATACCTGCAATATAATCAAAATGCATTTGTTATGAATGAGTTTTACATAACTGACGAATTGAATGGGCAATTCTCCAATATAATCTATAGTCGATAGAGTTATATACTACTACAGTAACCAATTTCTCTCTTCTTATTTTCATAAATTTAGCAGTAAGCTCCTTGTGAAGTGCACTGGTACTGTGCTAATACTCTTACTTGGACGTCGTACTCATGGTGCAACTTAAGATAAACTTTGATCTGGTCAAATTTTTAACTCTCCTAAAATACCCCAGATACTATATACTGATTTTCAGAATTAACATTTACAAGGACAATTCTCCTGAAAGCAATAGATGACTAGGAAATAGACAGACGTCATGGTAACACAAATCAGATAACAGAAAATAAAATTGTGCAGAGCTACAAGGTGGAAAGGAAAACTTTACCAAGCACTGTCTGCATCATCTCCTGTACAGAACGGTGGTGACCTCAAGAGCTTAGCATCTTGCTCGCATTGAATATGATTTATAGGCTTTCTCCAAACCGCGATTGTACCGTTCTCTGAAACCTTCGACCAGCAAAGTTTTTTCACTATCTCTTCCAAAGCTAATTGTTCACCTGGCATACCCTTGGCTGTACGGTTCAAATCATCATACTGTGTTTTCCAGCTGATTGGTGGCATAGCCAATACCCAATATCCACCAGGTCGGAGAAGACGGTCAATTTCCAGCATGTAGAGTTCATCTGAAATCAGCTATAGGTGAATGAGAACAAACTAAAGCACTTCACCACACAATAATTCTTCTCACTGATGACAACATCTGCCAACTTTCAAAGCTATTGATATATGCAACCAATCAAAAGCTATACATGGAGACGAGTTTCATGATCAACAAGATATCAAGAATTATCACAGAGTATGTATCTTTCATGTCCTACCATGAGAATTCCCCGGAACAAGGCAGCCTGCGCAGTGCACCATGTCGAACGACCTCGTCGGATAAGGCAGCCTGCGAACACCGAGTGCTCCGATCATCGCTGGCAGACCACGCTCCAAGGCGAGCTGCACTTGTGCTTTATGCCTATTTCTCCTATCAATTGACATGGTCAGTATCCCATAGTTCAACAGGTAGTCTCCAAAGCTCGCAACCTGTAGCACAGAGACAGACATCACATTCAAATTCACTATTCGGTAGTCAAATTTTAACTTGATAGAGTCATCTTTGACACTGAAATTTTCAGTACTACTTGATTCAGTGGTTAACTTCAGAGGTGACAGTAATTAACTGTTTGTACTTTGTACCATTCACTATCAGTAGTTCAGTTCAGTCCCCTACAAATTGAAATCTCAACGTCTCGGATATGAAACGGAAAGCTCGTAGAAATGATTGGATTAGCCTTACCCCACATCCTACGTCGAGCGCGGTCCGGACCTCGCCGCCGCGGAGAGGAACCATGCCGGCCAGCTGCTCGACGTAAGTCCCCACCCCCTTGGGGAACACCAGCCAGTCGCCGCGGGCGCGCACGGGGTCAGGGGGGCCGGCCAGCTTGGCCGGGGCCAGCGGCGGGAGCTCCACGTTCGCGTACCACGCGCGGTCACGCCGCGCGGGCCACGCCATGGGCTGGCGGTACCCGGGAGGCGGCGGGACGCGGCAGGGTGGCGGCGGCGGCGGGTGGTCCGGGGGGTGCGGCGGGTGAGGCGGCGGGTCCTCGGGCGGGTGCGGGGGCGGCGGCGGCGGCGGGCGCGGCGGGCAGTGGCGCTCCCCGGAGAGCTCGTCGTCCTCGTGGCAGGGGACGACGTGGGTGGCGTTGGGCGGGCACGGCGGGACGGGGGGCGGCGGCGGCGGGTGGTGGTGGAGGTGCTCCGGGACGGGCGACGGGGTGGGTGGCGCGGGCAGCGGCGCCGCGGTGGAGGCGCTGCTGGAGGGCGGCGGCGAGGAGGAGGAGGAGGAGGCGGAGTGGTGGGCGCGGGAGACGACGACGGAGATGAGGATCAGCGACGTGGTGGCCGCCGCCACGGCCGCCCCCGCAAGCGAGAGCGCACGCGGCAGCGGCTTGACGGCGGCGGCCGCCGCATCCGTTGCGGAGAGCGGCATGGCGCGCGCTGCGGCGGCGGCGAGTATCGGATGCTCGTCGCGAATGTTTTTTTTTTTTTGAACTTCTCGTCGCGAATGTTGAAGGAAAGCGGAGTGGAGTGGGTGGTGGTATTTGAGGAGGCGCGAGGGCGTGGGAATCCGTTACTGACGCGTGGGCCCCGGTCATTGCATTTCAATTTTCAGCATGCCTAAGAGCAGATTAAATAGCAGGAGGCAGCTCCAAACATATTTTAAGAAGATAAATAAGGAGAGAAGAGCAGCGGGCTACACATTTGTAGTTAGCTGTAATACGAACTCCAAGACACTGTGTGTATGACAGGTGGGACCAGTTATTGATAGTGTAGTATGTAACTATTGTATGAATGAGTTATTAGATTGGCTATAGATAAATTGGAGCTAATAGTTGGCTATACTATTAAACTTGCTCTAAGGACATCCACAATGTGATGAAAAACTAGGTATTAAGCATTGAATGCACTCTTGCTACCAAGTAGCAACATAAGAAATAAATATCATTATTTGTACAGTAAATCTGACACATGCAAGTAAAATATTAGTATAAGGAACCATGAAATTATTGTTTCTCACCATTCATAGGAATCAACTTTTAAGTGGACCCTACCTTACTTCTCACTCACACGAATAAATATTATGGGTAAGTTCATATACTACTATCACATGTATCTTGGGCCCACGTTACTACCGAGTCCGACAAGATACGTTGCTCATGCCCTAACGAATGCACGAATTGCATTTGGAAAGCTTCTTGCGTACATGGGGCTTGCGAAACACGGAATCCTGGATCTGATACCTACCAAGTATCAAACAATACTGACAAGGTATCAGATGATACCTATAGGTATCCACTGACACCGGTCGATCCCTATAGGTATCAAACAATACTGACAAGGTATCCATCAGTACCAGCTACACGTTCCATCAGCCTTTGTCATCGTTGCTGCCGTGGGGAATCGAGATCAGTGGAGAAGGATCTGGCCGTCCTCACTTGGCGCAGCGGCGGTGACGATGGCGCTTCCTATCCTCCCTCTGCTGGATCCGCTGACGACAACGGTGGTGGCCACCTTCGCGCGCGGCCATGGCGACCCAGGGAAGAAGTAGCCACCGCTACCGTCGCCAACCACACAGCCTACTGTCGTCCACGCCCCCATGCTAGTGCTCGTCGCTGGTGGTCACGTCCTCTCGCTAAACAGGTCCTCTCCCCCGGCCCACGTCGAATGTCCTCGCCGGTGGGCACCCTCCTCCTTGTTGCTCAGCTCACTCGTCCTTGGATAGGCAGGGGACAAGGGGACCCAGCATGTAGCATTCTCAAGAAGTATTGCCTCTCTCAAAATGTTTAGCTCTCTCGAAGAAATAAAGTTATACCTAAACATTGAGAATATGTGGTTGTGAGATTCATGAACTAGAAGAGAGAAGATAAAAAGCCATTTTTTGCAGATTACAGAAGCTGACCAATCAGTTGTTTTTCATAATGCTAAACAATCAGTTATTGCAGATTCTTACGCCTGTAATTTATTCCAAATCTTCAGGTCCTCAAAAGATTCTAGGAATCAGTAGTTATAGAATCTAACTATTTTCCACATTTTATGATATAAGAGATTTTGGTATAAGAAGTGCCACATACTAGCACTACGAATATATTTTGGGATGGAGGAAATAACAAACTAGAAATATAAGTGAAAAAACTTTTTTTTTCAGATTCTCATATTCCTTCAACTGACTTACATACTAGCTGCTTCTTATAAGATCATAGCGGTGCTTCTATAGGAAAAAAACATTTACTTGCTTCGAACGGATCTCTATGAAAATCTTATAAAATTCTTGAGTTTCAAAAAAGTCCTTAAAATTAGGTCACCGTGATCCCAATATACTGTATGGTAAAAAGCAGCATATAATAATTGTCCATGAGCCTTCTAGACGCCATCAGATCGATCATATTATCTGTTATACACTTGGGTTTAACATCATGGAAGAGAAAAATAAACTATATACTGCTAAAATAATATTTTTCTTTTAGTCTTGAAAGGTTAGGCTCTCATCGTTTGGCTTTTTCCCTAATAAGCCAAAACGGCTTATTAGAGAATAAAAATGAATTTTTAGATAAAACTTTTATATATATGTTCTTGGTGACTTAAAAGTCAATGCTGAAAAAGAAACTACGTTGAAAATATCTCAAAATCAATCTCAAAATTAAGTTTGAAAATTTAAATTTTGGTTTATTCTTTGACTGTTTAGCCCATCCGATGAGAGACTTACTTAATTGACAGCATAAAATTAAACCTTCCCCTTCACAGAATCTCTTTACCACAAGTCACCATCTGTCGTGCTTTGTTCTTTCTGCAGGCGGTGGTGGATCATGCCGACTTTTAATCACGCATTCACGCATGTAGTTTTCCAACGGCGACTCCGGCGATCCATACGCCCGCGCAGTATAGAGTATATATATACTTCATCTGTTTTCTATTTTCTATTATAACTCGTTTTGATTTAATTTAATTTAGCATCATTTATATATAATATTATATTAGTTTTATTAAATATAACATTGGATATATTTTAATAGGATATTTATTTTATGTTAAAAGGATCGTTATTTTTTTTATAAATTTAATCAAACTTTGAAAACGAAAAAAAATTAAAACAAAGTTAAAACGATTTATAATATAATATGTAACGGAAGGAGTATATAAGCATGTCTTGCAAGCTAACCAAACGATCCGGCACGACGGCGATCGACGGCGACGCCTCGTTCGATCGATCTCTCTCTCCGTCTGGTCGCCTCCTGCTCGTCGTGGCATATATAGCACTGCAGGTTAGGAGGGGAGGACTCGCGAGGACGATGGGACAAACGCAGGCGGCCGTCCGGCGAGCCGATCGGCTGGCTGCCGCATCGACAACACGGCTGATTTGATGGTTTTGATGATAACGCCCGGGCCACCGGCCGTCGCGTCCCTCTCCTCCGCATGCGGTCGCGCCGGGAGAAGACGATAACGCACATGTGTGCTTGCTAGTACTCTTTCCGTTTGTAAATGTTTGACACCGTTGACTTTTTAGCACATAAACATATTTAATTGTTCGTCTTATTTACAATTTTTTCTGTAAAATATGTAAAACTATATGTATACGTGAAAGTATATTTAACAATGAATCAAATGATAGGAAAAGAATTAATAATTACTTAATTTTTTTAATAATACGAATGGTCAAGCATGTTTTAAAAAGTCAACAGCGTCAAATATTTAGAAACGGAGGGAGTACATTCTTGGACGGAGCTAATAGCTCGTACTCCCTCCGTACTCATAAAGTAAGTCATTTAGAATAATGTTTAAGTCAAATCTTAGGAATATAAATCATGAATAACTCTTAAGCTGTTGAGTTTGAAAATATAAAAACTATATACATAGATTTGTCTTGAAAAATACTTTCATAAAATTCAATAAATATTTTTTATAAAAACAGGAAGTCAAAATTGTGTTTTGGAGACCGTGTCACTATCCCAAACGACTTTATTTATGTCTCAATTGTTAATCTCAAGACAAATTTATCTTTAGCAATTGTATCAGAGTTTGTAAAAAATTGCATTGGGATTTGGGAGTAGATAAAGATAGGAATAATTGCATTAGGATTTAATAAAGTTCGGGTATTGTAGTCTTTTTTTTTAATTTTATATTGGTATGTGTGATGGATAAAACTAAACTTATTTCGTAACGAAGAGAGTACTCCCTATGTTTCTTAGTTCTTCGAGCTGAAAAATGCTCTTTGCTTTTAAATTTTTTTGGACGTGTCGTTTGATGATTTGTCTTATTTAAAAGCTTATTGCAAAAATAAAAAAAATACGTCATGATTTAAAAAATCTTTAATAACAAAAACAAGTTACAAATGATATTTGTTTAGTATTTCAATTTGGATGAATGGTGAACAGTATGTGTAAACATCAATATCGTCATATATTAAAAGACGAAGGTGGTATTTCGTTCTATCCTTTTCTTCTCCTGTATGATCCCACACTCTGGTGATGTGTATCTTTCTTCTCCATGCAACGAAGGCAACAAGGCTGGCCTGGCTACTTTGTGCTCTTGTGAGCATGAGAATCAGGCGTATTATTGGTGCCAGAAGCTACGACGACTTTATCGTATTCAGATCTCGAATTTGTTAGAAGATAAGTAAACTGTTTTGTCTTTTTTCACCAGTTTAATCTTTCTGGTTAAACATTTAAGTTGATGTTTACATCCAAATTTGGCACATATGGATGAAATAGAGGAAAATTACCAAAGTTTAGAAAGTGTCGGGTTTCCTTCACAGGACAGGTCAGACCACAGGTATGTGGGCGGTCTGACCGTGGCCTGAACTCCGGTCTTACCGCAGGTATGCGGCCGGTCTGACCGTCAGGGTCCGAACCCGAATCTGTTTTCGTCGGGTCTCTCTAAATCAGCTCCGCTAGCCGGTTTAGCCGTTTTCTACAAAAACCCATCTTGATTTGGCCCTTTGGCTAGGTCGAGGTGGTTGGTAACTCCATATCACTGCAAGACGTTTAGGTACTGCGATTGTGATTGTCAACTTGTGAAAGGAAGATCCACAGGAGGAGTTAAGCAATAGTGCAACAGAAAAGCAATTAGAACCTGAAGAAGCATTAATCTCCATGTTTGCTATCTCCTCTAACCCTAATCTCGCCTAGGGAAGTCAATCCTATTCATGAGCTTTGTATGTTCATCATTCCACCGAAGGACTGGGTAAGAAGAATAAAATAATTCGACACAAACCCATAATCTTTTACAAAACCGAGCCCCCCCCATGTAAAAAAAACCATGGAAGAATGTCTTTGGTGGCGATTCTTCGGGGGAAGAACAAGAACTCAAACGTGACAACGGTATGATAATACGATATGATGACGGTTGTCATTAATCAAGAAGGAAATCCAAAAGGAACTCGAGTTTTTGGGGAATTGAGACTTATGAATTTCACAAAAAGAGTCTCATGAGCTCTCCCAACTACTTTCCTGATCTCTAATACCGGTACTACGCCCAAAATGGCATAACCAAATAATTGTTTAGCCAATGAAG